CACGTGAATGGGAATTCCAATGGGAATGTAATCCATTGCCAACAGGTGTATTCCCGAGCTGCGCATCATACTGCAAAATTGCTCCTGTGCATGCAAATGGATTTCATTGCTCTTCTGTAGTTTGGGAAATTCTCGATTATGATAATTCTGCGTGTGTGTGTACACCAGCCCTGAACATACATGTAGGTGACCCATTTGTGGTGTCTCATAGCCTACCTCACGACCTTATGCTTTCTTTCTGTATCACTTGTATCTTGCAGGTATATCACCCCGTGACGACCACATCGAAGTCTGAAATTGAAGTGTGAAGATGCTTCAGCAACCCCTCCATATTTTTCCATTGCTTTTATTGTGCTTCTACTGTGCATGTCTGTAACCTGTGGGGTATGCATGTGATGACAATGTATGCCGATGACACGGTCAGATTTTGTCCATGCGTGTAACGTACACCTGCATGCTATCGTTGAAAAGGATCTGCCACTTACGATCTTCGGACGAGTATCAGGTCAGCTTGGTTTTGTGTGGGCTGGACCAGATGCTGTTCACTTCTCTATCTGTTGGATATGTGACTTTCTGCAAGTTTCCGGTGTATGGTGGCCACTTCTTTGCTCGTCTTTGTATGACATTACAATAATTCTGTATTCACTGCTTCCATGGTGTGGTCTGCAAACTGCAATCCTTAGGCAAATATCATCACGGTTTGCAATGTTGTGCTTTGGCTGCTAGCCTACCTACACATTGTAGTTGAATTATTTTTGTTTCACAACTGACTTCCTGAAGTATGGTGGCCACTGCTTTGCATGGCATTATACAATGTTCATCAAGAATTTCCTGTTTGGGTCGTGTGTGAAGCTATTTTGTATTGGAAAGGCTTTCTGTCTAAAGCCTTTCCATACTGGTGCTCGATGTTTTTAGTTTGGGGACACCAAAATTAGTGTACCGCTAAAGACACGTGGTCGACACGTTGTTGGCACGTTGTTGACACTTTGTTGACAAGTGACCCAATTACCGGCCTACCAAGTGCCTTTGGCGACCGCTAACAGCAACTGTGGAACAGTGCAGTGCCCTTTTTTGGAGCAACGTACGAGTAGTGCCCGTGGATTATGACCCCGCGACCCCAATCTACGTGGCGGTCCGCAATTCGCTACTTCACACTGACTGGCGTCCGGCATCGTCCCGAATTTGGCCGCAATCTGCTCTCGGGACCTCTATAGGGCTCCCTGACCTGCTCCATCTCCGCCATCGTCAATGTACTGCGCATCCACCCAGGCCAGGACTGCACTTGCTTACGGGAAGGAGTATTTGCAAGATGGAATCTGGGAACTGGAAGACGACGAAGAAGAAGCGTGGGAATCCGGCGGCAATGGCTGGGATGTAAGTCCAACATTGCTGGTGCTAGAGTTGCCACTGCTTGCTTTAATATAAGGGAATCATGTGTGTTGCCTTTTGCCTTTTCCGACGTCCTCCTCCGACTGTACTCCCGATCCCAGGACTGAACTTACGGGAAGGAGTGCTTCCAAGATGGAAGACCAAGAAGAAGAAGCCGCTGAATCCGGCGGCAATGGCTGGGGTGTAAGTCCAACATTTCTGGTGCTAGAGTTGCCACTGCTTGTTTATAAGGGATTCATGTGTGTTGCCCTTTTTTGCCTTCTCCCATGTTCTCCTCCGACTGTACTGGTGAACGCTGTGACATATGTTGCCCTTTCCAGGCAGTAAAAGGGAGGGGCGGGGGGCAGTACATCCTGGCATCCAGGAATGCTAGGTGGAACTAGGCAATCTGACCTTTCCTCTTACTCCAATAATGGTATGGATGGGGAGTTCTTGAACATCCTCAGTCTTGTTAGAGTGAACTGTGCAACTCGGCAATCGGTGATAGCAGAGGACCAATGCCGATGGCGATGCTCCTTCCTTTTTCTCTGTCACAGGCTGCGGTCTCGAGAAGAAGCGTTATTTCTGCATTCCAAGAAGGACGGCACAATGGTGAGTGGAACTTCGTGGGTGTGCAGCCTTGCTAGTTGAATTGTAAATCAACCATTCTTCCTGTCTCTGACTTCTTCAATGTCCTCCTCAGTGTCGGACTGTCCGCGTCGCATTGAACTGGTCCGATGAGGCTGCTATTGCACACACAGTGAGGGAACTCCCATACGGGAACTCGGAAGTACTGCTACAGTACAGGTAAGGTGGTCATTGCTTATGTGGGTGCGCCGTTGTTGTCAACTTTTAAGCCAGATGTACTCCGACCTACATGGAGTCTGAAAGTAGTCAGCTGGCGAACTACAATTGAAGTTTAGACATTATATGCCGCGGCTTGGTCAGCTTTTTCAGTTTCACAATGCATTGCACTCAGCACCGCTTCTCGGAATATCTTGTCAGGATAGCTGTGGAACGCATCCTCCCCAGTGGCGGAACGGCAAATGTGCTGTTCATTTTTTGGCTTGCTATTATGGTACGTACAAATCCCCATTGAAAAGACATAGTGGAGACCAGAAACTGCAAATAGATGTTGGGAACCGCGAAGACCACCCTTCCTCGTCAAGTTCCCTGAGGATGTGGAGGGGGGGGGGGGGGAGCGGAGGAGGGACATTCCTGCACTGCTTAAAGTAGGATTCACAGGAGCATTTTCAGAAATTGCTTGTACATTTGTACCAGTTGTAACCGACAAACGCATTCTCATTGAGCTTTGACTTGAGGCACGTCAGCAAGGCACTGTTGCATCGCTGACGTCTTGTCGTGATTCTGTGAATGGTATTTTGTGCGAGTTTGCATCGCACGCAGAATCGCAGGTCGTGTCGCATTGCGCAGCACACTGCCAAATTGCTTCTGTGAATCCCACGTGAATGGGAATTCCAATGGGAATGTAATCCATTGCCAACAGGTGTATTCCCGAGCTGCGCATCATACTGCAAAATTGCTCCTGTGCATGCGAGTTTGCATCGCACGCAGAATCGCAGGTCGTGTTGCATTGCGCAGCACACTGTCAAATTGCTTCTGTGAATCCCACGTGAATGGGAATTCCAATGGGAATGTAATCCATTGCCAAAAGGTGTATTCCTGAGCTGCGCATCATACTGCAAAATTGCTCCTGTGCATGCGAGTTTGCATCGCACGCAGAATCGCAGGTCGTGTCGCATTGCGTAGCACACTGCCAAATTGCTTCTGTGAATCCCACGTGAATGGGAATTCCAATGGGAATGTAATCCATTGCCAACAGGTGTATTCCCCGAGCTGCGCATCATACTGCAAATTGCTCCTGTGCATGCAAATGGATTTCATTGCTCTTCTGTAGTTTGGGAAATTCTCGATTATGATAATTCTGCGTGTGTGTGTACACCAGCCCTGAACATACATGTAGGTGACCCATTTGTGGTGTCTCATAGCCTACCTCACGACCTTATGCTTTCTTTCTGTATCACTTGTATCTTGCAGGTATATCACCCCGTGACGACCACATCGAAGTCTGAAATTGAAGTGTGAAGATGCTTCAGCAACCCCTTCATATTTTTCCATTGCTTTTATTGTGCTTCTACTGTGCATGTGATGGCAATGTATGCCGGTGACACGGTCAGATTTTGTCCATGCGTGTAACGTACACCTGCATGCTATCGTTGAAAAGGATCTGCCACTTACGATCTTCGGACGAGTATCAGGTCAGCTTGGTTTTGTGTGGGCTGTACCAGATGCTGTTCACTTCTCTATCTGTTGGATATGTGACTTTCTGCAAGTTTCTGGTGTATGGTGGCCACTTCTTTGCTTGTCTTTGTATGACATTACAATAATTCTGTATTCACTGCTTCCATGGTGTGGTCTGCAAACTGCAATCCTTAGGCAAATATCATCACGCTGCAATGTTGTGCTTTGGCCGCCAGCTTACCTACACATTGTAGTTGAATTATTTTTGTTTCACAACTGACTTCCTGAAGTATGGTGGCTACTGCTTTGCATGGCATTATACAATGTTCATCAAGAATTTCCTGTTTGGGTCGTGTGTGTGTGTGTGTGTGTGTGTGTGTGCATGGCTTCGCCAGTTGTGTGGATTAGACAGTTATCTGGCGCTTGTCTTGATCTGTTTCAATCAGAATCAGATCCGCTATCGTTGCTATAAAGAGAAAATCTGTGGGTGCACATCCAGTGCATTTGCAGATTTGCGTGCTTCTCTTGCGACGGGCGTATACATGGTACATTGTGTGTGTGTGTGTGTGTGTGTGTGTGTGTGTGCGTGTGTGTGCGTGCGTGCCCGTGTGTGCCATGTGCATGTGCGTGTTTGTCACAATGTGTCTGTGTGCAGGGAGGGCTGGAATGTATCAGTGTGCTACTGCAGTCGCATGGCTACATACAGTGGATCGCGCGCGTGCTCACCATGTTTATCTTCGGAGCAGGGCCGGTATGGGGGAGGGAACAGAAAAAGAACTGAAATTACCCATATAAAAACCGCTCTGTGAGCGGTTCTGAAAAACCTCTACTGGTGCAGCCCCGTCGTAAAAGTAAGAAATTAGAACTGGCGCATTGTCCTCCCAAATGTGAACTGATCCACCTAAATCGCGATTGACGGGACCCGAACGCACCAGTAGCACGAGGTCGGGAGGGCACAGGATCACAGCCGGCGTCGGCGCTGATCAAGTTACCATACAACACTTACAGTACGTAGCTCGTAGACCTACCCCGAAGCCCACCTTTACCGCTTTGGCTTTGGCTATGGACCAGCGTCCCCAGCTGCATCCACAGGTAGGAACCTCGTGCTACTGGTGCGTTCGGGTCCCGTCAATCGCGATTTAGGTGGATCAGTTCACATTTGGGAGGACAATGCGCCAGTTCTAATTTCTTACTTTTACGACGGGGCTGCACCAGTAGAGGTTTTTCAGAACCGCTCACAGAGCGGTTTTTATATGGGTAATAAGTAGTTACACAACATCGTTTCACTCCACTGGCGCCATAGTAGGCCCATAGTGCGATACCATGGCTAGGGCTGCACAGTGCAAGTGATCTACATGATTGTACTGCTGCGGTGGACGTGTGAGGTTTGAGAGTTTGTAAGTCGTGGCATGGCCTTGCCCTTGGGCCGGTGGCAGATAGCCCTCGTGAGGGTGGGCACTTGCGGCAAAGCAAATTTTTGATCATCTCTTTGACATCAGATCAGAACGCCAAGCATGCCAGCAAGTAGAATCTACTCATGAAGTAAAGTTGTCAGCATCAAGTCGTAGATTTACATGACTCTCTGTACTATTTCATTCGCGCTGATTGCTGATTTATGCTTCCACTCTCTGTATCTTTCCCGGTCACTCGTCAACGAAGCAATACATGTACTCGACAGAGAGTCGCTTCCCCAGTGTTCACCAGCTAATATTTGGAACATCCAGTCATTTCAGTTCTGGTGGCAGTTTGCGTGGGTTAATCAAAAAGTTTCTTTTGTAAGTAGTCAAAGGATAGCTGACCATGGATTGTCAACAACGATGCCGCCACTTTTCCGCTGCAAGTCCTACGAAGTCTGCAAAGGCTAAAGTACCTCCAGGGAAGGCCATTCTTGCCGGTGAGAACTCTCCACAGAGATTTCATTTCGTTTAGTGAATTTGTTTTGTAATTGAAATGACGTAAGTTTCTATAATATTCTGGAGATTGAGTATAATTTTAATAGTAATCCAATAATGATCACGAGTTTGTAATTTAAAGTCAAAGAGATTTAAAACTCAAATGCTGCTGAATACGTGGCCGTGGGTAGCCTATTCTTCAAATTGCTTTGAAATTGCTTTGAGTCCAGGGGATTTACTGGGATCGTGAAATCAGTGCTGTGAGGTACAATTACGCGCCATCCTATAAACGTGCCGATAAACCAAACCAAACTGATCTTGTCACTTTCGGCATGGGCCGTATTGTGAAGTCTGTTGACGTTGTGCTCTGAATTATGTAGCGAGGCTAAAATAAAGTATACCACGACCGTCTTGTCCACAGTGCTGCTCCATGAAATGCGATCGAGCGAGTCAGTGCCATGCCTGGTGTTGTGCAGCCTTAGGTCTGCGAACAGTGGGATGTAGACGTGTGCAGGACCCAAACTTGACTCATACCATCGGATTTCATTGGGCATTCAGAGTCCAAGTTGTGCGTGTGTGTGCGTGTGCATGTCTGTGTGTGTGTGTGTGTGTGTGTGTGTGTGTGTTGTGTGTGTTGTGTGGATTAGACAGTTACCTGGCGCAAGTCTTGATCTGTCTCATTCAGATCTTGTTCGCTAGCGTTGCTTTAACAGAAAATCTGTGGGTGCACACACAGTACATTTGCAGATTTGCGTGCTTCTCTTGCGACGGGCGTATACATGGTGTGTGTGTGTGTGTGCGTGGTGTGTGTGTACATGGTGTGTGTGTGCGTGCGTGTATGTGTGTATGTCACGGTATTCCCCTGTGTTTACAAACAAGGCGGAATTGCTGGTGGAATTGAAATCATGATAACCTTCCCAACAGAATACGTGAAAACTCAGCTTCAAATCGACCAAAAAGAAGGCACTCGACTGTACAAGGGTTCAATTGATTGTGTACGAAAGACAATCAATGAACATGGGTTTCGTGGTCTCTACCGAGGTCTGGATATCCTCCTGTATGGCTCTATTCCCAAATCAGCTGTAAGGTAAGGCGTGTGTGAGCTTGTGTGTGCACGTGTGTGAGTTTGTGTGTGTGTGGGGGGGGGGGGGGGGGAGAAAAAAAGACCAGAAGTAGGGAAAACCCTACAAAAAGCAATCCCAGTACAAGTTACTATGGCTTCTGCTGTAGCATTGCTAACTGTTATCATGGTATCGCGTGTGTGTCCAACATCAGAAGAATATCTCCTTGCCAAAACATTTGGAAGTTGGACTAGTTTTGGCTCCACAATCCAGTGTGTCGTTGCTTTCATGGCTGAGGTTGTGAGTACGTCTATTGACTCTGGGTTCCCAGTTAGTACTCGGTTGCCGAGGCTGGTTGGTAATGTAACTCCAATTTCGCTTCCAGGTACCAGTGCATCTAGTGTCTGCTTCTATCAAAGCAGCGTGCTGTCTATACTGGTTACCTCGGCAAGTCCAGGCCATACATCAGGGTGTTCAACAACATGAGACCGAGTGCTCTACGCCAAAGCCGTAATACCCTGCATGTACTGGCCTGTCAATGACGTGATTATCAGACGTTCTTAGTTGGATTTCCATTTTGTGTTTTCTGACAATTCTGTGTCAATAGATTCGGTGCATATGAAACTGCGAAGAACCTATTTTTTCCTGGCAAGGAACGGCTAAATAAGATGCAGTCCATGACTTGCGGCCTTACAGCTGGTATGCTAGAAGCTATCTTTGCCGTCTGTCCTATGGAGACGATCAAGGTGAGCCATGTCCCCAGAAGATACGTTCCCAGTTCCTTTTCGTACACCTGCGTATTGAAAGACAATCCCCTCGATATCAATATACGCGGACACATGCTTACCGTAAGAGTTGAGTTTCAAACGAGGCGTCAAGTTTATCGTTTTGACGAGAGAGAAAATCCATGGTTAACTCGAGAAGCGTTACTAGTATGCTATTCCTTCTCTCCTAAACAAGAGGAATAAAAGATGGGTTTGTAACTTTGTGATGACAAAGACGTTCAAAGCATTGTACGTGTACATGCCCAGTGGGGAAAAATGCAAACACGATACGAGCTTGAAGGTTGAAATGTGAAGATACTCTTCTACCTCCAGCACACCCTTCTGGGATTGGGTGCCTGATTTCAGTTTGCACGGCAACGGCACTGATTGAAGGCATGGGCCTTGCTATGCACAGGTTGTTGCTACACGGGATTTGTAACATGTCTTGCCCGTATGGTCAGAACGGACTGTGGGCTATCTTCGCCTTGGCATGTTAGTTTGCTCTGTTCTTGTTTTACGGCTTGTCAGCGCATTTTCAGCTGGTCACCATTCTTCATTACCGGTGTCTTTGTTGTTGCTGCTGTTGCTGATGCTACTGCTGCTGGCATCACATGGCTGCGGCCACCGTCCTTACTACTCAACCAATGGTTCATTGCTCTTGCTGCTGCTGCTGCTCCTGTTGACATGTTGTTCTGTTGAAAAAAAAGGTACGCTTTATTGATGATCGACGGAGAAAGTTGCCTGACAAGCCTCGTTTCAAAGGCTTCTTCCACGGAGTGTCTCTAATCGTCAAAGAAGAAGGTATGTGCATGCAGCCTGAATCAGCCTGATACGGCTGAAGAGGATGGGCTTCCTGCAGAACTAGACTACTTTTTTTCTCTTAGTTTGGACTGGGGGCTGGTGAGTAGAGTCAGTGCCACGTTTAGTCAACGTCTGGTGTAGAACTGCAGATCCATGTGGCTGATGTTTCCACAATGGTACCTCTTCTTCTTTCAACCATTGCACTCAAACTGCCCATGCCCGGCTGACTTGGGACAGCGCATTGTCCGTAACGAGGAACTGTTTCCAACTTTTACATTCAAGATGAGAAAGCTGGTCTGTCAACTTGCAACCACTCTCTTATTATTCAGCTGCCACTCACTGAATGCGCTGAGTTACTTGAAAAATTAGCTTTATTGCTTCAAAAGTTATGACATTGCGGGCCAGTCACCCATCGTCAGAACCAGTCAGTTATGACGATGGGTGACCGGCTCGCTATGTCAGGGCTGGGGCGGTACAACTTTTTAGGGGTCATTTTGATTACATTTTGACTGCATTTCTGAGTTTATCGGCAAGGTGGAGATCAAATTTGAAAATGTTTTCTGATAAATCTCTGGAGAAGAGCCTTCTCTAGCCTCCTATAGTTTTAGTTTTACTTTTGGACAAAATTTGAAAAGATTTTATGAAAGGTCCGTGAAAAAATAACACGAACCTTTCATAAAACGTTTTCAAATTTTGTCCAAAAATAAAAAATATAACTATAGGAAGCTAGAGAAGGCTATTCTCCAGAGATTCACCAGAAAACATTTTCAAATTTCATCTCTGCCTTGCCGATAAACTAAAAAAAATGCAGTCAAAAATTTCCCAAAAAAGTTGTACCGCCCCAGCCACCTTTTAAAAGTCAATAAAACTATATTTTTCAAGTAACTCAGCATATCGAGTGAGTGGCAACTGAGTAGAGCGGTTGTCAGTTGGCAACCCCCCCCCCCTTTTCCTTGATGACTCAGTTGCATGCCCCCACCCTTTCCTTGATGACTCGGTTGCGTGGAGACCATAGACATTTAACTGTACCTTGAAGATGTGTGCACAACTCCGAGTACTTTTCAACTAGGTAAGAACGCACAGTATAGTGCAGTGAAGTTACAGCATGTCATGTCGTGATCCAGAGACTGCACCCAGTATAGTGCAATACAGCATGCCATGTCATGATCCAGAGACTGCCCACTTGGCAGAACAATCCAGGTCAGGGGAGTCCGGTTGTGAGGAGTCTGCGTGTTCCTTTGCTGGCTGTAAATCATCCACCATATGTTGCCGTCCTTGTCTCTGGCTACAACAGGTTTCCGTGGTGTCTACAAAGGCTTAGTGCCGACAATGATAAAGCAAGGAAGCAACCAGGCCGTGCGCTTTGTCATCTACAATGGCCTCATGCAGTGGCTGCAGGTGAGTCCAGGCGTTTGCTGCTCAACGTCTCTGGTTTACCGTTGGAGTATGCCTTGAGTGTGCTTGCCATTGATTATGCATGCTATTGAATATTCATACACAACGGTCAGGATCGAAGTGTTCTTGGTTTGTTTATTGCTATGAGTATATGTATCGGTGTGTGTGTCTGTCTGTCTGTGTGTGTCTGTGTGTGTCTGTATGTGTCTGTGCGTGTGTGTGTGTCTGTTTGTCTGTCTGTATCTGTCTGTCTGTCTATCTCTTCAGGGTGCTGATGTGGACAAAACCATTGGAATATTCCCGACTTTCATCTGTGGTGGTACTGCCGGTGCATGTAGCGTGCTATTCAACACACCTGTCGATGTTATCAAGACACGGATGCAGGTACCTGTTCGTCTGTGTGTGTGCGTGTGCGTGCATGTGTGTAGCACGTGCAGGTGATGAGGATGAGGACATACAAGCTATTAGATGTACGTTGTACAGAGTTGTCTTTCCCATTCATACCTCAATGCCTGTGCACAGTCGAATTATTCCTCTGTACACACACCGTGTGCCACTATGGACAGAGCTTCCTTACAAAGAACGCAGAACAAGATTTTGCTTGCCACTCGAGTTTCATGCTATGTGATCCTCTGCCAAAACATTCTATGGATGTTGTGTTTTGCACTGAAGATGAATGATACACATCGCTATCGCAACTGGTGGCATTGCGCAACGTCCATCTACCAATATGAAGGCTTGCGCGCGTGAGTTTCCCAGTGGATCGTATGTCATTGCATCTATTACTGCAGCAGCCTTTAGAGGTTTTTTTTAATACTTTCTGTTTCATGCCAGATCATGGCAATCCTTAAACAGATAACAGTGATGCACAGCTAGTGTGGTGTTTACACCCTAATTTAGGAGGGAATTTGTTTGGTTCACGTCTGGTACATGTAAGTGTGAAAAATCCTGGAGGGAATGTACTAGGCACCTTTAGTAAATGGGGAAATAAAAATGGGGGGGGGGCAAGCGGGACCATGTGCAAGATAGTGTAAGATATTCAACACATGTCTGCAGCTATGTGTAGGTGCAAGATGTTGCACAAGTTGGTACACGCTTCTCTCTCTCTCTCTCTCTCTCTCTCTCTCTCTCTCTCTCTCTCTCTCTCTCTCTCTCTCTTTCCAATTGTTTCTCTCTGTTTCTTCTGCTTGATAGGTTTTATCAAGGCATTGGTCCACGGATGGCACGTGTAGTGATGGATGTCGGACTGGTGTTTGTCCTCTATAGTCGTACTATCATGGCGCTCAATTATATGTTCCCAAGTTGGTAAGTTAATAATGCGGCTACCGTGCTATTCTTGAAAGACTATTCAACTCAGCGCCCAGAGGAGCTGTAGGCCTACAAAATGAGTACTTCCTCCGTATACAAAAACTTCGTGACTTTTTTTTGAAAGCTGCGCACAGCTCTGAAATGGTTCCGTTTGACTTCGAATAACACTCGTGGCATTGTCTAACCTGTTTACAAGCTATATACAAAGACAAAAGCAACTCAGACGAATGAAATTGAGTTTTTTCAGAGTCTTCGTCGCTCATGTCATTGTCACCTGACGACGCTGATTCCGCATCGCCAACAGTCGCTGCTTCCGCTCGCATTTCGTTCAGATTCTTGTCACCTGCAGTGATGATCCGACTCTGGACTTTTGGCTACGTCCTCTTCATCTCTAGAGCTGTGTACGAATCTGTGTCGACTATATTCAGTTGTTCCAACCCGCGACCTCCATTCTGCCGTGAAACGAGTCGTACAAGCACATCCAACCGCTTCGTATTTTCTCGCCAGGATAATCCTCCCAAGCATTCTACAATGGCTTCGAGGAGGTCCCTGCGATTCCCCTTGGCGACAAAGGAGACGTCTGACTGGAGAGAGGCGAAGAACGCCAGGCCATCGACATTCTAATCCTGAGTCTGCGCTGGTTGCACGACGACTGAAATGTTTCATCTTGCCGTGCGAACGAAACAAATCTATGTTCTCACGCTGCGTAGATCTATGGGGCCGCGCACCGACAGTACGAGCGTGGCCAGGTTCAGGGCAGCGAGTGCTGCGTGACTCCGTGTTCTAACCACGAGCTACACTTCGTCACTGTGTCAGTTTCGAGCAAGTAAGTGTTAGTTATTTTCATTTGACTCTTGAGTTTCTGTCGGCAACGTCCTCACACGCATGGCGTCCGTGGAGAATCTGTTCGGGATCAACCAAACTAACCTCGACATGGACATGGGTTGTCGATGACAGCCTTTGGCGCCGTTCGTCGAGCAGGTTCTTGCTCAAAAACACCGTTCAAAAAAAGTCACGAAGTTTTTGTATACGGAGGAAGTACAATTACGACTTACGGCCGGTTGTACTTACTGTGGGAGCGGTTTTCCAGCCGTGCTGCTATCCACAGTCAACTGGGAACTTGTGGCCAGGCACAAGGGGTACATGGATGCAGCTAATGGGGTCGTTCTCGGCACTTGTGCCAGTGGTTGTGAGACTTATCCACTCACCCCCACCGTTAGGCGCTGCATCTGCCGCTAGGGTTTACCGGGTGTTCGCAGCCGTCGTGAGTTCCCTTCGGGAACGGACACGATAATTTACTTTTTCTTTTCTTTTTTTTACTTACTGTATTGATAATTGTCGTACATGTATTCTTTATTCTTGTTGAATTCACTGCAGGAAATGAGATATCTCCAAGCTAGACCTGGTCGCATGTGTTGACTGCGAGTCTTATGGCTAGAACCAGCTACCGATCACTGATCAGTGTGATCAGTGCCTGGTCTTTAATGTGGTGAGTTTCAGGCAAGATAGCAACAGGAGCCATAAGGAACTCCGCCATCAACTGTGTCGTCTTCGATCGATACCTTCCTCTTTAGCCGCACGCTCTATTTTTTATATTGACTGGCGCTGTGAGTCCCATCCTCTGCTGGCCTCATTGTCAGCATCTACATCCTCTGCTGTAGCAATCCCTCTTTGTCAGCACCTGCATCCTGATCTACAACATAGTGAGGTGGCTGTAATCTGTAGCTCAGCTCCGCTGGCTAATATTTGCCAGTACACTGGTCAACCTTCTCTCCCCCCCCCCCCTCCCTCACTCCCAGTTCCTATTGACCTGTGGCTGTGTGTGTAGACAGCAATGGGAGCTGCTACCGATACAGCAGTTGGACTGACATGCTGGATGTGCAATAGTGCACATGAACACACGCACGTCTCTTCTAGAAATTATTAGTTCAGAGCATGTTAGACTTCAACCATTGCCAACCATGTCAATACCTACTCCCGATTGGATCATGATCAATTCATCAGACTCTTGTCCTAGTCTAGTATTAATTTTAGTGTTTTTTGTGTAGAAGCCAATACCTTTAAATCATGGAACATCTTTTATAAAACTGAAACCACATTAATCTCTCCCTGCGCCGCATCTAGTCTGGGTTTCATGATTCATTAGAAAACATACCTGTCCAGCCGTTTACCCTTGTCAACGTCTCATTCTCACTTTCCGTTCAATATTATTACTCGCATGCTCATCTCTTCACGGTGCATATGCGCATGTGCATGTATTTAATCTTGGCGAAACTTTATCTTGTCAAATCCTTTCCGCCAAACACCCTTTCTTTACATCCATTACTTGCAATTTTCAAAATTTATTTTGAGGCTGCTATCTCCGTATCTTTTGTTTGTTGGCATCTGATAGAGATGCCTGGCAGTCACACTGTGCATCGACTGCTTACGCAGCTGCATAATGCCGTTTATTATTATTATTTTTATTTTTTTACTATTATTATTTTCGGCAACGCAGATTATGATGATGGTGATCTCCGTACGAGGGATGCAGTCTGCTTGTAACAGCTTGTTCTGCATTTTCCCTTCGCCCTCGACCCCAGATGTTGCACCATCCTCCCAGGTGTTATTTTCAATAATTTGACCTCTTCACGCTAGCACGCAAGCCAGAATTCCATAGCGCTATAGCAGGCTCTAAAGCCACACCAGCTCTGTGAAACAGGGACAGGGAAATGCCGTGTGATAAAAGTTCAGAAAAGAAAGTGTGTGGATGTTGCCTTTGTTGGATGAAATAATGTGAGTGTGGCAACGTACTCCTTCTGTTGTCCTATTGTTCTAATGTCCTCATCCTTACCTGCAGTGCTAAGAATGACTTGTTTTTTGTGTGGTATTTACACAGAATCAGAAAAAAATAGAATCAGAAACAGAATCAGGCTATAATTATAGCCTTACTGTTTTTAATGCCGCAAGAAAACGTTTGGATCATAACTCGACTATTGCTTTGTGACTGCTGATGAGCGCGTTTACATTCTTAATTTCAATATTACGATTTTTGCATCCTCGTCGATTATTTACTGTTAACGATGCCAGAATCGTTTATCTTTTTCCTCATGAAAATCTGGCAAGGAATGCAAACCAAGACCGTACCAGCACACATGAAAGTGAACCAAGACTGGCCCTCTGCTTCAATTGATGGATTCTTACCCATGCCAGTAACTTGTCCTCCCTCTGAACAAGAGTAATTGAGGCTTCCTGCAGCCTCAAAAAGGACACCTTGGTTAAGCATTAACTCAGCTAAACACAGCTACACAGTACAGATCATCGTTACGGCCCTGGAGGTAGTTTACCCTGAAGTTAGGCTCACTGAATTACAGTGAAACTTCAGAGTAAAGTGATGTCAATACAAAGTTGTATCACATAACCACCAAGAAACTGACACATGCCAAAAGAAAGACAGACAGAGAGAGAGAAACAAAGGAAGTGTGTGTGTGTGTATGTGTGCTGTAAAGCACCACAGGCCTTGGAGGCACTCGCAATGCGGGCGTTGACGTCCACTGCCGAACGGCTGTTGCTGGCGATAATGGAACCCAGATACCTGAATTCAGCCACATTCTTGATCTCAACATCCGCCAGCGTGAGTGGGACACAGTCTGCATCTTGGATGTTGCTGCCGCACACCATGAATTGGGTCTCGGCATCGTCGGCTAGAGTGGCTAGGTCACCTGGCGCGCATGGATGACACCCGCATGCCGAAGTGCCTTCTGTTTGGCCAGCTCCCACCTGTCAGACCTGCCCATGGACCAAGGAAACGGTGGAAGGACTGCGTGTCGGTCGATCTTCGACATAACCAAATTGTGAACTGGTACCAGACCGCTAACACATCTCGCATGGAATGGCGATGTAGATACCAAGACCAGGATAAGGAACTGGCCGCAGCAGCCCCCGTTGAGTGCCCCACCTGTGGAAAGGTCTGCTCTAGACCAAGTGATCTTTAAAAGCGCACAAGTGCACAGCGGAGCGTCGCAAGCCAGTCCATCAGCAGCGTGGTGCATGTGAATGCGCAGATTGTGGGAAATGGTACCGTAGCAGGGGTGGACTCGCTGTGCACAGGTGTCAGCCTACCTCAATCGCTAGCCAGCCCGCTTCCGCTCCTTGTAGACCTCGCCAGAACCGCCCAACAACGGATGAACGTGCCAAGTTTCCACTAATGTGTCAGCACTGCTCTCGGAGATTTCGGCAGTCCAGGGACCTGACCCGGCACCGGCGTGTTTGCTCCTCTCCCTCCTCCCGCAATGGGACCACGTAACCTTTAAGGCAGTGGGTCAACAGCACAGGACAGGTGTATGTGTGTCAGACAAAAGGTCAAACAGTGTGTGTGTGTGTGTGTGTGTGTGTGTGTGTGTGTGTGTGTGTGTGTGTGTGTGTGTGTGTGCGAGAGAGAGAGACAGACAGACAGATACATAGAAGCAGGGAGGCACATCAGTTGATTATAAAATGGTCAGAGTCAAGGGTACAGAGTTGGAGTTGAAGAGACCCCCAGCCGTTCGTGCATGACTCTCTCTCTCCGGACAAGAGCCAGTGCAGTATCGTAATGGATTTGCGGATTGATGGTTTTAAGATCATTTCACGAAGTAGTGGAAAGGAATGGAACAGCCACATGCAGAGAAAGAAAAGAAACGGAGCAACAGAGTGCGGAGAAAGGAAACTCCACCGCTATCAAGGCAGTTGTTGCATAAAGTGAGCGTGTGTGTGTGTGTGGGGGGGGGGGGTGATAGATAGATGGATGGATGGATAGATAGAGAGAGAGATAGTTGTGATGAATTATTCATGAAAATATCCTTGGTGAGAAGTTTCTTTTATGTCAGCTTAAAATTAAGGCAGAAATGCTTCATGTGGTTATTGATAGCACTGAGATGACAAAATACAAATAAAAGCACCCAGGCCAGGGCAGGGAATAAACATACCTGGACATCACACCAGTGAGTCATGTGAGTAGTAACCATGGCAACATATCCACACAGTACATGGGTGAGCTAGACCGTATGAACACCAGTGCATGGGTTAATGGCATTGTGATGATCGGCAAGGTCAGCAGTATGCAGTTTAGAAGCAGGATCTCCGAAATTCCTACAAATGTAGCGAAGTAAGACGGAAGGCGTGGTGAAGACATGGCAACTGCATCACACTAATTCCAAATTGATACCAACGGAATGATGAGAAGACATACTCTTTTAAACATCAAATGGAGTTGAAGTCGATCACCAGCCGGCTTGTCTTAGGTACAAATTTACTGCAGAGGATCAGAATGGAAGCACACAAAGAAAATGAGAAAAGTAGAAATACCCTGTTGACATGCATATTTTGTTCCCCGCTCCTGCAATCCCCCCCCAAATATCATTAACCTGGACCCATGCACTTGGATTTACCACTCGTTGAAGTGCATTGTCAAAACTGCAGTATGAGTAGCGGCCATGTTAGATTAAGATGTTGTGAGCCATACCTGCATTCGATACCAGCCATTGTGAGAAGGCGCCGAGAAGCAATGAACTCCGGCCGATCAAAGTACTTGTCTGACATGTAGATAACGTGCTGAATTCCAGACTGGACACAAGTAGCATGCAGTGCACATAGACAGAGAACATAGCCAAACAGTGAACTTTAGAAAAGAGAAAAAGGCGGAGGGACCCAGAACATGAGAGAAAGAGGCAGAGGGACCCAGAACATGAGAGAAAGAGGAGAGAGAGAGAGAGAGAGAGAGAGAGAGAGAGAGAGAGAGAGAGAGAGAGAGAGAGAGAGAGAGAGAGAGAGAGTACTTTTTACAATGAACTTGACATTTAAAGCACAGCAAGCGACACACACTCTCTTCAGTTCTTCTCACCTGAATGATTAACTTGGCACATTCATTACACGGAAACAGTGCAACATAAATCGTGCAGCCCTTCACGTCTGCCGAGTTCTTGTTCATGATGGCATTCATCTCGGCGTGACACACTGCATTGTACATTGCCCACACATACACACAACATACACCAAGCACCATAAACACGGTAAACACCAAATATGGGGCTGAGTAACTGACATGTATGACTAGGGGCATGGCACGATGTCTAACTCATCTCTTTCAAACCGCATGGAGCTGAGCTACAGGGTGATCCACCCAAGCACCAGCACAACGCTAGGAATAAGAGAAGGTGAGGCTGGCCTACATCACATTGACTTTGGTCTGAAAAGGATAACTGGTGCGATCATGGCGGCCGAAACACTAGGATTCCTTTGAACATTACCGTAAAACGGCTAACTTTACCGCCGGTGATATTTTAGCGATTTTAGTGAAAGGAGTGTTTTCGCTAAAGTTTTGCAGCGCCAATCGAAATTTAGCATGTCCAGTACAGTATTAGTCTCTTTTTTAACCTGAAATCCGGATCGCTGAAATAATTTCATCGCGAATTGGTCCAGATTTAGAAACGCTAAAAAACTTCACCCGCTAAAATAATTAGCCGTTCTACAGTACACATAGCGTGTGAGAGGCAAGAGCACCTGTAACTAATTACTTCATTAGTATCCACCAGAAAAGGCATCTATGCTGCATACATCCAGTTCGAAAGCCAAGTTTTCTGTTTTGTTTGGGTCATCACGAATCAAATGATATCCCCACACCGTAGGTGTACGGCCAAATCACCATATCACAAGGTGAAAACGGGAAAACCACCATGTCACAAGGTGAAAACGGGAAAACCACACGCATATTTGATGATATTTCACCTTTCATAATTATTATGACAAGGAGCAATGCACAACTGAGATTACTGAAAATATACAAATTTTTGGCAGCTATTAATTTCGGCTATATTCGGCACGCACCCAAAACGCCTACCGTATTTTCCGGAGTATAGTGCGCACTTTAGATGTGCTATTTTAGGCCCTAAATCTCAGGTGCGCACTATGCTCCGAATATGAAATGCAGATTGAATATGAAATGCATGTACTTCAATGAAGATTGAAGTGCGCACCCCCAATGAAGATTGGGGGTGCGCGTTATACAAAGGTGCGCACTATACTCCGACAAATACGGTAAATTAAGGCTGCGTTTACACGACAACGCTGGGGGTGAAAACGCAACAAAATCCTTTCGGATGCATGGTTAATACACGGTACGCGGAGCAAAATGTAAAAGTTGTACAGTCAACTTCGCTAATAACGACTGCGGATATAACGACAATTCGCGAATAACGACAGCATTTCCATGCCCAGAGCAAAGTCCCTTCCAACTGTAATAATACATATGAGACTCGGGTATAACGACACTTCGCGAATAAGGACACTTTTTTGATGCCCCCGCAGAGTGTCGTTATAAGCGAAGTTGACTGTACACCAAAACGCAGGCTAAGGTGGAAGAATTTGAAAACGGAAATGTTCTGCCGGATAAATTTGGGCGTGTAAACAGTCGAAACGGTTTGTTGGCCTCGTTTTCCGTCACGTTTGTTAGTTTTCGGCCATTCACACGGATCCGACAATCAAAAAAATTGTTTTACAATTTTCGTCATGTGACGAGTGCTGTCGTGTGGCCTGTTTTCAACTATTCCTTGAGTGTGATTGGTGGTTCCACGACAACACTTGGCACATGACGAACTTTTGCGGATCCTTTGCTCCCATGTAGACATGCGAAAACGATACAAACCCAGACCACCTCCGGATCAGCTTTGATCGTGTAAACGCACGAAAACGAAAAAAGAAATGCGGGACTGAAAACGGAAAACTGGCTGTGCGTTGTCGTGTAAACGCAGCCTAAAACAACGATGACATTTTTCACATCGACTTTGGTGATGTACTATTATTAACCCCGTGCCGTGGGCTCTTTCTCCGGGAGTTGCACACTCCGGTTTATGTACTCTTGATATCAGCTGCTTGCTTTGTGTGCACAATGTATTGTCGATATGGCCATGCATTGTGGATATCCTCACTTGATATATTTTGCAAAGTGTGCACATCACATGTTCACAGACCATAAAAGCATGACATTAGCTTACCATACGGGTACTTGGTGTCCAGTTTATCTTCCGCTGTTCTAGACCAGGGTAGTTCGTCATCGCTGCATCCATTCGGCATGCCATTGTACCCAATGCCTACGATCTTGTTTTCGCTATTTACAATGCATGCTCCGACTTGTGAATTCGGATCTTTGCTGCGCTGAGCACTGAGAAAAGCAACGGCCATGAAGTAGTCAGACCACGATAGATAGTCGTCTCTTTTGCTCGCCACTGCAGAGGCTGCTGTTGTTTGACCCTGAGATTGGCTGCTGACACAGGGGCTGAATGCGTTCAGTGGGAATTTATCTGGCAGTTGACAATCCCCGCGATCCTCCAGATTGCGAGGCAAAGAACAGTCTTTTGACACAGAATTACTGGCATTGTTCTCATCGGACAACTTGCAGATCTTTGCTGGAACACATAATCCAGCAGCCTCCGCTGGACGTTTAGTGGGAGTTGACGACATGCCTCTTGATTTTCGGACGATGTTTATGGTCTCTCAGCACACAGTCCTCAGCTCAGCACACAGAGGCAAGACCTCTCTCTCTCTCAGTGAAGGATTCTTTCAAAACGACAATTGTATTGAGTTTGACTTTTGAGCATGGAGCTCAGATCAGAGATCAGAGATTATGGTATTTTTGCAATTTCGGACTTTCGCGCGTTTGTGCTGACACACGTGAAGGTACACGTGCCTGATCTACGCACTACAACTGCGCACGCCACATGCGCTATGCGCGCACGCCGCACGCCCGCATGTGCACACCCGGGGATCGATCCACGCCATAACCGATCCAAAACCGACACCAATGCATAAATGACTGCTAGTAGTAGTACATGATGTAGAGTCTGCTTGTACTGGTATTTCCAAGAGTATTACCCCCCCCCCCCCACCCCACCCCCATAGTCTTGGTACTTTTTTCTTTTTTTTACTCTTGTCTTGGTACTGACTACATTGTTTGAACACAGAAGCCTTTCTTGATACTCTGGTAGTACAGTCGACCTACCCTTATAACGATAACCTCTATAACGATATTACCCTTATAACGATATTTTTCTGGCAAACCAAATCACTCCATTGACTTGTGTATACCATGCCTTACCTCTATAACAATATTGCTATAACGATATTACCCCTATAACGATATAAAATGGGCTGACCAATCGACATTTTCCATTTTATAACAATATCTAGCAGGGAATATGTAGAGCCTACTATCCAGGTAGGGCAAGCTTCACTTGATAAGTCGTTGGGACATGGCGAAATGCAATGGGGCACCAGTTGGCACCTTGTTGTGCACATCATGTGCATGTATGTCAGTTTGTTATGCTATGAAGAGTGTAAAAAAGAACAAAATCCATGAATCATGACGTATGTGTATGAAATGAACCAGTTACCCCTATAAGTATAACAATATCACCCTTATAACAATATTTCTTGGTGTGACGCAAATATCGTTATAAGGGTAGGTCGGCTGTAACAGTTACTGATTAATTACCATGATTAGTTACATGTACATGTAGCTGGGAGGATGGACTGGAGGATGCACTGATCAATCTGACACTGGCAGCAGTGCCAGACAGGGAATGCCAAGGAGTACTGAAAAGGATTTTCAGTACTCCCTGGGATGCCAGGCCAGGCCAGGCCAGGGTACCAGTACCACTGAGTACTGACAGTCGGTATAGTAGTGTAGGCTGAGTACATGACATGTACTAGTGTCATAAGACTAACCATGGTCCGTGGACTCGGTGGTGCTGATGAGTAAAACAACAATGGCAAGATTCAGTTCAGTTCTTGCAGATCTCGACCGCCTAGCGCTAAGCACACAATCATTTTCTGTATCGTCATTTCACACTTGAGGGACTATACTGTAAGGTCTGCGGATAGCTACTGAGTACTGTGGCTGCACACTGAGTGTGCGAACATCAGCCTTTTGTGGTCCGTATGATTCATGAGGTTGTGTCAGTACAGGTCTTTAATTGCCCTGGTATACATTTTTTCTATTCTTTCCTATTGCAAGCAGGGCTGAAACGATCGTGGATTTTCACCTATCGATTACTCTTTGGCATAACGATCGGAATGCTCTGCCCTTTGAAATGAAGTCTTGCAATACGTCTTCTGCATTTAACGCCCATCTTGCCTGCCTTCTTAATTAATGACGGGCCACAATGTACATGTACCTGGTTAGAACAGCTCCTTTTTGAAAATGTTTTCAATGAGTGATGTGTCGCTTTGTTTTGCTCTAATTGGTGCTTTTCTCCAATGTCATGCAGACGTATTTATTCAGCTTTTATTTCTTGTGTACTTGCATACTGGTATTAGTTTAGTCCCACAACCTGCGATAAAATGATCAGCTGTAGCACCTACTCCACTTTTATGTTTATGTATCTATGTCATTCGGATTATTATTATTATTTTTAAACTCAATCTCGTAGCATGTGCACGCATTGCTAATGTGGGGAGCAACCCCAGAGATGAGGGCGATAACCAGCCATGGTAAAAGTACAAAAGAAAACAAGAAAACAGTGGAAAGAAAGGAACAGGGAGGAAAACAAAGCTCAGCCAAGAAAGGAACAGGGAGGAAAACAAAGCTCAGCCTAGAAAGGAACAGGGAGGAAAACAAAGCTCAGCCAATTAAGTGAGATAGCCGGAAATTACATTGTTTAGCTAAACACGCGCGAGTGCTGCAGGAAAACGCAACTCAGTACAAACAACTTGGCGAAACGGGATCTTCCCAAGTTGTACATTGTACTGTTGAGATACCGAATTCAAATAAATCAATACCAATACCAATACCAATCGTTAGCAAATAGTGTCAGAATTTTGTGCAAAAAATTAATCTGTTTCCACACGCTATGTCTTCATAATACCAAAAATCTGCATTAGTGAAAGGGTAGCTCCGAAACATGGCAGTTTTGAAGTCAATTGAACCTCAGAACATGAACCATACCCCTGGCAACTGCATACTCACGGCGGAAACTGATTCAAACTTTACAAAAATGGGGGGTTTCAGTACCTTTAGGACTGAAAATCCCTAATGAGTAATCCATAACGTAACGATCAGTCGATTTATCGATGCATTACCGAGTAATTGGTATAATCGTTTCAGCCCTAATTAATTGGCAAGACACCAATCTCACACTAACTAGTCTTGTTCCCGTTCCCACATCATCTCCACACTGAGGCGATCAGGCTACACTGTAAAGGCTGTATTGATGAGGAGACTAAGTTAAGAGATTAAAGAGATGATGAAAACACTGGACATGATCAACTCACATTGAAGACTAACGCCCAAAACCACAGCACCACGCATCCATGCACCAACAACACACGAGCATGACTTGCACAAAGTATCTCACTACAATATTTGCAAAACAGCAATACTCTTCATTGGGCGCGTTCCATTACACACATTTCGGTAAATTCTAGAATTAGTTATGGTGGATGCACCGTTCGATTACACAAACTCCGTCTTCAGAATCGACGGAATCCAATTCCGTCAATTCTGGAGAGAGGGCGGAATCCTCCCGCCAGAATTGATGCACTCAATGTACACGCCATGCTAGGTCCACGTGTGCGCGAGGGTGTACGGGATCCCACGTGATCCCCTTTTATGATTCTTACGAGTAGCCGTTCGTTCACATGGCCGCAATCCGTTCATTGTGTTCATTCAAGAATTATAAAACCTGGGTCCAGACTGTGTAATCGAAAGCGTCCATTGTTATAGTTCGAGCATTATTATTATTATTATTTGTTTTACATCGGAAGCTCAACAGTGCAGCTGCACAAATATGAAGAGCATATCCAACAATTTTTGCAAAAATCCCTCCAAGAAAACAAAACAACAGATCCGATCATTAAAATCTAAATGGAAGTGTGCATGAGAATTATAGGAGCAGCCGACTGAGAGTTTTATACAGGTGAGTAGGCCACTATAATTATGGTATTTTGTCAAGTGCATCAGTCACCATTGATTAGCGTCCAGACAGCGTTGAAGATTTGAATGCGAAGCAATGGCATCATATTGGTATAGGTGGTCAAAGTCACACCTTTCATTTCAGGCAGGTACTTTGAGTAGATGTTGCTCAGAGGCATGATTTGTTTTCAATCTTGTCTGACTGAAATGTTGATGAGGAAGGTACTAACTTGTTACACCGATCCGAAACTCAATGCTCGGCACACACAGAGTGGCATGGCAAGCTCACCCTTTCACCCAGCTCAAACTAGTGTTGCAGCATTGTACTGGAGTGCACAGTGAAAAGATACCATGCATAACTAGTGAAGTTTTAATCAGCTTGCCAACATCATCAGTCGTGTTGACAAGGCTTAGTTGGCACACTGGGGTGGTAGGGGAAAGTAAGAACTGTCCACGAAAGGTTTGATGCCATGTTCACTCTCTAGCCGGTTGGATGCACCGTGCAGGGTGGTACGGTCGGGAAAATCCAAGGCTTACTTCAGCACTGGTCCCAGAACTTGTGCTGTATGTGTGTTGAGTGGTGACTTCTAGTAGGTACCTGTGGTATTGTACCCTACTGTGATGCATGGAGTTTGCTTCTCATACCACATGTCCACATCTTGCTGTGTTGCCATATACCTCATCCATGTCTGCAAGTGGACACATGCACACACAGCACACACACACACCATATGAATAAACAACGCATACGTCTCCTCGTATGATTTCGAGTCAAGAGGAGTAGACAGGGAGAGGAGCAAAAATGTGGTACCGATCTGCACTGTGGGTGGTGCACTTTCCAGTGAAACCCAGGGAAAGTTTGCCACCTTCCTGACATTTTCTGATGCTAGAGTAGTGTAGTATGATTCGAATGTTTTCCTCCATGCACTGACAGAATGCGTCCCCTTACTTGTTGGGCATTATGCCTACAAGTAGTGTAGATCACAATGACTATTGTTATGATGATGAAGCCAAGCTAGCTGAGCGTAGTTGCTCCTGCCAATTATGTGCTCGTGGCCCCAGTTTTACACGGTCACTCGGATGTAGTATGTACTGTCAGAAGGACTCAGATTTGTTGGTAAAAACATCCCAGCCAAAGCTAACACACTCGGTAATTCATCTTTATTACATCCCAAGTTAGAGCTTCTTGAAAATCAACCACACTTCTTGCTACTCCTAGACAGCAATCAGCTGCTCTTCCAACCTGTTTTGAGCCATATCGTTGCGCACTTACCGATCCGCTTCATGTTTGCAAACAACGACGCAATATCTTGCTTCCTTGGTAGCTTTGTTCCATCATTTGGTTGATTAGCTCCATTCGTGCCAGTACGTGACTTGCATTCAAGGTCACTAAAATCAGAATGCAGGCCAATATTCACGCAGTATCAGCACCAATTACTAATGTAGACCCTGTCACAGGGGAGGAGGTGGTGGGATAAGGCATGTACAAGCATGAAATGGCTGACAGGAAGCTAACTGATACTATCTCCGTTCAGCTGAAGCCAGTCTGTGGGCGTTTGTATATATTTCAATACCCAATGGCATGCCAGGATGACTGCCAGCATAGAGAGATATGGGTGTGAGGGAAAAATATTTCACGGTTCGCGTGAGACTCCGCTAGAAGCCGAGTTTTCCGCATCCGTAGGAACGCCGCCACCCTCTAGGATCAAGGCGCAGATGCAGCTCCTAAGCGGTGGAAGGTGAGTAGATCTGACCCACCACAAAGTGGTCAAAGACCCAAATCCCATTCACTGCATCTATTTTTCCCTCGTGCCAGGCCACGAGCTTCCAATTAACTGTGGGTCGCAGCACGGCTGGAAAAATCCTTCCGCTTCCAAGCAGGACTTGAACCTGGTACCCTCTGTTTCTCAATCAGGGTCTTAGACCATCCCACTATGCCTGCCTGTGTGAGGGAAGCTATGGCAAAACCAAGCTTACACTACAAGAGGACAAGAGAATGGGAGGAGGATGGCATGCAAATGGATCTATAGAAGGCAGTTGGTAATGACACGGGTTTGGCCGCTGCAATGCACTGGATTCCATGAACCACCACACCATTATCATCTCAAGCTGGCATGCAGGTACATTCTGGTTGGAAGGAGTTGATGTTGGTGTGTATTCGTGCTGGTGGACATGAATTGAATATGACCATTATGATCACCAGCATTTCAGCAGTATACAAGACACAGATGGAAAGATTGCCATTGTAGAGAGCCGCTATACTCTCTACTGGAAATAGGCTAGCATGCGTTTGACTACTCATTTGTTACCTAGGTTACAGGGCTCATGAGAGTTCAATAGAACACTGTGTTTATGCGAGTCAGGCCTGCACCTTCATTCATCCGCTGCTCTGAGTGTGATTCTGCCTCATAGTCATACTGCTTTAATCATGAAGTACGAATGGTCTCCATTGTACTGGCACTGGCACTATACAGTGCCTTGAAGCATAATTATGGGCACAACTCACTTGCTTGTTTTGGGTTGGCTATTATCTTCATCTTCACCGTGATCTGCATAGTCTTCCACAACTTCCTTTTCCCCACTGTTGTGACTCCGACTATCTTCCAGTATACCACTGTCTTGTCTAGAGAGAACAAGATCATCATCAGCAGATGTTCCAACTTTGTCCGTCCTTGACCCAAGGCTTGCAGCATTCTCATGTTGTTGCCGATGCTGTTGTTGGTCTTGTGATTGATTCTGCACTACGCGTTGTGATTGCGTGAATGCTTTTAGGCGAGCATTGAGATGCAGCCGACGGCGAACTTTACTCAGAAGGCTGGGTCTGGTCTGTTTTGAAGGGGGAGAAGACGCACCTGCCACGACCACATCTTCCGTGGTGCTTTCGGCTTCTTTGATCAATACGCCATCATCCCCCATTTCAAGAATTTCCACATAGCCTTTCTGTCTTGATCGCATGACCATCTGTCTCTTGTCATATCTCAACTTCTGCTGCTGATACGGATCGCTGTCCGGCTCAACATAATAACCAAAGAACTGCTTGATGGTGATGAGTGGACGAGGAAGTGCATATGGCCGACAACCAGCCCACGGCATGCACCCACCCACTTGCCGGCTATCTGTTGTCAGCGTCCAATCACCTGAGCAGGTTGAAACAAGCCAAGAATCACCAATGCATGATAACTTTAGCATCCACGCATAAGGGTTTTACCAACTTGGATCATAGTTTGGATAATTTATAGCAAAGAAAAAGACCAAGGAAATACAAGTTACGCTATAATGCCCACTAACACCACCAGATACTAAACAATCAGCTCATGCGATAACATTGCACGACTCTGACCGACGGTACTGACGTTCTACAACTAATTGGCTCTCAGCTCTAGCACGTCTTGGATGCGCACTCCAACAGCCTTCCAACTTAGAAGGTTCTACGTTATATGATAGCATAGGAGAGGTTAATTGTAGAACGTCAGTATCGCCGGTCAGGGTCGTGCAATGCTATCACATGGGCTGATTGTTCTAAAGTAACTGGTGGTGTTAGTGGCTAGTGTTAGTGGTGGTGTTAGTCGCTATCATTGCCATCGGCAATGGGCACGTTCAAGGTTCAAGGTTAGTGGACATAATAGCGTAACTTGTAATCCCTTTGGTCCTTTTCTTTCCTATAAATTAATCCTTGGCTCTTCATCTGAGTCTATAGTTCGGATAGTGATCACTTTGAAGTTGGAGTATTTTCTTCAATAAAAATGGAACCAGACATAGGAATAAGACAAGCTTCAACTTTGATCACTCCACTATTCTTCATATCATCGAAAAATCTCCAGAAATAGATTCAACGTGGGGAAAATCTCCAGAAATAGATGCAACGCGGGGAAAATCTCCAGCAATAGATGCAACGTGGGTAAATAGATGCAACGCGGGGAAATGAACTCACTTGTTGACTGTGCAGGGACTGGTGGCCGCTGTTCACTTGGAATAATGCATGCGGTGAGTGATGTTCTCCACTTCTGGCACTGTCTGTAGGAGGAGAAGGCGAGTTCACAGGACGGATTATATCCACCCTGTCTGTCGTGTAAGGTCAGTTTGAACGACGGTAGATCTGCTTGAACAGAGCCAACGCACTGGCGGCTTGCCTGTTTGCGCTTGTGCCAGAACTTGACACCGATGAGGTTGTGAAGTTCTATGGGTTCAAACCTGCAAGAAAATCCAGAATTACATGGCCATGCAGAGATCCTGTCACTATGTGGTTGAGTCTCCCTTGCAAGTTGTAGTGGAGGTCTAGAAAGGGCTACACAATTGCATACGCAGTCATTATGATCATCATGCAGCATGGCCATTGTGTGAGTGTGTGTTGATCCTTGAGGGTGGTTGTGCACCTATTGATGCTCACAAGTCAAGTCTGCCTGAATTTCAGTGAAAACCCGCTATTCTAATGGTATAATATTATCACTACGTGACTCTGGGATAGGATGGACCTGCTGCGGGGAAGGAAAAAACCCACTCGCCTTTATAGCCAGAAAATCGCAAGAAAATCACTCAACGGTGGACTGGCTGAAGGCTGATTTTGCACAGCCAAATAACAACACTCGGGCTATAGACCACATTCTGCTGTGAAATACCAGTACCAGACAGACTGTAAGACTGTAAGTAGATCAATTCTACTTGGCAATACCAAATTTAATAGAACTACCAATACCAGTACCAATACCATTTCTGCATTGGCAGAAATGTGTAGTCACTGTCATAACAACCAGTCCTGATTGCAATCATTTTGAATATCACGGTTGAGTTCTTTGTTCATTGTTGTTTTCACATTCTGCTGATTGTATTACAAACTTTGTGTTGAGTACAGTAGAGTACAGCATACTGGGGTAGAGAGATGATAATTATGGCCTCAGAGGTGCAGCCTGCCTTACCAGTGCAATGCCGTGAATTTCATCCAGGTGTGCCTCTACCAGTGGCTGAGTGTGATGTTTACAAAGTCCAAGGATTGAGAAACGGTATTACTGTGCCAATGCACCAGCACTCAAGTACATGTATATACGGCTAGACACGCTTCCCCATAGTGCATTGGTCGGAATGCAGCAACGCCCAAACAGATAAACCAGTATTGTAACTAACTTGTTTATTGGCTTTGGCATTGAATGCACTCAGACTCTGAATGATGAAAATGATGAACATGATGAATGTGCCTCACCTGGCTGGGGTCGTGATATCCGCTTTGATCTGAAGGCAATGCGTGCTGCCAGGCGGACACCGTGCATTGGCAACGTTCTTGCGTTCTTTTATGCTTAGAAACACAGGTAGTGGTAGACTGATTGCACCCGTAGAATCGTCTCCAACTTTCCTGAGCTGCACGTCGACAGCAAGCAAACCACAAAGTGCGAATGGCAATCAATCTCCTGAAACTTTTTAGGGTAGATCTACCTGAAAGAAGATTGGCGTACCTTTCCGTGAGAATCACCCCGAATCCAGAGAAGCTGAGCTGGTCCTCTGCAAATGGCCAGCGGCGCACTGCTACATCCAGTGGTGCACGTACTCGTACCGGTAGTGGACGGTGGCGAGCAGGATACCATTGTTTTCGTCATGTTGGTCAGTACGCTAAGATCTCCTTGACCGTGCAGAAAGTATGCAACCTTTCCCGACCGATCCTTATGGGAAAGAACGGGAAAGAGCTCAAAGCGTTCGCCCTCCTGGCGAAACCCAGGGGAAAGTACTTCGAAGTACTAGTAGTTCTAACTGATAGAATTGTTTCAGGATAACTTCGAATCAGGGAGCTCAAAACGTGCGCCCTCCGGACGAAACCCAGGGACTCTAACTGATGGAATTATTGCTTCAAAATAACTTCGGATCAGGGAGCAATGGTGTATGATCTTTGATGCCACATGCTTTCAATCAATCTTCGTCACGCCGTGGGACGCCGAATCCTACTGTGATCGATCCGATCCCCGGCCAGGGACACCAAGCCAACCCAAACCCACATTATCAGTTATTCATAACAGACGCTGCCGAATAGAGTGTGCTAATACAATGTACTAGTAATGGCAGCTGCTCCTTAGTTACTAACCGATCAGCATCTACCGGTATGTTGTTCCGAATCCACTCCACAGTCCACTCTCCAGTTTAGGTGAAACCCGGCGTATAACTAGACCAGAACACATACTGAGCGAGGCATTTTGTGACGGGGCTTCTAAGAATAAGATCACACTTTCACAGTGTGCGTGGAGCGGGGGGGGGGGGGGGTGCAAGTGCCAAGGTTCGATATGATCAGGCTTCTACAATCATGTACCTTCTTTCAGCTCTGGTCAAACTGTTTCAGAAGTCCATAGATGCATGCTAAGCTACGCCGGAGAATCCCACTAGCACTGGGCTATTTTCAGAAGACAATAATTATGCCGATGGCCTGGCACAATCCTGTTGAGAACAGAATGATGGATACGGGATCACCACACCGCCGTGCAGATCATCAAACTGCAAAGAGCGGTCGCTACTAACACTTCCAAAGCAAGGTAAATCTCCACGAAGCCTACACACTGTAGGCTGTAGCTTCTCCATGCAGTGCTACTGTACTGTCGAGTACTGCCTGGTCTACACTGTGTAGTACGCATGTACATGTCTGCTGGATAGCTGAACTGTTGTGGACAGTCCGACTGCATGCTGCCTAGCAATGTCCGCTGCAGAAACCAGTCAGAGTAGTAGGCTGCAATGCATGATTCCTCCACGTGACCGCGGAATATCGGTCTCGGTGTACATCTACCCGTACCGGTATGCTCGCTTTGTTTGCTTGCCACTCGTACTCCCAAAACCCAATACCGGTGGATACAGACGAAGATATAATTGACAACAGTTGCTAGTTGAAGCACTCATGTTAAGTTACTGAAACTGAAAGCATTGACAACTGCAGGTATTATTATGTAGCGCGACAAGACAGGGGGGGGGGGTGTCTTTCCTACAGTACTGTGCAATCTAGAGGTGGCCTGAAACAAATTGAAGGGACAGAGTAAGTATTGTCCATGGAGTAACATACTGGACTATCTCACCGCGCCACCCAACCACCCCGCCACCCAACCACCCCGCCATGCCTGCACCACTTTCCTCAGAATTACATAATGAAAAGGAAAGAACTGTTACTTTGGTGTCTTCAAGTTGTTGTATATCATGTTACGCTGTGACCTGCTGCTGAGTTAATATTTTTATGAATCTCAAGGTCAGCTAGCAGATTCGGGTGCAGGTAATTATAGTCAATAAAACTGGACTGTATCAGTTAGGTATTTGTAATATTATGTTCATAGCCCAGTTCAAAGTTGATTTCAATTATTCATTCAATTGGGGAAACACCTGACCATGGTGACAAAAATCAAGACAAGGTGTGGCAGGAAGCGGGGGGGGGGGGGGGTTGGTTGGTTTTTATTATTTCAGTTCGTTGCCTCGGAACAGTACAAAGTACAAATATCAAGAGGGGTCAAGTTGGCTTCTGATATACACCACCGTTGTAGTGCCAGACTGGCTGTATGATGTCACGTGACAGGGGCGGCTACAATGGGACTGAGCAAAACAGGGTGTTTGTATGTAAACTAGAAACATCCACATTTCGGGAGAAGATCAGAAAGGTACGTGAAGACCAGCTTTCCATTTCTTCTCATCGTAACTGTTTGTCCTTGCATTCTAGCATTCTGAACTGGAGAACAGCATGGCGGAGGTGGTCTTTGTGCTGCTGGGATCTGGTCATAAGCAATCAGTAGCGACCTGAACCTAGAATTATGCGTGTCCTTTGTTGGATATGCAATTGGGTATTGACAGGATCCAGCGCACACACCAAACGTGAGGTTGCGAGGAGCTATGGCTCCCATGGCTGTGATGTCGAGAGTGAAGCGATGAACACGACAAAGCTCATTCTTGTGCGTATCCCAGTCCGGCGGTGGAATAGCTCTGTAGGGATGGGTGCCGTATGCTTGGAAGAGATCTCGGAAGAATGGGATTGTCCTAGAGTGATGGTAGTATGTAAAGATCGATGCAGAGTTGCTCAGCGAAAACACTGGCTGGGATGCCACCCCGTCAGTGGCCATGTCACTGGAATTAGTCAATCTTGGGTCACAGCTGGGCTGTCCGTTGATAACTATATCCACAGCCAGCGTAAGATTTTGCCTGTTTTTCTCATGTACGGCCTTCAGTGCAGTCCGTACATCCAGACAGATGTGCTCAGGCAGTCCAGTGACCCTCACAGCTGAGATGGAGTCGGTTCCTATCAGAACTCTCTCCCCAGAACCATCCAGGATATGGTACACAAGAAATGTGTACCTGTCCAGCAGGCGTTCCTTGGCGGCCACCAGCAGGTTGAAATGTAGTTCTGCCCCCACTACTGTTCCCATGACTGCGTCTTGCACATCCAGTGTGAAGTGGAGTGTCTTGCAGTGGCCGGTTACACTGGATGCTGGCTCACCTGTATACAGGAATACCAACACAGTAATACCAATAATAGTACAGAAGCCATTCGGTTAACAGTGAGAGGCTGACTGGGGAAGTGAGCATGCCATAGATGTTATGCGATTGCACCAACAATTTAGATGCTTTGGCGAAGTCGCGGACTCGTGGCACAACGCTGCACTAGCACTAGCGATTCGCGCTGCATACTTGGCGCCCATTAAAAAATCCGCCGGCTCACCCCATGAAACCATTTTGCATAATGCATAATCTCCATTCCCCGTGAGTAACACTCAGTCTATGCACTCTGAAGTGGCAAACAAGAAGGACTGGAGTCCAGAGTGAATGTAACAGCCTGGCATGCCCCTACCTTTTATATCCGACAATGAGATCTCAGGGAATACAGGTCTCTCTCAGCACAACACTGGCTCATTCCCTACCTTTCACTGTAATACTACCTAGTTGTCTGCGTCATCAGAAACGCATACATGTACATGTGCATGCACACATGAACACACACCCACCACGGAACACTTGCACAAAATGTGCCGAACATGCTTTGGCCTAACAAGGCCCTAAGGGGTTACTTTACTAATTCCACATACCAATGATTTCCATCGCCACGTGCACGTAGTATTAGTAGACAGAGAGAGAGCAAGACTATTTGGCTGCGAGGGAATCATGCCCCCCCCCCCCCCCCCCCGTATTAATTTCATGTAACAACTCTCAGACACACCACGTCACTCACTGACCACACAATAATGTATCACGATGTGACAACGTACAATTTGTAGACTGTGTCAGAAACTCACCACTAGCAGTAGTGCTCAGTAGTACTCAGTGTGTGCTTGTGTGACTGGTCCAGTGTGTCCAATGCTTTTCGCCAGTGTACAGGCAATTGTGCAAATTCCAAGGACTTTCTGACAATGTTAATAGTGGATGGATTTTATCATCTGATTTAATATAATGACTTTGCACTGGCATTTCAGCATGCACAGCTAAGAAATCTGCATAGTAACCGTCCTGATAATCAGTACCCACTGTCACATTGTCATTGGCTGCCAGACATTCCACTGACACTGTGCAGTGTATGTAAACACAGTGAGAAACTGTGCCAGCCATGCACCCAGTCAGCCAATGAAGGAGTAACATTACATTTGAGTTGTGGGAAGTGGGGCCCGTGTGACATGGCATTCTGTTCCTTGCAGCAATGGCTTCAACTTCAAGTCGGTCAAACTACAAATTTTGAGCTCAGTGATGACAGTCAGCGCACTACAGTAGCAGAGCTACAAACCGCATGACAAAATCAACCTCTTCCCTAAACTTAATTTGTCTCCTTGCGGCAAGGAGACAAAATTAATGATGATCACATACTCCTATTGCTGAGAAGTACAAGTGCTGACTGGAATACCTGTCAGGCACATCTAAATGTTGATTATCATTCTGCTGTTATTGGATTTGTTTTGACAGGCCTCTACTTTTTTTGACACCTTTATGTTTGTCTACCTTGCTGATCATGATCATAAACTGTCAAAGCGTTTTTTTTTAATAATATGGATTACATGTGTAATTTATACAAAAGAGAAAGACCAAGGAACTACAAGTTACGCTATACTGTCCACTAACACCACCAGTTACTGGTGTAACTGGAACCTTGGCTCTCCATCTGATTACATGTGTGTATGACTTTATATGTAGATGTATGTGTTCGTTTCCCTAGTCTATTCACCTACATAATAATTATTGTATCAGCACGGGTCTATTTTGAGCCCCATTTCCAGTAGCTTTAAAGCACACATGTTTGTCCCTACACGGTACACCAGAGAAACACCTGATGCAGTGATGGTCACATGAGGCTGATGGTGGTCAACGCGTACAGAACATAATGCTTGAACTAACAGCCAGGCAGCCTTACCAAGAGTGTCGTTTTCCATGGCCCTGGTCTCTTTCACTGTGGAAAACTGAACTGCTCGACCGTAGCCACAAATGCGACGCACACCGCCAGCCTGCGAGATGGTCTTGGCAAGTGTTCGCCAGGATTCCGTTTGGGGAGCAACTGGTGCGCTCGTAGGTGCCAGGACTGTCGGCGCTGTCCCGGATAACGGTGAAGGCGCTCTCGTACTGCCGCTGCCGGGCTGGGACGGCAGAGCTCTCACGTCCAACGTCATCAAGACAAACAGCAGAAGTGCGCAGAGAGTTGTGACATTGCAGCTGAAGATGTAGGAATGGCCACCAAGGAGAAATGCTGACGAGGCTCGGCTGGGTGCCCATGATCCCAGCAGGCCATACGCAAATGATGACGGCATCCTAATGTGTTTTGTGGGTTCCAGAGATCACCGAGAGTTGTCAAGAAGCAATAAGAAACTGCAGCGGTGCCAACTTGACGTAGCGTAGCGCTGTGCAGGTTCAAAGTGATATCTTTGGAATGAAATTCACATGGGCATCTCACTGTGGTCTTCCCTTCGTCTCTTTCCCGTCACGGCTAGGCGAAGGAACTGCTTTGTGACACGACAGAACTAAGTTTGTGTAACATGATTTCTTCACATCACCTTCTGGCTTCACATCGCCCCTCTCACACGTCACAGGCTCAGTACGGAGTCCATCCAATGAGTTAGCCAGCACATGGTATTCCTGTCTACAACGGAGCAGAAAGCTGGTCTAGCTGCATGTGGACAGCCGGAGGTCTCCTGGCGAATGACCCCCTGCGGTGGCAGTAGCCAGGTTGAAAAGTAGGCTGAAGTGTTCGCTTGGGACTTGAGATCTTGGCTATCTCGTGCCACACCGCGTATCGCCACCGCGACTGCAGACTCGTAGATCTACATCTCGCACACAACGACCATGCATCAAACCCAAGTCTAGGCCTAGGCCATAGCCTAGGCTAGGCTAGGGCATGCACCTTCGAAATCACGGTGCAGCCACGATCTATCGTGAATCTCTCACTCTCGCTCTCAAGGCTACTGCAATGCGGAAAGAGTTGACTGATGTTACAAGCTGAAGCGCTACTTCCACAGGCTCAGTATAGTGCATGGATCCCTAGGACCCTAGACCTCCTCCATTCGTCCATCGAGATTATTGTCTTATGATTTGGACCTCAGCCCCAAGCTTCATTTCCGCCACATAGTGCAGTCGAGATAGCCGCAGTCATTCTGACGCGAGTGACGGCACTCCCTTTTGATGTCTAGCAATAATTTGTGGGTTGACATGTGGTTGGCATCGTGTTCTGCCAATGGATGACCATGTGCACATTGCAAGAGACAGTATACACCTGTACTGTACTACCAGATCTCGTCCAGTTGCAATCGCTTAGACCCTGCTCCCTGGCCAGGGCCTAAATTTAGATGTCCCTGATCATGACACTGTACCTACTGACTGATGCCGATGCTGGGGCGACCGAGATAGCGGAAACTGTCAAGCAGAACCCCTTCCACGTGGAAATGTACCTCGTCGCAACACACCATCTAGGCACATCGGCCTAAAAAAGTTGAAGTGATGGTACTTCTCCTCACCTCGCGTAACAGTGCAGTGCCAAGCAGCTTGGTTGCCCAAACTGGCAGAGAGCCGAGCGCCAGAACGGCTCCACACCATACGTTCCACAGTCGCAGGTGCTAGGCACAGAGTCGGCCAGACTGGACGAGAGAGGCCGTTACCGACTATCCATCCCATCATGGACACCTCGTGCAGTGTAGACTTCTGTCCACAGAAATGGCTCCATCGGCCTCGTTGCTACATTGTACTTTTGTAGTGAGTCCAGGATCCTTATCACACACGTATCCTACAAGGCTACATGCATTGTTTTTGAAAAATCGCCTACAGACTGTATACCGGTCCTTGGTATAGCCTAGGTGTGTACTAGCTCCATACACAAGAGCTAGTGTGAACATGGGGAATGCCAAATGCCGCTCTCTGATGATCTCTGAAATGCGTGAAACTTGATGTATTACTAGTTACAGCTACACAGCCTTCCGCCTCTGTTGTGTGCGAAAACAAGAGCTTCTGCGAAGTTCAACAGAAACCCAGCGTCCTGTGACACATGGACACAGTCCCAAGGTAAATACTAAAATAATACATAATACCATGAACTTCACTTCACAATAACGTACATATAAACAGTTACTGAGTCAAGTCAAGGCGATCACAAAACCCTCCACCATTCCCAAGCGCGCCCCCCCCCCTGTGTTCTTCCCCATCTACTGGTTAGTGTAATTAGTGGGGTGTACATACTGTATCTGCATAGAGATCTCGCACACCATGCATACCCCGTGAATGGGCCATGAGTAGAGAATCTACTCGTACTACGTCATGTGCTGTAGTGTAGGTGTGATGGCATGATTTCATGCTCTGTTCAAGTGTCAGAGGAACAATCACTGGGAAAATCACTAGAAAGAACGTGACTGTACATTGTCTAGCTAACTGAAACGGTAATGAATGTGTAGTATTTGGAAATTTAGAGACAAATGCTTCGCCTAACATGGACTTTACAGGCCTGCTCTGCATTGAACAAAGCAACGAAGCTCATTTTCTTAGCATGCAAATTCATCCCAATGATTGATAGTTTGAAGTACATTACAGATAGATGTAGTTTAAACAAGAAACTGCACCGCCTACAATGTCGAGGTAGGAAGAAATCTCTGCCACACGTTCGAGGACTGAATAACTACCAGCACACTAGTGGTGATAGGGCTGAGTCACATGATCACTTTTCAACAAAGACCTTTGCCATGCATGCAAATACCACCACAAGATGGCGGGTTGTCGCTGGTAGCTGTTGCCATGGCCAAACAGTACCACCAGGCAGTACCACCAGGCTCAGGGACAGATCTTGCCTCAGCATACCTCACAGTAACCAACTATCGGTTTCCAAAGACTTATACAGAAATTTGTAGGATTAGCGTTGCTGGGAATTGTTCAGTCTGTATATAGCAACACGTCTCTTGAAGTTGATATAGAGCCAGCAAGAAGTCAATATTTCATAGACAATATTCTTCAACTGTATGAAATCAATATGTTATATGGCGAGTGGAAATCTGGGTAGGATCAACACAATGCAAAGTCAAATCACGTATGGCTGGAGCTCAACGACATCATCAAGGCCTTCTTTGGAATTGTTATAGATTGATGGCTAACTTGCTTCAATAAGAACCTGCCTGCAATTCAGTGTATGCTTTGCTAGTACTTGGATAGCTGTTTCAAGGGACAGAGACAGAGAGATAGACAGAGAGATAGATAGATAGATAGATAGATAGATAGATAGAGATAGATAGATAGATAGATAGATAGATAGATAGAGAGAGAGAGAGAGAGAGAGAGAGAGAGAGAGAGAGAGAGAGAGAGAGAGAGAGTACAGAGAAGAGAGGAAAGATATGCCCGTGTGTCGATGTACACCATCAGTATCAAGATCAAGGCCATCACTCAAGCAATGTTAGTATTATCTACAACCGCAGCGCTCTGTTAGTATTATCTACAACCGCAGCGCTCTGTTAGCGTTTGCGGGTACGTTCTCAGGATGAATGCATGGTTGGCATTCGTTGATACGATGGACACACTGCTTAGCTGAATGGGCACACAACATGCGTCCAGGATCAGTTGTTCCGAAGGGGCATTCTCGTTTAGCCCATAGTAGTGGAGTACACCCTGAATGTGCGAGTGTGTCGTTTGGCTGATGTCATTCGTGATGTAATGGCATCGGCCGACGCATGCGTTCAACTCCAATGCCGGCGGACTCAGCACTTTCATGTCCGTCATCAACTGCTGAGTGGGTGTGATGTAGCGAACAAGCTGGCAAGGCTCCTGCAATTTACTGGCCCAATCCACATTGGTAGCGGCCGCTGTTCTTTTTTCACGACTATGTACATCGGGTATGCTGTCAACCTCCAAATGAGCGGCTGAAGACGGTGAACTGGCAGCTTCTGATGTCTCAATGATGTCATCATAATAGACCAGCAGCAGTGGAGATGATGAAGAGTTGTACTGTGTAGCATTGCACTTCAGCAGTCGAGGTTGAGGTGCAACTGCCGTGTCTCCCGAAATGGCATGGACAGCGATGTCGCAACGTTGTGCGTTGCCTGCACCGTTCAGTCGGTCATCTGTGCGATGGCGTTGCTGGTGTCTGGCTATGCGGTCCATGACCTGCCTGAATGGCTGTGTGATATCAAGCACCAGTGAGGGTGGAGCGGCTGTTACCTGCTCTGTAAACACTCTTCCTATGTGACGGCAGGACATTGTCACAAGGTATTCAGTGAGGTGAGGCACCCCTCCTCCTCCTCCTCCTCCTCCTACTCTCACTGCTTGTACTGGAGTGGAATCCAGCAAGCGTAGTTCAGCTTTTAGCAGATGCCTGGCTTCTGCCCAGGCCAGTTTGACCCCTCCGACACTGAATTGAAACAGACTCCTATGATGGCATCCTGTAATGGCCATGAATAGAGGAAGCAGAGTACACAGATACATACTAGATTGCGATGTGCTGATATCAACAAAGACACAGATACGTGTGAATAGGGGTTTGATCAGCATACTGGGAGACCCCATGCTTATCTGCTTGCAGGGATGTGTAGATGTGTAGATGTGTAGATGATCAACAGGGCACAAAGATGAGTAAGGAGTACACACGTTGTATTTGGCCATTGCACTTGTTGACAGTTGGAATGTTGGTGTGGTGTATCACCGCATGTACCTAGTACGGCTAAAAGTGTGCCAGGTTTAATGCCGGCCGCAAAGCACAGACAGGTGAATTTTGTTGGGGAGTGTTTGATCAAGCCGAGCTCAGCATCCACCCTAGCAGGCCCACCATCCCGAGCTCAGCATCCACCCTAGCAGGCCCACCATCCCTGCCACCATGTGCCAGTCTCCCTGTTACTGCTAGTCTAGCTGTATGGCCCTCACAAACACACATGACACCCTGTCCCATATATTCATGTTCCACTTGATGCCAAGTGCTCCTTTCTAATGGAGCAGACCAGACTAGCCTGAGGCTGATACACTGTACTGGTCATGTAGCTAGCAGTTTGAAAACTCACTGAAATGATTTGCCAAATCCTTTACATCAGAGAGCTAACCTAGTCCGGAGACGTGTGAAAAGTGGCACCTAGAGCATCTCAGCAGAAGAGTCTCTGCCAAACCTAATAGCTGCTTTGGCTAATTGTATCCAAGTACTCGACACTTCATTAACACTGCCGCATACCGCAGCACATTACCGGTAATACAAGCATTGACGGAAAACCCACGCCATTAATGATTTACCCATTTACACAGTTCCCTGAGCACTGAGAGGAGTTAGCTAGGCTGGCCTGGTAAACATCTTGCGAAGTGAGTTTCTTCTTACAGCTGCAGCAAACCGCCACCATACATACAATATGGTTTTGAATATGCCATGCTTTACAACAATCTCTCCACTGATCACTACACTATTTACCATGTCACAGCCATTGCCCAGTGATAGAAGAACTCATTCATTGTCAATAAGATTTGAGCCAGACTCCATGGAGCTACAAGTAGTCCACAGGATGGACGCACTGCTAGATTCTTGTCACAGGACTGCCTTTTAGGAATCTAATTGAAGCTGACATATTCAGTCCAGAAGTACTCAGTCAGGTTCACGGCAGCACACCAGCAAAACCCTACAATGTACCTGCTTCACTGTACTAGCCCAACTGTTCAACCTGTTCAACCGTGTGTCACACTGTTCAACTATTCAAGAGTGATGGTTATCTAGCTAGTCACTCAATGGCCATATTGCCTGTGAATTCACACTTAGGTCACCTTTCAAGAATGTTTATTGTACATGCTGTCTCCACAGTATTCAACTTACAAGGAGCACTTTGTGTGAGGGATTGCCAACATCTGCTCCCTGTAGCTGGGTGCAAATTCCCCTGCTATCTGGTTATTCCTATCCCTTTGCCTAGGTAGGCTAAATGGGTCAAGCAGAACAGGCCAGTTATTTCACACACCATTACCACATCGGATACCCCCTCCCCCCCCCCCCCCCCCATACACACGTATACACGGCACCCCCACACACACCTACCACTACCCATAATTATGATTGCTCCTTGCAGGCAGTGCTCTGTTTTGACCGCAACACATCACCAATGTGTACACAACACCCCTGACCACCATCATGTTTGTGTGATACTAGTATATGACAGGACCCCCACTAACTAGGCTTTGCCCGGCACAGTCTGGTATACTTATGAGTAATGTGCACACCTTACTGGCTACCCATCTACTCCATGGATCCAGTGGGCTAGCTAGATGCATATACATGTAGCATACAGTCATGTTCATATACATGTAGTTCAAATATTTCCCACCCACTGTGCATTGCCAGCAATGAATGATGTACATTATGCAACATTGTACTGCAAATATCACACCTCATTTTCAACAGGCACATGTGCAGTGCATTGTGTTCCTGATGTACAGCAATTCCCATCTCAAGAGTGTGTAGTGTGCATTGCTCACTACATGTAAGTCGAACTCTACTTGACTTGGCATCCAACAGTCCCGTGTGTAGTGTGTAGTGTGCCACATGATAGCTACAATGTAACTGTGTGGTTGGAACTACATGACTATCAGTATTACAAATTAATGTACTCTGGAAGTCTGATAAAGAGTCAGTACTGCCTGTGGCCTAACCCATACATCACTGCACTGCATATCAGTAGTGTATGCAATACAGCCCTTGTCAATCACCAGTAACCCACCCACCTAAAACACACTTACTTACTTACACACAAACACACACACACACACGCGCGCACACGCGCGCGCGCGTGTGTGTACATGCATGTTCACACACACACATACACGCACAAACACACACAAACACTTACTCACAAACACAAACAAACATACTCACACTCGTAAGCATAAACGTGCACACTCATACACACAGGAAACATCAACGCGTGCAGACACACAAACACACACATACACACACACATAAGTAAGCCCAAAAATTTAGTGAGCTTACCTCTGAAAGGCTGTGTCCGAATTTCCATCGCCCTGTCAGACCAAACGCTCTCCTTCGGATGCCAATTCGGTGCCATTCGTTCAAGATAAACACTTCTCAGCGGTTCTGGCAAGTTATCCACAACTTCACTATCTTGTCCAAATGTTTGTATAGCGTTTGACAGCAGTAGCTGCACTATGAGCAATTGCAACACCACGCATTGCAGCCATCTCTCCCATTCCAAACATTTTACGAAGGAACACATCACGCAGAAATAGAACCGCAGCGACCACTCTCCGATGTATGTTTTCGTTCAGAGTCTGAAAAACATGGATTCTTGACTGGAGGAGTTGAAAGGTGTCGACTGAGCGCAATGATCCGCAGTATCCACAGCATAACATCACTGACTGACACGCTGGCCCGGTACAGTCCTGACAAAGTAGTGGGAACTGTGTTACCACTCGCACTAAGTTTGTAGATTGTGTTGCGAGGCGTGGGCAAGCTGGTACAACACACGGACGATGTGGTATAGATGGTGTTTGCTGATTTGATTAGCGACGACAGCTAGAACTAGTAGAAGAGGAATTCGTCCGCCTTCTGCTGGAAAGTGTGGTTTTCGACTTCGGCCACACAGCGTGTTACAGCGTCGTAGAGTTCACACGACTTGACACCTGACGATATGTCAAAACAGGAAAGAAGAATTTGACTCTTCTATATCCACGCAAACAGTCGAGTCGAGTAGAAGTCGTTCGTCCAACGCTATCAGGCGGAAGCCAAGGACTATCAAGTGATCGACGATAAAGCATGAAGCGACCTCTCAACAATTTCCCTAGCTGCAGGAGTTTATTTACGCTAAGAACCTTACAGATTTGCAGAGTCGACAGGCGTAGTACGGAGGTCCGCAGCAATAGATCACCTGCATTTATCACGAACAGTCCTGTCCACCAAACGCCACCACTCGTAGATTTCCCAACGTCCAACACTAGCGTGCCAGCAAACCAAGTCACGTCAGGTTATTGTTTTCCACTTCACTCTATCGGCATACGACTGCCGCAGTACTACTATAGTACTAGGCGGGAGAGCTGCAGTAACAGTGGGAGCGTCCAATGATAGATGTAACACTTATTCAGACACACATACACAGCGAGAGAGAGATAACAAGGGCGTCCTAAAGAAATACTTCAGCAACACGGAGCTTGGACACGAGTAGTTGTAATGTGTCGATGCCGAGAATAGACCTTGTCGTTAGCTGTACTTGGTCCTGGTGGTAGAAGGAAGACACTGGCGCCGAGTTAGAAAGCGCCTCTCTAATTCTAGCCTTCTCTTTTCGCTTGGAGCAACTCAACAGCAGGCATGGCCTTTCTGGAAGACAGCGCAGGAGTCGGGTGCGCTCACACAGAGACGCACAAGACCGTCCAGTGTGAATCGACGCCCTGTCTGCTGTGGTCGCTTGAAACGCAACGAACACATCAGACCATGCAGACAGCAGACTGCAGCCAGTAACAGAGCAAACACAGCCGTTGAAACTGGCTTGCACGGCAGCACACAGCCGTTGAAACTGGCTTGCACGGCAGCACACAGCCGTTGAAACTGGCTTGCACAGCAGCTGCCAACGAACCTTCAAGATCATACACCTTCCAAAGCCATTAACCGAAAGATTTCGAAAAACTCCTTGACCATCTGCCAACTTCCTTTCGCACCATCTTGCTGCCGATTAAAAGCGAAAATGGCCGGCATTGAGGTTGGATGTCCCATTTCCGCTGTGCCTCTCGATCGCTTCACAGGCCGTTTGACTAGATCGAGAGAAGCTGCAGCAGTAACATGCTGCTGCCCCGCCGTCCATGCTTCCTCCAGGCTTTTAGGCTAGCTGAGTCCTCGCAGGGCAGCAGCAGCAGCAGTAGCAGGCTGAAAGTTGGGCTGTGGCAAACGCGTATTTTACATGCACAGAGGCCGTGACGGTGTAACTGGAAGGATGTGCTGGGCACTGGCAATGCCATGAAGTAGAGAATAGCGTGTGTATGTGTGTGTGAAGCTGGCCTGCTGCTGCTGCTGCTGCTGCTGCTGCTGGTCTCATAGTCTGTGCTGGGCTGTAGTCTGCGGACGGCGTCGTCCTCAAGACCCGCACGGTACTACGGCGCTGTCAGCAGGCGAAGTCTGGATACATCAACATTCATGATTCAACACGCCAGCACACCACAGTCTCAGTACACATAGCCATTACGATGGCATGTATGTTGAGAAGGTCGCATGCCATGAGTGGCCTCTCCACAGGCCGGGAGGAGACTTTAGCTTTGTTTGCATGGTTCCTTCCACACGTTACGCTACATGCATGTATCTGTGGTTGTGTCCGGGTATGGCCACTATGGGTATGCCTACCGTATGATCTACATGTACACTGCATACAGTGCATGCAGTGCAGCACAGTTTGCGGGATACGGGGCTAGTTGGGTAGTAACATTGTTACCATCCCAGCAGGGAGTCTCTCCCATCTACAGGTCCTCACACTGCACCATGTTTTCTGTCCCACGGGCAGAAATCTCCGATACTGCGATAGATCACTGTGGAGTGTGGTGAACTCTGACTGCTGCAAGCTAGCTTCCACCTATGCTTTACAGACTCGCGTCCAGGTCAGCGTGATATCAGCAGATCTGCAGAGCTGACTACTACTACTGGTACGTGGCTCTTTGGACGAGAGAGCTCGCACTCAACCCAGGCCCCATGTCATGGTAATGCTTGGTACAACCCATTGTCATGCTTTCGCATAGTTCATGCCATCATGGTTCAGCTCGAGGAGAAGCGCGGGCCGAGGCGGAAATGGCAGATTACTTCAGTTTCGAGATGAGCTCGTGCCAACAGTACCGTTGTCACCTCGGAAACACTATGCGGCATCAAGCATGTCATCCGAATACATATTATGCTTTTACGCTTTATATTATGCTTTTTATAATGTACACCTCAGCCAACAGGATCACAACCCATCCCACAATGTGCTGCCTTCGGAGGAAAATTGAGGAGTGAAGGACAATGGAAAACTACATCACTTCCCATCGCCGTTGTAACATTGGTCTTCGTTTGTTCCTGAAATAACAAATTGTATTCGTCTTATAACTACGGGTGTATTTCCGTTTGTCCCCTCCTTTGCCGTTGGACCATAGCTGAATGCCTGCATGCCTGCACCCATGAATAAATACCTGGTGTCTATAAAACTTACCGTGGTCGGATTGTGCAGTGGCGGAGCAGCGAAGGACAACTGGCACCCGACGTGTTTATAGTACACGGGATCAGGAGTGGGGTAGCAATGAGGGTCACTCGACATTCTTCATCTCACCCTGCCCAATCAAATCCAGGCTTACCGAAAAAGGCAAAACCAACAAACTCGTTGGATGCCACCCGCTGGGAAGCGAGGTGGAAATATCTTGGACAGTTTAGCTCGCCTGCTCGCCGCCCTCGTCCCAACACTGCCGACAGTGTCGACAGTGTTTCTCTGCCCAAAAATACATGACATGATTACCGGAATGAACGTCTCTTTGTGGCTTGCGCGCCTACCACCGTGCGTCACTGTCACGGAAACTATTACTTGTACTTGCTAATGCTAGTCTGTTAGCAGCTAGCAGCAGTTGCAGGTGAGTGTGAGTAACAATACTAACATCAGTTGACTGGTTTCTGTCTGCAGCTTCAGTCTTCAGTGCTGTAGGACTTGCGTATGCGGCGTGTGTGTGTGTGCGTATGTGCGTATGTGCGTGTGTGTATGTGTGTGTGTTTGTAGTCTGATCCTAGCTGGATATGGGAGTTTCTACTACAGTACTTGTACTGTAATAATGTAGCATCATGAGCCCCAAGCGGACCAAAGGGCTATCACCATGGGAATCCTGGGGTAGTTGTGTACTTGTGCTACATCATGACCTGAGCATTGCAATGACACTGCATGAAGCCTAGAAGGCGAGAAAGGTAACGACGTGCAGCGATGGATGGAGTAACTAAGTAAATACATGTAATAATAACTGTTAGTTAGTTGGTCTCGGTCTGAGTGCCCCTACCAAACTACGCACTGTCGTGGCGCGAGGGCTAGGTACTAAGTGTGCATATTTAGGAGAATATTAAACACATCCAGTGTTGGTTTGTTTATCGACCACTTGGGAGGTGTGAAGATCGACCCTACAGTTCTGCAGGTCGGCCTCTGCTTGGCTAGCACCCCTCCTCTTCCACGTCCTCACAACCGTAGCAGTCGACTCGACGAGTGGTTAGGCCACTGGCACTGCATATGATCTTACTCACATACAATGTAGGCTAAACAACGAATAGTGCAGGACCGGTTTTTTTTAACAACAATCATGTTAATCCTGATGTTCGGAAGTTCTGTTCAAAGATGCATTGTGTGCGTCTCACAGTAGGCAGCACACGCGTCTATCGCACAACACCAGTCACATGCACGTCAACACAAGAGCAGACAAGGTCCAGTGACTTCATAATAACTGCGCTACTCGGACTTCCTTGCGAAATACATCATCAGCTATTATCGACCGGACATTTCCAGTCACCGTTACAAAGCCCATGAACATCTAACTCACACGTGTTGCACCAACACACGGTCTCTGCTCTCTGCTCCCGATCCCCTCGACCTCTCTATCACTGGTGCATACATGTAACATGAAGTGAAATGATTTGGAGTCACGAGTTAGACACGAGTTGGTTGATTGGTTGGTTGGGTGAATCTTCCTACGTCTGACGTCACTGTGTCAACAGTTATTAACTGCAAACGTAATGGCACGAATCGTGTGATGACACAGATCATGGCCATATTTAAAACACGGCCTATTAGAATTAAATACATTTGTCCGCAGCTGTTGACTCCTCCCGCAGGTTCAAATTCAATCACTGGCTGACCACTGGATGTTACGCGTATACGGTGTCAATCAGTGCGTTACATGCCAATTTCCCTACACGACTCACTGTTGATTGCCAATTGTTCACTTTACACACCCACAGTGCCACAATTTTTCTCACCACCACTCGAATTAGCCTGTATGAGCAGACCCACCAGCAGGCACCCTGGTTTGGCAGTTGCCCAGCTGTCTTTACGCGGAGGGGTTACTCATGTACTTTCACCGCACACCTGCTGCAGGGCGGGATAAATAATTGATCAATTATTTCCTACAGTTCCTGCATGTTTAGTTATCACGACTGGGAGCTAAGCAACTGCCACGGTTTGGTGTATGTTCGCACAGTCATCGGAACTTCGTCTAGGGAGCAGGCTTCATGCATTTGGACATCGCTAGATTTTCATATTCCGGTACCAATGGGAGCGTGTCAATGAGGTCGTGCACACCCTCCTACTTCAGTACATGGCATAAGAAACACCCAGGCACTGCTAATTCGTGTACCGATGCCCTTCATGAACATGTGGTATTCAATTCCTCTGATCACATGATGTGCTTTGCGTGCACCGAATCTCCGGCAGGAATGGAGGCTTTTCAATCCCGCACTATGTGGCGTGTAGCATTCTCGTTTTGTCCAGCAGCTGCGGAACTCAGTCACTTGCGATTATCAACTTCCAAGACGCTGTGGGCCGTGTGGCATGCACCTAATTACATGCCACACTCGGAGCATAGGAACGCGTGAGTGTGCCAAAAACTTGAGATGATGTCGATGCACTTGATAGATTGTATGTTTTCGACACCACTGGTACGTCATAACCACGAAGTGGATCGGATGGGATCGTGCTGCGTGTCAGCTTGATGGGCATACAGCAAACCAGTGGCAGTTACATAATATTATTGTACTTCAATTGGTAGATTGCCCTGACACTATGTCCTCAGCAGTCCCTAGTAGGCCTTACTGACCTGTGACAACAGTGAACATTATGATATCCTCACTATTATTATTATGGCATATCCTTGGTGACCTCCGACAACAGTGAACATTATCACCATGTCATGCATTGACAGGACAGCGCATTTACACCTAAGAGTACAAGTTACTCAATCTGCGGACAGAACTGTTTCGTCCTTTGTGGACTCGTCAGCGCAGCACAGAGGAAATGAGGCCGAACCTGATAGCAATGGAAATAAAAATTTCCAATCAGGCCCGAACGTACCTTGCCAGAGTGCTCAAACTGACAAGTCAGTGAGCTCTGCGTAAAGCAAACAGCAAAGGCACTACCCCACGCAAGAGTGCTCAACTGCTACAAGAGCAGGAGCGAAATACTCAAGAGTACAAGTTATGTTGCTAAAACCTTGCAGAAAGTGCTCAATGCCACGAGGGCAGAGCTAAAAACACAAGTTAGCAATGGAGCTAGGCTGTTGTTGTCTGAGGATTGGCGGACAGCCATGAAACTCCGCGTTACAGCTAAATTCAGCCTACAATTATTGTGGTTCCATTGCTAACTTGTGTACACGTAACAGTGTAGATATTCCTACTTTTGGTCAAGTTTGCACACACACACACACAACATGTACATGCACATGAAGGTCTCCATGCATGATTTCCATCTCCTGATTGTAATCATTGGTAGGGTACATGACATACATGACTGTACATTGTATGGAGTTACCGGAGTAACTCGTTGTCCAATCATGCATGAACCATCATTCTTATCTGGCGTGTTGGGAATGTGGTAGCTCTTCATGGTCACGCCCTGTATGTACCTGGTAGAGCTTTGCAATAAGCCAAATGGGCAGTTTGAGACATGATTATGAGTTCAACATAGTGTTTGGAGTGGGCATATGCCTGTGAGGGACCGCCCGGGTGTGTGTATGGGGGAGGGGGAGGGGGGGGGGGGTGGTAGATATTGGCATGCAATGAGACGGTTTCGCTGGAGATTGTCCATAGGATATGCGGGTCAGTATGTTACTGTATGTACCATAGAGCTTAGTTTCACCTCCAACTGAACCCTTTCTCGTTTGGGCATGGTAGTAACTGCATGGTAGTAACTGCATGGTAGTAACTGTATGGTAGTAACCATGGTAACTGTATGGTATTAACCATGGTAACTGTATGGTAGTAACTGCATGGTAGTAACCATGGTAACTGCATGGTAGTAACTGCATGATAGTAACCATGGTAACTGCATGATAGTAACCATGGTAACTGCATGGTAGTAACTGCATGGTAGTAACCATGGTAACTGAATGGTAGTAACCATGGTAACTGCATGGTGCACATCTGGCCATAGTATAACATGTATTGTAATTTGCTCAATTCATTGCCTCGACAGTACCACCGTCAAGGGGGAGGAACAATAGGAACAGCGGAAAGCTAGTGCGAGTGCATACTAGTAGTACACGATGGAAAGAAAATAATAATTAATGGTCCAACATCATCAACAACATCCCGACACTATTTTTTATGTCAACAGTGCATGTACAATATCGTCATGCTTTCAATCACGCTTTTAGAGTGTCGTTCTGTTTACTCTGGGCCTATTAATTTTAGTAACCCATCTCCGCGACATACATCATGTACATCATGTACACGTACACGTACATTGTCAGGTAGAACAACACCGGACATTGTCTTGTAAATTAGTACTGTCACCATTCTTTCTATTCACAAACCGCAAACTCCACCTGAGGCAAGAAAGTCCACTGCAGTGTTGATGTCAAAATGAAAATGTAAACAGGGCGCTGTCAGTTCTCGCCTGCAAGCCATGGCATGTAAAGTAAGCGGCGAGAGACTCAAGTAATTATTGTGTTGCCATTGTCACGTGACTCCCGTCCGCTAACTTTAAAAGCAGTGTCCCAATCAATCGGCGACTTGAACTGCCGCTGATCAGAAAGCCGCCTGAGTGGAAATGCTTCTTTCAAAGCTTTTCACAGCAGCATCAACTATCTCTGTGACAAAATACGGTCGGCTGAGTGTGATTTAAGGAACAGGGATAGACTAAGAGGAATGTAATAATGCCGGAGGGACAGGTGATAGAAGGATGGAGGAGCAGGGGAGGGATAGTATAGAGGGATGGGGTGTGGAGGAGCAGGTGATGAAGGACAAGGGATGGAGGAGCAGGGAGTAGTACTACGGAGGGACAGGGGATAGAAGGAAAGGAGATGGAGGAGTAGGGAATAAAGGGACAAGGGTAGAGACACGGGGATAAAGGAGCTAAAACAGGCCATTACGGTATCCCAGATTCATTCTTATTCTTATTCTTATTTGGTTTACACTTGTGGTGTGGTGTACGGTATGATCGGAAATACTTTTTTTCCTGAAGGAACAACCTACTCGTAAGAAGAGGGGACAGAAGTAACAGGACAACGCAACAATGGAAAGAGTAGGGGCTCCAAGAAGGAACCTGCGCTGGTGAGGCGAGCCAATAACCTCGCCGAACTGTGGTCTCGGTGCTACTGCAAGCTTGCGCACCATGGGAGTTTATTGGGAGTCAGTGGAGAGAGGAGAGAATGGAGAAGGGAACTATCGTAAAGAGTGAGGATCCGATGTGTGGAGAAAAGGATGGGAATGTAGAATATGTATGGGTGATCAGGGGTGGAGGACACGACTCACAGGAGTACGTACATGTAAATGCCAGAAGGGGTGCATGCATCTTGATACTTGTTCCTGTTCCTGGCTAGAGGGAGTCAGTGGCCCAATCTTCCAGCTATCGCCAGTAATGCGAATGAAACCATGCATTGTACACATGTATAAGCCCTGAGTGGGAGTGGTACTGAGTGGGAGGTCGGTCATTGCATCCCTTCATTCCATACTGAAATACGCGTACATGTACATGCATCGGGGCATGCAGTGTTTAGAAGCAGCGGCGGCTTAGTTCGTGTCGCACCATAGGCTATAGCCTAGCTGAGCTGACATGCCCCATACCTGTAGTCATGCATCGATCTGACCGCGATGGTACCTGGTCAATGGTAATAATAACATAAGGTCAGCATGGTTGTGTCTCCTCTTGCTCGCTCGAGTCTGCCAGGGAATAATAGGCAATTTGCTAACACTTTCCTAACACAAAGCACTGTTTGCCGATCTATGGTCAAACCACTTGCTTCGAGGCCATTATGTATTTACAAGTTCTTCCCCCAGGCGCAATATCCAAGGAAAGACATAGCGCCACTGAAAACGCTGATTACATCCTTGTCTTTTCAGACTTTTGAGGTGAATGATCGCGCGTAGAGAGCTAAGAGAGAGAGAGAGAGTCATCCAGGACTAAAGTACTTGATTGTACACACGTTTATCTAGCCAGCCTGTTTTCGACACTACACGTAGTTCCTATCAAGAGTGCTGGTCGCGTGTTTTCTACCCCAATTCCATCTAACATATCGGGTCAGTGTCAGGATGAGTGACCACTGAAAGTCTGAGCTCAAGTCTGTTTACCCCCGCTGATGGCTTAGGCAAGTAGCTCGTTTCACTGTGTGGGCACCCCTGGGCGACCATGCCCTCACCGCCCCTCTCAACCCATGCCAGAACGAGATGATGTGTGACGAAACGAACCCTCCACAGGGCGCCAACAGCAAGCCCCAGCCAAAGTCACTGCCTCTTTTGCGGCCACACATTTATGACCAAGCAAGCCTTGTGGGCCATGATCCTTGTGCAAGTGATTGCATCTAGGCGTTGCGTTTTGTAATTGCAGATCTACATCTGAACAAGCTCAGTATTACTGTGTTAGTACAGAGGTAACCTCGGGGCAACTGATAGTAATTATTGTTCCAAGACGGAACACTCAATTACTTCCTTCAACATTCCATTACTAGTACCAGCGTAATGTTACATTTGATCCATCTGGCTAGCTTCTGGTGTAGTAATCCTGGTCATGGCGGCATCCGGCATACCGGTAACCGTAACCGGCGATATACAGTAGCTGTTTTCAACAGAGTTCAATGAGACAATTTTGCCAATGTTCCCAGCTCAGTATTGCACTAATATCGTGGCTGCAGGGAGGGTGGGCAGCTATAGCTAGCGCCAGTGGCCATCTAGGGAAGAACCATGACAACATGTACTTTGAAGTAAAGAGATTATTGGCGGTCTCTTGTTTATATTCACTGGATCTGTTACATTATGGACAATAGTGGGTTCAAACTATATTTATCGTTTGCAAAGGTGCTTCCCTATTGGATGCACATGTTCTTTTCTCCTTCGTATCGGCGCACATGAGTAACGATGAATCCGAGACCTTTGGTCGGAGGAGTTACTTTTACTGTCTTTTGCCCCGCCCCCACTTCCATCCAATATGCCACCGCCCCCGCTGTGCAGCATCTGATGGTTCTGTGGTATTCAGTAAAAAAGAAGAAGCTAAACCGATGCCGTCATTGCCATGGAAAAGTGAGCTGAAGACATCTGGTCGAGATGTGTGCATATCCAGAGATGCTTTGTGTAATACATAATTGTGTGTACTGTGCACACACACACACACACACAAACAGAAAGGACAGGCTACATGATGAAGCAAGGGGCCGTGAGCATGTGTGGGTTCAAATCTCACCCTTCGATCCTTCCTTTGCAACATCGGTACCCAAAGTGGCTGTGGGGCTCAAACCCATGGCTCGCCATTCCCCGCGTCGAGTGCGAGTACATACGGTGAAAGGATACAGCCTGTAGCTGGGGATCCGGGAGGGGAGTGCACAACACAGTCATTAGCGAATTCAAATAAAGAAAATAACAACAAAATTACCGCAGTGAAAAGCCGCCATAATTTGATAAGTACAGTTGACTACTTCGAAGTACAATTCTGGCAGAGGACACCTTCAAAGGTGAGAGAAATCAAGAAAAATGTTAGAAAGCAATAATTTACAAATGCACCGATAGAGACCTATCCAATCTATACTCAGAAGAACTAGAAATCTCTGCAAGAAGAAATGCTTCACCAAGAAATAAAGGGAGCAAGAGATTATCTGAAATACAAAGGAATCACCTAGACAATAAGTGGGTTGCATGCAAATGCAATTGTGAAAATGATGAAGACAGTTGCCATTTGCAAGCAGGAAACTAGAGGAAGCAGCACACATCACATTAAATAAACACCGTACAAGACACAACAGCAGTAATAGGCTTTTGAAGCTTGAACACCAGCTGGCATTGCAGCACTAGTAATACTTATCATTGGTCTCATTTCGCAAATCATAGTGCATAATGCTACTCTAATTCATTATGGTTTTAAAAACAATTTTTCATCAGCTGGAGTTTCCTGACTGCTGCCCGGTTGCACATGCATCATTCCAGCACTACTCAAGTAAACACAAAATGTACAGTTCTGCAGAGTCACAGGAACCAGCTACTCTAAAACAGGCTAAGTAAAAACATACTAAACAAAAACAATGGAAGAACCAAACCCAACTGGTGGCTCTCCCTCAACTCATGTTGCGCGAAATGAGAGATGAGTACAGCAACTTTCTCTCTGTTTCACTTTCTCTCCTTCAATTCCCGATTGAATGCACGGCCGATGATCAGACGCCTGACTTCACTAGTACCAGCGCCAATTTCATACAGCTTGGCGTCTCTCCAGAAACGGCCGACATGTGACTCGTTCAAATATCCAGTTCCACCTACGGCAAAGCAGTATACATGAACATGGACAGGGCAGCAGCAGCAGCAGCAGCAGCAGCAGCAGCAGCAGCAGCAGCAGCACACAGGCACAGACATAGGGCACACCATTGTATAAAAGGCAGTGTAGAAAGCAAGCCAGTCATGAATAACCCCCCGGGCATGCTACAAGTACAAAATACAAGAGCAGCAGAGCGAAGCATGCATGTCTGTGAGAGTAACTATTTCACAAGGGCTGCAAACAGATGACACACAGCAGCGCACATGCACAGGCTGGGGACATCATCATGGTGCCAGAAGAAAAGGCTACACAGTTGCCATCTCAACATCCCCTCAGCTAATGAATGTCTACTAAATCGCTACATAAAGTCAGAGACAACAGTGAGTATGTGGGCCCAGGAAATCTCTTGGTTATCGGTTATCGGTGAGATATTATTCCACCATCAGCCCCCCCCCCCCCCCCCCCCTCCTCAAATAAACAAGCAGATTGAGAAGCACAGAGATATTCAACTTTGCTGTTCATACAGGTACTTTTGTCATGATCAACAACCCCTCCTACACACTAACAATTCGCTTTCATGTGATAAAGCTGGGTGCAGGTTTTCGCGCTCTGAGGCTCCCACAGTTTCTCGCCAGGAAAACCGGCATTAGGCCCAATTTGGCTTAAAAGCCCAATCAGTATCTGACAGTTGGTAGATGGCCCTAAACCAGAACATAGACCTCGCACTGCTCGAGCTTTCCGCACTCCACAAGCTGGCCCAGCAACTCTCAATCGAGAAGTGGAACTCGTTGCCCCGCCCGGACCTTGTTGCCGCCCCTCAGGAACTCCGGAATCGGAACGCATCCGCCACACCATGGCTCTCCAGGTATGGATGCACTGATAGGCACAATTACCGATCTGTCTACAACCATTTCCACTCTAACTGCCGAGATGGTTTCTCAGCGAACAGAAAGGGATAGAGAAATAGTATGCATGAAGACAACCATTGACGAGCTCACAGCAAGAGTTCTCCAACTCGAAGAGGGCGCGAATCGCCAACGGCTGCATGTAACACCCTCAACCGTGAACATCCCCGGGGACCCCAAACCAGCCCCATGACATACTCCAGCGTAGCATTGCATGGTACAAGTGGAATACAGCACGTGCCACATTCTCATCCACATGTACAACAAACGGGCCACAACTCCACAGGTGCACGACCAACCAACACCAGTGCTGGAACTGCTCAAAACCAAACTGGTACGGGAACGAGTTCGAATGTCAACAAAGCCCAGACGGACTCGGAGTGGAAAACGGCTAACTACCGAAAAAGCAAGCCCTCTGCCCAAAGTAGTAGGAGACACACCAGCACACCATACGGTACACGTACTGATAACGGTTTGGCGGAAGGGAACGACCCAACCGCCAGATCTGTAACATCGAGATCCATCAAACCGACACCAGTAAACGAATCTCCAAATGTGCTTGCTGGTACCACTCGCGTGCGGCGGAAAGTATTTTTCGTGGGGAATGTAAGTCCCGGCTGCAGAGCAACATCAATAGTGAAGTGGTGCAGTGACAGGGATGTGGATGTTCTTGATGCTCAGTTTCCGAGTCAAGGTACCAAGGGACGTGGTACGCAAGAGTAAGTGTAGCAGAAGATGAAGCATCGAAGATCACGAACAAATCATCCTGGCCCGAAGCCATACAACACACAGTTCGTCCCTGGCGGTTTGCAGATGAGTCAGCAGCAGGAGGCCACGATGATCAATCCTAAATTGTCATGATAACAATGCCGTTCCCGAATGTTCATGCACCTACATTTTGTCCTCACCAACAACCGCACGTCACTAACCCTGCTCACACCACTTTAAACCCAGAAGCACCTGTTTTCGTACCTACTCGACATCCTCAGTCCCACTCCCACCTCACTGAAGGCTCCTTCGCCATCCTCACCATAAACTGCAGATCTGTCCTCAACAAACTCTCAGAACTGCTAATAATACTGGATAACCTAGCACCAACAATAGTTTGCCTTACAGAAACATGGCTCTGTCCATCTAACCTGATGCACACACCCAGCTACACTTGGTATCGTCGAGATAGGCCTACTGTGGAGAATAAACGATCAACAGACGACTCCAGAGGCTATGGTGGAGTAGCCTTACTTGTACAAGATAACGTGTTCAGCTCCGTGACCCTACGCACTGACCTGCAATGCACTAGCTTCGAAGCAGTATGGCTCGAGGTATTTCCCATCTCTGCAGCCCCAATAAACATCCATATTCAACCTCTCATTGTTGCCTGTATTTATCGCCCGCCATCTCAGACATCTTCAGAACTTTCGCATTTCTGCAATACACTGGAAGACAGCCTGCAGATCGTGTCCTCCAAGCCTGCATCAGTGTTTCTGACAGGCGATTTCAATGCACGGCACTCCGACTGGTGTCCGTCTGACAGTACATCACCTACTGGTCAGAAACTACACGAAATCTTCCACTGCTTCGGTCTCAGCCAAATGGTTAGTTTCCCAACGCATGTTCCTAACACCGAACGACACGGTTCCTGCCTCGACCGTATCATTACCAATTCTCCCGAATCAATCTACGACATAGAACCCAGCGCTCCACTGGGATTGTCGGACCACTTACAAATTCTATGTTCTCTACGTTTCCCTCTCCTATCTACTAATCCCTTGCGCAACAATACACCCTCCCAATATCTCCAATGGAATCCTTCCCGCCCCATTCGCTATAATATTAACTTCCGTAAAGCACCACCCCAAACTTGGGACCGTATAAACGAACATATCCAATCCTACGATTGGTCACCCCTCAGCGTTATGCCTGATGTCGATGTTGCTCTTGCGTACTTCGAGCATACACTCCAATACATCTTTGACCTGTACTTGCCGCATCACGCTCCCACGCACCGGCCTACGTCTCCCTCACCAGACCCACCATGGATGACACCGGTCCTGCGCTCTGCTGTGAAACGGAAGCACGACGCATTCAGTGTTTCCAGGAAGTACCCGACAGCGGATAACCTGGCTGCTTATCGACACCAGCGTAACCTCGTGAAGGACTTATCTCGACATGAGTATTGCTCTTACATACGCAGCATCAAGTCCACGCTCTCAAGTAATGACCACCCGTCTCTTTCTCAGTTCGTCAGGCGACTACGTAAGCCAACTTCCACCAGTGCTCCCATAACCTCAATGCAGAGACCGGACGGCAGTATTGCTCATGATACTAGGGACATTGCAAACTTGCTCAACATGCATTTTACCACTGTCGCACCTAGTGACGACCCACAATGGTGTGTGCCATCTCTTGCGGAACACTCTGCTATTCTGTCCTCACTTGATTCCTTCCAGACCTCCCCATCCACAGTTAGAACCGTCATTAGAGAGGTTCCGGGGTACGATTTTCCGTGCCAAAATCCGTATGGGCGCTACGGATTTTTTCCAGGCGTGCTCCATACGATTTTTCGGCACGGAGAATCCGTGTGGACTGGCTTTCATACGAACCATATTTCGTATGGAGATTTTGCGTCATCGGGTGCAGAAAGATTTTTCGCGTACAAATTTGGTACGAGAAACATCGATTTTCCGCGGGAAGTTTTGATTTCGGTACAAATTTTCAAAATAAAAAGGCATAGCGCGGGAATGTGACGTGTTTGCGATCGTAACCTAGGCAATGACGGCAAACACATAAGTTCCGTACCCCGGAACTTTTCACTGCTCGAAAACGACGTATAAAAAATCCGTAGCGCCTCCACGGATTTTGGCACAAAAATCGTACTCCGGAACCTCCCTATTAACAAGTTGAAAATCAATAAATCACCTGGTTTTGACGGTCTTCCCAATGACGTTCTTAAACGTCTGGCACCTTCAATTTCGTCTCCTCTCTCCACCATCTTCAACATCTTCTTTGCAAGCGGCGTATACCCATTTGTTTGGAAGTTTGCTGTTGTCACTCCCATTTATAAGAATAAAGGTTCTCGTCAGCACACTACCAATTATCGCCCCATTTCGCTACTACCAAGTTTGTCGAAAGTATGTGAACGTGTTGTTTACAATATTCTGTATAAACATTTCTCACCAGCGCTTTCTCAGTACCAGTCTGGCTTCTGTCGTGGGGACTCGACCTCGCTACAGCTGACCTGCATTGTCCAGGAGCTGTACACTCAGCGACACCAAAGGCGCCATCAAGGTCTCTGCTTCTTCGACTTGGCCAAAGCATTCGATTCGGTATGGCATAGAGGGCTGATCGCAAAACTACGATCGTGCTACCGTGTCACCCACCGCGCCAACAACTGGTTGTCGTCATACCTGAGCATGCGGACCCAAGCCGTGAAAGCAGGCGGCCTGATTTCGGAGGATCGTCCAGTAAATACAGGTGTACCACAAGGGTCTATTCTTGGCCCCCTGCTTTTCTTGATGTACGTGAATGATTTGCCATCCGTTACTCCTGGCCTCTCTCTTTATGCAGATGATACCGCCCTTCACCGCTCAGCCTCCACCGAGCACGAACTGACGGTATCGCTTCAGCAGGGCATCAATGACGTGGTAAACTGGATGAAGATCCGGAAGCTACAGCCCAATGTCCAGAAGACCAAAATGTTGTATATTTCTGCACGTCCACCATCTGCACCTTTGACGTTTCCGAACTGCACCCAGGCCCTGGAAGTTGTAACTTCTCACAGGCACCTGGGAATCGTTCTTGACTCGAAGCTATCATGGTCCGAACATGCCGTTATCTGCCTCACGACTGTAGATCTCTGTTTTTCTCTTTGTATATTTGTCCGATCTTCGACTACTGTGACGTAGCGTGGTGTGGGTTATCAACCACGATATTAGACACGCTCGAAGTTTGCCAACGAAAATTATTAAAAATGCTATTTTGCTTGCTCCGTGATTTCTCCTCTGCACAACTCTATGTTCTCGCTCGTGTTTGCCCCCTTTCTATTCGACGCAGTCTCCACAGCAACATGCTAATTCAAAAGATAAAACTAGAGAAAGTACCAAGGCATCTCTTTCCCTATGACTGGTTTGTGCGGAGCCGTTCAACAAGGGCACAAGTCTCGCTACCTGCAGCTCGCACTGTCCAGTTTACAAAATCCCCTTTGTTTCATTCTTATTCTGACTGGCTCAAGCTATCAAGCCTCGCCCACCACTGCCACAGCATGTCTCAGTTTCGCCAAGTTGTCTGTACTGAGTTGCGTTTTCCTGCAGCACTCACGCGTGTTTAGCTGAACAATGTAATTTCCGGCTATTTCACTTAATTGGCTGAGCTTTGTTTTCCTCCCTGTTCCTTTCTAGGCTGAGCTTTGTTTCCTCCCTGTTCCTTTCTTTCCACTTTCTTGTTTTCTTTTGTACTTTTACCATGGCTGGTTATCGCCCTCATCTCTGGGGTTGCTCCCCACATTAGCAATGCGTGCACATGCTACGAGATTGAGTTTAACCCTCTCAGTGCCACGGGCGACTTTAGTCGCCCAGAATGAGTATGGGTGTACAAATAAATTCGTATCTCCACTTCTACACACAGGAGAGTTACAAACGACCACTCTACGTGTTCAGGAAGACCTTAGCTATCGACTCATCACATCGCTTTGTGTCCGTGAGGATAGATATCGCCAGGGCGAAGCCTGAAGTGCGCGCGCTCGGACAAACAATTGCCGCGCGTAGAAAACATGACGTATGCGCATCGCGGGTTTCTCTATTTCTTTCGCGGCAACCCATGCGTATTGGGTATCAAAACATCGAGATTTTCAGTGGCTTTCGGGCCAACTTTGTCCGAATTCCGTGCGTTGAAAGTTGACTGCACTGCGATCGATCGCGCGCGTGAGAAAGTGCAGATGCTACGAAAATGCAGAAAACGGACTTCGCTCAGGCGCCCTCGCGAGGAAGACTATTTTCGCTGCATTTTCTCTTCACAGCTGTCTGCCTGGCCATGATATCTTTCCAGAGAGCCATCGTTTGTAAAGATCCGTGGATATACAGCTGAGCTATGAAAAATTTGAGTTCGGCTCAACTCAGAAAAATTTGAATTTTTCTGACCCCCTTGGCACTGAAAGGGTTAATAATAATAATAACACACCTACCCCCCCCCCAACATACACACACAATGTACAGCCGTTTCTTACCTAAACACTGGATGGCCTGGGAACACAGTTCAGTTGCTTTCTCAGCAGCATACAGGATTACACCAGCACAGTCCTGAAAACACACACACACACGCACTCACACACACACACACACACACACACACACACGCACTCACACACACACACACACACACACACACACACACACACCTCAGACCTCAGACATGCCCATCGCGGAAGCGATGATAGCGAACACACACACACACACACACACACACACACACACACACACACACACACACACACACACACACACACACACACACACACATGCTAGCACAGAGTTCAAACGACGGCATACTCCAGAGAAGCTTCTGATTCTATGCTGCAGTCAAAACGGCTCAACAGAGGACGTCACTGGATGTACTGGCTGTAGTAGCGCTTGTAATGTTTGGTCATTTGGTCATGTTTGACACATACATGTAGCAGAATGCATGCATGAAGCCAGGCTTTAGTCAGTATCCGTACACCCATACCAAGACAAGGCAATCTCAGCAGATGGGTGTGTCTGGTGTGCACTACCTACCTTGCTGCTAGAGTGTCCCTTGTCCACAGCACGTGCTATAGTGTAGACGTAAGACCGACATGCAGCCAGCGTGGTGTACATGTCGGCTATTTTACCTTGCATCAGCTAGGTAGGCAAGGATAGCAAACACAACAACAGAGAGAGAGAGAGAGAGAGAGAGAGAGAGAGAGAGAGAGAGAGAGAGAGAGAGAGAGAGAGAGAGAGAGAGAGAGAGAGAGAGAGAGAGAGAGAGAGAGAGAGAGAGAGAGAGAGAGAGAGAGAGAGAGAGAGAGAGATTGAAAGGTTCAGCACACTGTGGAGAGAGTATGTCACAGTGCGAATGGGGATAAACTTGTCAAACACACTAGAATCCGAGTCATCTTGGCCTTGCTGAGAATGCAGCAATGAACAAGCAAATACGCCATGTAACACCGGTGCCACAAAAATACCAACAAATCACTTGGGGTTGGAGCCAAGTTTAATGTGAAATATGGCCAAAAGGAGGACAGAGCTGTGTGGCCAGGCTAGGCAACTTCAGGTATTTGTCGGGATTTTTCTGGGACCAACTGTGTACTCACTTCACACCTCCCCCTCCTCCTCAGATGATGATGATGATGATGAGAATAGCATACACATCCTCTATAACCTGCAATTACTCATACACATGCACTGCCTAACACGGCATGTGGCAATTTTTGCCAAAGTTGATCTGTTCTTCGCAACAGACGCAGTCTTACCTGAAACTCGCCGACCGGCTGGCCAAACTGCTCACGAGTATGTACGTACGGGAATGCTACATCGATGGCAGCCTGCATCAAACTGAGCAGAACATAGGCACCACAGCGATGCATGAATGTAGCACGTACCTGCTGCCTCAACTGGCTTCAAGTGTGAATAAAACCACCTGCATCCACCCACCCCCACACACCCCCACACACACCCACACACACTCACATACACCCGTATCCACCCGCACACACCCACACACCTACAAGCAGAGGGATACTGCAGTGGCGGTGAATGTGAAAACCAGCCCTGTGACTAAAGCAGGAGCACACAGTCCCAGGGTGTTATATTCCTGAAGTCAAATTTCATTTTTCCATCAAAGTACCATCACTGGCCCATCAGAAGTGCACAACAGTTGATATGTTACACTAGTGACTAGCCTGATGGGAATTTACCTGGACAACACTACTGCGGGATAGAGTTTAAATACAATTGAATTCTCAGGCAAACTCAATTCCTTGCTTTCACCCTTCCCACCTCCCCTCCCTTCCCTCCACACAATCCTCTCTTCTTACAATAGCTAACCAAAGCCTCGCAGGCATAGCACATCCGCCTACTAAGTATTCTGCACACACAATCCCCCAATATTATAAACCGGTCAGCGGCATCTGCATGTTCTAGTATCCCAAACAATGTGGTTCTGTTGGAATGAAGAAACAGACTATGGTGCAGAAATGAGGCCAGGGAGATTCAAAAGGAGAGAGTGGAAAGATTGAAAACATGCACACAGCGTACAGCGCACACATCCCAGCGACCTACCCCAGTGGACCACCAGCAAGTACCAGTCGTTCCAGGTCCAATCCGCTCATCAAGACGTACGCACCCTTATTCATACCACCCATCATCTGAGATGCTGACAACAACAATGTAAATGCGCACAGGCGACAGACAATATATGACAATAATGAAAAGGACAACACGTTATACAGTCATAATTATAGTACGCAGAGAAGCACCGTTGTGTGAGGGCTGCTGACATGCTGCTGTCTGCTCATAGAAGCAGGTATTTGAATGTTTCAATACATCTAACGGAAATACGACAGCTACACAAGCACACAAACACACAAACAAAACAACAACCACACTAATACATGACTTACCTGGTACTCTGCAATCCTCAAACACAAGCTCTACAGTGCTAGAGCCACGGATACCTAGCTTGTCAAACTTCGTTCCAGTACTGAAGCCTTTCATTTCCTTTACAGTAACAACAACAACAACAACAACAACAACAACAACAACAACAACAACAACAACAACAACAACAACAACAACAACAACAACAACAACAACAACAACAACAACAACAAAGTTAGCACCGGGATGCTGGTTCACTACACTAAATAGAGGGCTACAGTGGTACAACTTTTCTGAGGGTGTGCATTTTGATTGTCGGAGAATGGCTATATTGAATTCATATCTAAAAGTACTTTGATGTCCAAATGAATGGACGTGGTAACATCAAAGCAAAGGCAAACATAGACACCTACTTTGCCCGCTGCAGAACAAAACTAGAAAGAACAACAGACAGCAATACACACACCTTCTCAATAAGGAAGGTGGACACACCATGAGCACCTTTGCTTGGCTCAGTCTTGGCGTAGACAACCAAAACATCGGCGTCGGAACCGTTGGTGATCCAGCATTTACGTCCGTTCAGAATGTAATCATCCCCTGCCAACATGGAAATTAGACAACATGGCGTCAGATACTAAGTTACCAGCATACAGCTCTTCTGTGAACAACAGTACATGCACGTCTAGAGCTAGAGAGTGATGAGAGGCATGTCATACTGACTGATTAGCATGGGGTGGTTGTGCAAGAGTCAACAGCACAACAGCTGCAGAGTGTAACTGCCTATTGTTCTACTCCAGTACAGTTGTACATTGAGAGTAGTACTACAAATGTTCCTTCTACTTACTAGGTACTCACCATCTCGTTCAGCACGCAAGCCCATGCTCATCACATCGGAGCCAGAGCTGCTTTCACTCATAGCAAGTGCACCGATATATTCGCCACTAATTAGCTGCATGCAAACACATACAACAACAACAACAACAACAACAACAACAACAACAACAACAACAACAACAACAACAACAACAACAACAACAACAACAACTTATGTTTGTGGAAGTTCATACACTCAACTCCCTAATTGACAGGGAACTGGAATTCCATACGGTACTCTCATGCACGTCCAAACATCTATAGTTTTACTCAAGTCTTAGCAAAGCGGCATCTATGGCACCTATGGTAGCAGCAGCAGCAGCAGCATTCCAGCACAGTACAAAGTGTACCCACATCCATACCTTTGGTAAATACTTGGCCTTCTGCTCATCGGTGGCATTGCGTACGATCTGATTGATGCACAGGTTACAGTTGGCACCATAGCTGAGAGCCACAGCACCGGACGCACGGCTCATCTCCTCCATGACCAACGTCTGCTCCATCATTCCTAGCCCAGCACCACCATGCTCCTCTGAATATGACACACATGTACATGTACATGTACACAAACAAAAATCAATGAGCTGCATATCAATACTACAGTACCCCTCCCTAATAGGGGCAATTCGTAAGTAACCATATTTGTTTCAAAATAAAGCGAACAGCACTTGAGCCCTTCTCCTAAATTACACAATTGTGCAGGGTGGGGGGATTCAAGTGCTATTTGTTCATCAGCGAGTAGTTGCTAAATGACATAAGATTACATCAGGTTACATTTCCTTTGAAATTCGAAGTTCTCCCAATCCTTTAAAAAGATTACATTGTATCAGTATAAAATAAACAAGTCATGTAATAAGTTACGCTATCTGTGAATCAAGGTACTAGTAGGTGATAGATCAGTTTCCGCTCAGTGCATGATTACAATCACCTGGTAGAAATGTTCAGTGCAGGATTACAATCACCTGGTAGAAATGTTCAGTGCAGGATTACAATCACCTGGTAGAAATGTGCAGTGCAGGATAACAGCACTACACTCCGACTCACCTGGTGCTGTGATACCAAGAAGACCATGGTCGCCTAGTTTCCGCCAGAAATCCTACGCATGCAAATCACAGTGCAGTCATACACATGTACACAGCACAGACCAGGTCCATTGGAAGCAGTTCTAGGTTCTAATTCCTCGGGCCATGTTTAACAAGCCTGACTGGCCTGACCACTTGCAGATATAACTCTCATGCACCTTGCAAGTTATTTTCCTCACGCATATACACACACCCACCGTTTGACCATTTGACGCCCATCGCCGGAGGCGATGATAGCGATGCTATGGCAGAAGCCATAGCAGCTTGCGCTGGGATTGCACCATTCAACAGCTTGCAAGGCTGGAGAATTGACCGCCATTATTCAGCCTGGTCTACATCACGCAGCTATGAAGTGGCTTTTCACACACACACACACACACACACACACACACACACACACACACACACACACACACACACACACACACACACACACACACACACACACACACACACACACACACACACACACACACACACACACACACACACACACACACACACACACACACACACACACACACACACACACACACACACACACACACACACACACACACACACACACACACACACACACACACACACACACACACACACACACACACACACACACACACACACACACACACACACACACACACACACACACACACACACACACACACACGTCACTGCATTCATTGGACCACTAACCTTCATTCCAGGAAAAGTATTCGTCGAGTCAATCTCATGAGCACGCTCGAGCGGCATCTCTGTTTCCAGCAGTCGCTCTACCATTTGCCTTAACTGTGCAGAACAACAATGATGACAACAATAACAAACATGAGCACATGCACACACACAGTGTGGTCCAATGCCACCGGTATACATACATACATACATCACACACACATACACACACACTATTACGGCTTGAACCTACCTATCCGAATGATTGTACTATGGTGAAGTATCACCACATCACACAGCTGCCAAATGTATTTCACCAATGTTGCCGCTGATACTGCAGAACTTACATTTTTGCCACATATTTACAACTTGCACTTGAACTTGACTGCCAATTTGGCAAGTAACTTTTACTGTTGTCATGTGGTGAATTTGTTGGTGGCTAATTAGCAGGCGCGTAGCACCGCCGTTGGCGGTGGTCCGGCCAGGGGGGTGCGGGGGATCTGTCCCCGGAATTTTTTGGAAATTAGGGTGCAAAATCCTGCATTCTGGGCACTTTTGGCATTGTTTTACTATGGTGGTCGTGGTCGGGCGAAAAAGTGGTCCGGCCAAAGCCGGACCGGCCGGAGCGGCTGCTACGCCCCTGATTAGGGAAGTGTTTTACCCAGGACAATTATAAGATTCACTAAGAAGTACATATTATGTGGACTTCACATGGGATTGAATGCAATATTTACGGAATTCAAGCACATCACATTGCAGATAGCAACGTCACTGCTCATTATTCGCAATGGTTCTCGTGGTGCATGGCGTGCATGTGGTATTCCATCTTCATGATCCCACAAGTGTTGCCAGTGTGTCCCGTTGTAAAATCGTATTGATTGAGTTGATATGTTGCACAGTCACACTAAGAAAGAGGACAAACTTCAGGTTCTTCAACAGCAACATTTTGAAAGTTATGCACAAGATTTCAAGCCTTCTCTTCAGATAGAATACAGGCAGAATTCTGTTCAAGAGCCTGGAGTTTTTCCTGTTTCTGAGTGATGGCACGTGTGTCTCCAAGGAAACTTGTTGCACTGCCATTACCTCTTTCTGCTCCGAGGTCAGGCCATAAACATCATCATCTCGTCCAACGGATACTAGAGTCCGTACAGATGATCTACCCATAGAGGCTGCAGCAGGAGTGCTGCTCGATCCAAGCGTAGCTGCACGACTAAGGCATGGCCTAAACGAACACACGCACCTTCTCAAAGCCATGCTGCACACGACAGTATTACTTTTCTGGACTCCAAAATAAAATAAAAGTTACTTTCTGGCGAGTTTGGTGAAATGAAGGCGGACTTGACAGACCTACACACGGCTACAGCTACAATCAAGATAAGAGTAGAGCGTTTGTTTGGTGAGAAATATAAATGCAGTGACAAAGAAACAGCCATGAGACATTTTTTTGTTGCAAAGAAGTACGTCCGCGATCCATACATGAGGAGTGTAAAAATCAACGGGAGTAGTAAAGTTATGACGCTACTTCGCCGGCTCGCACCGTATGGGGCTGTTAAGTGTGACGTCACGGCTCCTTCGATACGCATAGCAACGGAGAGCACTGGGGACAAACAAAGTCGCGTCCTCTGGATGGAATCAGATGTCAAGGGCAACAGCATCTAAATGACTGGAGAGACAGTTGTTTTTCTTTGCTTTTTCTTCAAGCGATTGTTGTCGCTCTTTACTCCTTGTTCTTTCCTCTACAAAACTCCTGTAGTCGTCGAGTGCCTTCATGATGGCTGTGAAATTGGCTGCCCACAGTAAAACTCCGTGTTTGAGAGTGCTTTGAAGATGTTTCGCGTCCTGATGGATCAAAGTATGAGCGCTCCTTGTGGATTCGATTATATATAGGTGAGTTGTTCAAGAAATCAGTGTCTTCTTTCTGTCTCTGCCCTCACGCTGGCACAATATCAGCCTCTATATCCATGACAGCTCGTACCTCCCGTAAACTGCATGACTTAGATATATTTTCGCCCTCCGTGGTGATTGAAGACCCATGGAAGAATTTATTATGTTCAGAATGATGTCCTAAGAATATAAAATAAAATAATTCTAGGGAATTGTCATAGGGTATTTTTGGAAGGATGGAGACAGAGAGAGAGAGAGCACTGTTTGAAGTGTTTGTCTCACTGTAATTACTCCAGATTATTGAATGTTGTATGATCTACTCTATATTTTCCATAATGGTTTTTCCTGATTTGCGGGATCTCTTCTTTTGCTGTTTGCGTGTTTACAGGAAGTGGCTGTCTGGTGTAACTGCACCAGATCCTGGGGAAATTAAGTCAGATGCAGAGGCAGGGTCGTCCAGTGATGCTACACTGCCGTTCTGTGTGCAACGTTACCGCTAATACCCCCGGCGAAAACACAAAAAAGACAAACACGTGAAAAGACTACAGTATTGACCGTTCTGCTAATAAATGCATGACTGCTCCGACAGTCGATAATCGAAACACAGAGCACCAGCATGATGTTTTCATATTGGGAACCACACAACAGCTCAATTCTCAAGCCCAAAAATTGATGAATACAAATACAGAGCGACGCAACAAGAGGTCATCCGGCAACCAAACAAACCTGGGTCTAATGCACTGAATAGTCCTGAAATACGCAGGCCAGACAAAGCAGTGCAAGCACATAATGTTACAAGGTACATGCATTGCAGAACAAAGTGTAACCAAAGATACACAGGGTTATAGCTGCACACTTGTGCATGTGCTCGCTCAGCCCAAGAACACACGATCATGATGATAGAAACAATCCGGGGGAAACACGCTAACACCGAAGTAAGCATCAACACGTAAATAGTGCAGCTCTGAAAAAATTACATTCACATGAACATTGGTGTGTCGAGTAGTATTAGGCTTGAATAATCATCCAACCAAGACTTCATCAGGTCCCAGACGCTGAGATCGCACGCCGAATGTGAAGTGCATCTAGCCTTGAACCTGTCGCACAAGGCACACATATATGGCAAAATGACATCCACTCTGATTATTTCCAGAGGCCAATCATGACAGAACACAGAAATGAAACCACGGGCTCAACCAAGTAAACGCAAAGGAAGTTAGTCAAAATAATCCATGCAGTGCTCTTTTAATTGCAGCGCTGATTGCAGTGTTGCGTCATAGCCCGATACCCGCTGAGCACAGACACAACTCCATTCGTCAGGGGCAAGACATACTCTTTTGGAATAAAGTCATAAAGTACAGCGTTCCAATGACATTACGGACACCTCGTGTAAATGCATGGTCTGTTCATCTGGCCGACTCGGCCACGCATGAGAGTGTGTGCATGTACATGCGCGCGCTTGCGCGCGCACACACACAAACCATGTATTCGGTGCGTATGGTGTACCAGTTGCGGGACAATGAAGATGGAATCATTATCATGATGTTACATGTACATCTACAGTGTATGTTTGAGTGTATTAAAAGTAAATTTTATTTTATTGCACATTTCTTCGACACAACTACTGAATTACTTACTTCACATGTTCGCATTTCTCATAATCGATCCACCTGCACTCCGTATCAGTCGAGGAAAAATTCTCCCAGATATACACTAGTCACCACAGCCATGTGATGACATTGGGATGGGCCCCAAGCAGTGCACGATTGCACTCTCTAGTTACAATAAATTTGACCAGATTATCTGTGAAGACAAAATGCAATGCATAGCGCCAATCGATGGATGAAGAGAGAGTTTGTAAATACCCATATCTTTCCACTTGTTCAGGAGCTTACCTTTTGGAGTTCACATCGTTTACACGATCTCTCATGCTGTCTTGCACCTTGGTTTTGTTGAAGGTGCTTAGCAAATGTAGTGCGGTGCTGGGTGCGCCACTCCACAGGCAAAGAATTAAAGAACAGGGCAGCACGATTTGAAAAGGAATTGACACCGTCAGTCGTCCGGAATTTAGAAATTGCAATAGCAGCATTAAAAGAGCTTCTTGTTGTCCTAGGGCCGGTTGAAACTTGAGGGAAAAGGTCTGTCAGATTTGGGAGAGGGAACACGACATGATTAACATGGATAAATTTAGCAATGCTACGAATAAGGTAATGTTCAAACGAATCAATCGACAATCTAGCTAACAGCGGCATGACGTCATCTTGTAGTTTCGAGCCACAAGCAGCGCGTACAGAACGACGATAAACGGACGAGAGTCGCTGTCGGTCCTTGGCGGATAGCTTCATTGCAAAGCAAGAGCAGCAGTATAATAAGTCAGGCAGGATAACCGAGAGGATAAACTGCCGTGTTGCCTTCAAACTTAGTTGCCGAAAACACCGTCGAAGAGCGCCAATTTTCGTGCAAGTCTTCCTAACGATAAAGTCTATGTGACCAGACCAAGAAACATCACTGTCTACAATGACTCCCAGGATTCTCGTGCTAGACACTTGAGTCAGAGGCTGTTGGTTAAAAACGATTGGAGTTGAGAGGGGTTGAGAAGACTTAGAAATCATCAAAGTTACAGTCTTTGTTGTATTAATGCGCAGCCCAAGCTCGTCTAGATCCACAGAAATTGCAGATAACGAATCAGTAACGGCAGCGACGGCCTCAGCTTGTGTACGTCTGCTGGCATACAACGTCATGTCGTCAGCGAACATCGGGAGCTTGCAAGAAAAGGCCTCTGCTGTCAATGGGAGCTTCCGTACATAGATGTTAAATAGCACCGGACCCAGAATGGTGCCCTGTGGCACGCCACTAGTGATTGCCACCAACGGAGATGTTCCAGTGTGGGTAACCACCCGCTGTTGTCTGGCACAAAGGTATGATCGGAACCAGGCCAGGGCCACTCCCGAAATACCGACAGCTGCGAGAGCAAGAAGAAGCTGCTGATGCTTCACCATATCGAACGCTTTTTTCAAATCAATACAGACAACCGCCGTATGCAGTCCAGCGTCGCGCGAGACAAGCCAGTCGTTCGTAACCTTGGTGAGAAGCTGTCCGGTAGAACGGTGCTTCCGAAAGCCAAACTGGTCCACATGGAATGGGCAACGATCATTAAAAAAAAGATGTATACGAGAAAACACAAGCCCCTCCAGGAGCTTGGCTAGGATAGATGTTAAAGACACTGGGCGGTAGTTAGAAGGGCAGTCGCGGGGGCCTTGAGTTGACTTCAGAATTGGTGTAATGTTTGCAATTTTGAACAAGGATGGGAATTGACCAGACGAGAGGGAAGTGTTGAATAAGATAGCAAGTGATAGAGCAATTACGTCTTTTGATATTTTAAGTAGACACGGAAGAATGCCGTCCGGTCCAGGGGCTTTATTACTTTGGAGGTCACCGATCCGAAGCTTCACCTCTGCTACTGTAACGGCTGAAAACGTAGTAAGGTCGTCGGATTTAGCAGGTCCCATTGGGAGCTTGTAATTCGCTTCCTTATCTGTGACAATCGAGTGAAAATAGTCGTTCAATCGCTCAGGTGGGATGGTAACCGTTTGCTTCGGAGAGGAACGCTTTGTGATCATATTCAAGGCTTTCCAGAACTGCCGAGGCTCCCGTTCATACCGCTGGCACTGGTCTGAAAAGTATAGATTCTGTAGGTGTCGATACAAGTTATTGCACTGGTTGCGCAGCCGCTTGAATTGTACAGATAGGCTCTCGTCTCGAAAGTTAGTAGCTTTTAGTTTCTTGAAGACCGATTTGCGCTTTCTAATCAAGGCAAGGAGGGGCGAGGTCATGAACGGGCAATTTTTCCGACGGGACTTCCTGTGTTTCCTGGTTACGTACGGTGCGATGATATCAAGCACAGCATTGACTTTCCCTGTCCACTCGTCCAACATCAGGTCTGGGGTACGGGATGTAAAGATATGAAGATCGGAGGACAGCAGCATATCGCAGAAACACTGAGCGTTGAAGTTCCGGTAGTCTCTGCGTGTTTGATGGGTAGTAGTATTGCTCCGCGCATCCATGATGGGCACTGGGACGGAAGTAATGACGAGGCGATGGTCTGAAAACTCACAGTCCACGACAGAGGCTGACGGAACTCGATCAATGTTCGTGAGAATACAGTCAATGGATGTACGGGTAGAGCCTGTTATTCTTGTTGCTTCAGTTACTTTATTGGCCAGTCTGCACGGAAGTAGCAACGTGTCTTTGAGATGGTGGAACGCACTGGACGTCTGACGCAGAAAGTCCACATTTATGTCACCTAGCAACACAATATTCTCGCCGTCCAGCTGCTCCGTGGATGTAGCGAGCCGATTCCAAAACTCTACCGGCTCGGATGGGGGACGGTATATGCAACCAAACAAGGTACTATCTTTGCCTGTGCCAGCTCTAAGCCACATCAACTCTAGACTGGAGTGTGAGTGGTCCAAGATGTGCTTAGCCTTAACATGTTCCTTTACGAAGATGCAGATCCCGCCTCCTTTACGACATGGAGTGCAGGAGGATAGGCAAGTGCATCCATCAGTGCACGGCCTGTCTCGACGTAAGAGAATTGTGCCTGGTACAGAAACCTCAGTGTCCGAGATGCTTGAGTCGAGCCACGTTTCCGTAACCGCCAGCAGATCTAGGCAGTGCTCATCTATTAGCTTAGTTATAACATGGGTTTTATGTCGTAGGCTGCAAATGTTTATGTGGCCAACATTTAGTCGGTTGGATGGATGAATTGTAGAGTAGAATGCTGGGGTTGAGGGATTTGGAGACGAAGGGGTGAACACAGGAGCATGCGGGTTCAGGGGCTGTGAATACCGGTAGGTGGTGTGTGGCATTATGTGAGTGCTGGAGCTGTGCCGTCAGCACCAAAGCGCCATTCACGAACTGCAAAACCGAGCGAGTCCGGCCAAAATGCTTTGTCCTGTACGGTGGTGGCGTCCGACGCCAACACTGTGACCCTGGCAAACCCTGTTCGGAAGCGCTCCGAGGTGTACACAACACTCTGCACGATGTGTACATCCTGTGCCAGACAATGCTCTGCAATTGATTTGGCATCATATTCGGGGTCCACGTTGCCAACGTAGAACACTTTGACTCTTGGCTTACCCGTTAGTGCACATCGGGTGGTGCTCTTTGGAAGCTTGGGTGCCAGCCAGCGAGACGATTCCTGTCGCCTGTACGGCTTGGGAGGCTGGCGTTGTGGCCTTTGGGCAGCTGGGGCAGCTGCAGGGGCAGTATTTTTGGGCTGCAATGCTGGTTGTTGGTGCAAAGTTTCTGCATACGTGGGTCGATGTTGTGGGGTGGAGGATACGGTTTTGGTAAAGCTTGGTTCAGTGGGGTCATTGTTCAAAGTTTGAATCACCGTATCGTACCTCTCAACTTTGGCATGCAGGTCGTTCCTAAGTTCCCGTACTTCCGTCTTCAGGCACAACACCTCTCTGGCAGAATCGTTGAATTTAGCTTCTATTTCTCTCATGGCGTGTAACTCAGTCTTCAACTCTCGGACGACATTAGTGAGTTCAGACAGAGCTGAGCACAGGCTGGCAACAACACCCTCATTAGCAGCCAGGGGGCTCGTGCTAGTAGGTTCACTTACTTCTTTGTCCTCATCCAGCGATCATCGGTTCTGAGCAGGGCAACAAGATCGGGTCTGGTGGCTTTTCGTGGGATTTCCAGTCCACGCTGCCTGATGAGGTCCCTCAGCTCCCCGTCGATCAGGACTGCAATGTCCACTTCAGCAGCGGGCTTATTAGCCATTTTATTACTAAACAAAGGACTTTTCCGGTGGCCTAAAGCCCAGGAAATTACAAAAAAGGCCGCTTTTCGGGAGCCAAAAAAGGTGCTGCCGCCCCTACGAAAAAAGTTGTGGTACGTATAGTGCATGATAGTCCTGGAGCCAGGTCCAGAAATCTGACAGTGTCATTTGACACCTCGTCCAGGAAAGATTTGACTTCAAATTCGGAGAGGCGGACCAACTATAGGAATTTTGGAGAAAACTAGAAGTTCCCAATGTTGTCCGTTTGGAAGTTATGAGCTTTTCCAAATTGCTTAGGTTACTATGGTAACTTGTGTGCAATTAGCCGTTCCTGAGGCAAAGCCGGTACAATTTTGGAGAAAAAAGTTACCTTGTTGGAAGGCGAGCTCTTTCCAAGACTATTATTGAAAACCAGAAGTTTATACTTATAGGACTGTCGGCTTCCTTGTCACAGGAATTTCTCGAATTTCTACGGTTACCGTGGTAACGTGTATGCAATTAGCCACTTCTAAGCCAAAATCAGTGCATTTCTCCCCTGTAGGCAGGTGGAAAGCAGAGAATAGTTATAATAATGTGGATTAGAGGTCTATTGGGCTGTTTCATGCCTGGTTTGTAGAGACTGGGCTCCTCTCCCCTCTAACACTACCGGGATTGCATTGACCTGGCACTTGTTTCCTCCCTTCCTTCACATAATACAATGTACATGTACATGTACTGTACATGTAGTACCCAGACAGCGGTGTGCTATGTTGACAGGAATGGTCACTATGATCCACTAGTACTAGTACTTTCCACCCAATTCACATTTTCTTTTTATGGAACAATGTCATGCAGGCTGTCCAATCGACATGTACATGTACATGTACATGTACATGACTGTTTAGGAAGCACATTGCCCATGAAATACAGTCATGTACATGTACAATGTACATGTAGACCGGGGCGGGGGCCTACGCCAAGACCTGGAAGGACAATTTTGATCAACGAAATGGCGAATAGACAAACAACTGCCCTAACCGCAACATACATGATGTACAACAAACTCCGCCACATATTCCGTGCTCATGTGTCATGCTTCAGCAACTCACAGCAAGCATTTACACAGGAAGGTATGGTCACATCTCTCTGATCAAGCAACAGTTTCAAAACAGTGCCGGACGGACCCCATGGGGCATGGGGCAGTGACCTCTCCTGCTATCTAGCCGAGCCACTATGAATTCTACACCTAGTAGTAGTACCAAGAGTGTATAACCGGGGTGGGGGTTATAACTCTTGCTAGTACCTGTACCGGTACATGTGGCATCATTTCCAGCACTCACAGAATAGATACATGTAAATGTACATGTACATGTACGTGTGCAGCAGTTGTTCACCATCCAACTCGGCTACAAGTGATGCAAATACAGTACAGTACCTGATTGTTAGATAGGAATACATACATTATAATTGACATGCACATGTACTCGACTTGTTACACCAGCCTCACCTTCTATTCTCTTTTACATGCACTACTAATACTATACGATGCGCTGTATTCATGTATTGTTCCCACACACTTTCGAGGTTGACCTTAGATAGCACACTGGAGACCTTTTGATGCATTTCACTTTCAGCCGCCCTTTTAGTTATCTACACTAACAGCTGTACATACATCCTAATGCCCCTTTCAACAGTTGTCCTCCTGGTATTATTGCACACCTACATGTACATGTATACGATGTATTGTACACCCTTCTATTCAGTTCTTCCTCTAACGTATTCCTCTTGCACAGGTGCCACGTCCCGACCTTTCCCATTCTTCTGCCCACACAATCATGTACCTTGTAGTTTGACCTTTCTTCTTACTTCTCTCTGCTCTACGTATCCCCTGACCATAGGCTAGCTTACTTACTCACCCTATAAAAGCTACTGTCTTTCTAGTTTCCTAGGCTACGGATTAGTTTCTTGCCGATTAAGACCAGTTCTCCGCAGATCAGTTCCCTGTACATGTATATTAGTTTCATGCTAGATTACAGTGTATTACCTGAGAACTCTTTCTCTCTCTCGGAATAAGTGTGCAATTCTGTATGATAACCATTATCCATTACTGTAACCGCTTGCTCTACCGACTGAGCAAAACCGGGACTTAACATGATGCCACAGATTATTCCATGTACATCGAACACCCTGGATGGTTTCACCTGTATACAATCATGTAAATGTGGAGACAATTATGGCCATAATAATTACTGACTACTCTCAACTCCTACAAGCCATATCTCTTGCCAATTGTCAACGTATTGGAGAAAATTGTTGATCAGCAGGTTGTGGAGTTCTTAGTGACAATAGTGAGGTTTCTGCCCTGCCATGGAGCAGTTTGCATACTCTGATCTCTCTTGTCTTCTAGGTCCTGACATCTCCGTGTGATATGAGAAGGGAACTTGGTGTGTTTGGTTGAACGACTATACATGTGCATGAAGTACATGTATACATGTAATTTAAAAAGCACACCAGTAACAACAACAATAACTATAATGAATACCTCAACAGTGTCCTGGACATGTACTTCAGTTCAGTACATTGTACAATGTACATGCACACCTCACAGTACTGGCCTCTATACGGGCAAGATGATTCTTTGGATGTGAAAAAATACGTGTAGTCATGTGCATGTCCATGACAAAACATACAATGTAGTTTGGTTGCCAGCATGTTACAAGCTACGTGTAGACGGAGGATGCACTGAGTCTGTGTTCGAAAACAGTGCTCCTTATGACCGCCACCTCCACGGTTGGCATAGCCCTGGTCTTGCGACCATTTGAACTATAATGGGGGCTAGCCCCAGTTCTAATATATGCTAGGGAATTGTTTGAGTCTTCTTGTTTTTGTTTTTGCTATCAGTTGTGTTTCCTTGCTCGTTCTTGGATGTCAGTCCTGCCTAAATCCTCTTGATCCTTTGTGTGGATCCCGGCACTAAATCAGGAGAGAGGGGTCCAGTCTCTACAAACCAGGCTTGCAACAGCCCTATAGACCTCTAAGCCACATTATTATAACTATTCTCTGCTTTCCACCTGCCTACAGGGGAGAAAATGCACTGATTTTGGCTTAGAAGTGGCTAATTGCATACACGTTACCGCGGCGACCGTAGAAATTCGAGAAATTCCTGTGACAAGGAAGCCGACAGTCCTATAAACTTCTAGTTTTCAATAACAGTCTTGGAAAGAGCTCGCCTTCCAACAAGGTAACTTTTTTCTCCAAAATTGTATCGGCTTTGCCTCAGAAACGGCTAATTGCACACAGGTTACCATAGTAACCTAAGCAATTTGGAAATAGCTCATAACTTCCAAACGGACAACATTGGGAACTTCTAGTTTTCTCCAAAATTCCTATAGTTGGTCCGCCTCTCCGAATTTGAAGTCAAATCTTTCCTGGACGAGGTGTCAAATGCAACTCCTCAATAAAGCGACTTTTTCGGACTTGGCCCCAGCACTATGATGGTTCTAAGTAAGAGAGGCAAACCGTATTCAATGGTATGGTATTGTGCCATGCTTTCAACACACATTCTTCAGTGTCACCACTGAGTAAACTACTAGTAGTAGTATTTTTTTTTATTTTTTTTTTACTAGTGAACACTCACTGCATGATGAACTAAAATGAGGAGAAGAACTCGACACAATGGTACATATCCAGCAGGACGGAGTGGGTGGGACCTGTGAAGCTCAGCCGACCAAGGGTCTCGGCATCACAGCTGCACATGTGCACCAAAGGAAACAAAATGGGGAGTGGAAGGGCGGGGAGGGGAGCAGGAGAGCAAGAACTCTAAGGTAGTAGTAGTATTCTTTTATATAGTGGAGAAACCAAAACAGGCAGATGCCTAACAACAATGGACCCACTGTGATCGCTGTCGCCATTGGTCTACTTCAAAGAAATCACATAATACATTATTTATTATTCAACCGTCACACAGATTTGAAATGGTAGAATGTTAACCAAATGGGTTGATAGAATTCCTGCTAGTAAAGTACACTGTAACTAATTCATCCATACGATTTGAAAGCTCGAGCAGTCACAAAGCTGCACATACTCCACATTTTGTGTAATAAAAGTATTGGTTCAGCAGCTCAAGATGCACTAGCAACAGAAATAGATTGAATCAGGGAGTCGTAAAATACTGCCAGCTAGTATTTTACGACTCCTTGATTGAATTCACCACCTGGTTGGCTCAGTGGCACTGTAACATAACTTATTAGCTAAAGTCAGAATACTGAATTACTAGCTAAACTTATCTGACCGTCTCTCTCTGATCAGATGCTCGGTGCAGAGCTGGGAGTTAATATACGTTTTTCATGGACTATCCGAGTATAATCCTTGACATTGTACTCAAGTAATGTTAGTTGTGAGGAGGTAGTAGCAATAAGTACACATACAGGCACTGGCATTACCTTCAATATAATGTGTATTCACTGTGCATGGATCTATGCAGGTTACCATGGTCGTGTAGACTGCCACGGTTTCATGCCAAGACAATGACTGTATAGAATGGCTTCAGCTCTCTGGCGATCTCATGACAGAAGCATGTTGGCACTTGTCTCATGCTCTCCTCGCCTTCCCTGCACACACTGACATACGCTGGGAAAACGCGGGCACATCAATAGCTTGAACTCTCGCCGCTGCCAGCCATAGCCAAGAGTGTTCAGCAAGCCTTGCAGTGGTGACAGGAGTGCCTGGAAAGAACAGAAAATTGGAGAGAAGTGCTGGGTCATAGGTAAATTTACTCTCCGAGAACAGAATGTGAGCAACCGCTCAATGATCTTGAAATGCATACATTGATACTAAAAATAACTCTCATGAGTAAAGTAATCATACAACACCATTTTGTAAAAAAATAATTAGAACAGAACAACAAGGACAATCAAGGACAATCAAACCGTGACTCTGCACACTCTGCACACAGCCTCCTGCCTACAATAACACCGCTAGCCCCCACATTCTCACACAGTTTTTCATACCACCCTCTCCTGGCATATACACCGGCATGGTCGGTACCCAATCTTCATGTTGCCTGATGATTGCAAGAGCATGAAACTATTACTTGAAGTAGCAGCAAACAAGCCTTAATTGTCCTTGGTGTTCTGTTCTGTGTTACGCTCTGCTTCTGCGGTGCTGGTTCAGCACTGTCAGCACACTGGGTACATCCTCCAGCACTGTCAGCACACTGGGTACATCCTCCGGTTCAGCACTGTCAGCACACTGGGTACATCCTCCAGCACTGTCAGCACACTGGGTACATCCTCCAGCACTGTCAGCACACTGGGTACATCCTCCAGCACTGTCAGCACACTGGGTACATCCTCCAGCACTGTCAGCACACTGCTGGGTACATCCTCCAGCACTGTCAGCACACTGGGTACATCCTCCAGCACTGTCAGCACACTGGGTACATCCTCCAGCACTGTCAGCACACTGCTGGGTACATCCTCCAGCACTGTCAGCACACTGGGTACATCCTCCAGCACTGTCAGCACACTGGTACATCCTCCAGCACTGTCAGCACACTGGGTACATCCTCCAGCACTGTCAGCACACTGGGTACATCCTCCAGCACTGTCAGCACACTGGGTACATCCTCCAGCACTGTCAGCACACTGCTGGGTACATCCTCCAGCACTGTCAGCACACTGGGTACATCCTCCAGCACTGTCAGCACACTGGGTACATCCTCCGGTAAAAAATACTTGAAGTATTTTAAAGAGTCGATAACTTTCGTTTCTGTGTGTTTCACTTCGGTGTACGCTCCTGTGCTGATTGTGTTACTCTGCTCCTACTTTTCTTGCGTACGCCAGTGTGAGGTGGGAGTGTGCCGTGGAAAACCTGATGCTGAAACTCAGAGATAGTGCAAAGTTTATCAACTCCTTACTTGGCAGATATAGAGTGGGTAGTATCGGTTCATATCCATACCATCACCTTCTACACTTGAGATGATTCCAATTAGGACAGCTGCCCGCAAAGTAGATAACAAAGAAAACCAATTAGTAACAGCAAGCAAACAACCAATACTATCACTTAGCTACAACATTCCCGAATATCATTCGGGGCCTTATTTCAAAGCATGAGGAACTTGGTGCTGAACGGTCACTGCTGGGATGACCACTACACCATAGCATAGTGGGAGAGCATAGCTGGCCCGTGATAAGAGAGGGTCCCTGCTTTGAGTCCGGGTGGTGACAGTCATTCTTTCCCATTTTCAACTCCCTCAAACTCACAGTGAATACTTATTTCTCGATTGACTGGTGTAGCCTGAAGCCTGGCAAAGAGTGTTGTGAAGATGTGTGGATATAGTGGATGGCTGCAATGGAGTATGATATACACCGTTATGTGTCTTGAGAAATGTATTAGCCACAACAGGTAAGACTATCACTGTCATCCACTGACAAAAGGTCCGATGTGCAGTGCCAGTCATGCATCATGTGAATTGCAGCAGCGGGTCCGGCGTAGCACCCCTCAACGTGTTTTATATAAATAAGTAATCACAACCTCATCCTAGCCACCAATGTACATCATTGAAGTAGCACCGAAAGGAAGAATACCTTGCCGCAGTGTACTTACTAGGCAGCCAGCATATGAAGAAGATTGAGAGGAAGAGGATGGCGTTCTTCTTCACCCTTGTCAATCTCTTGTTCTCCTCTGAACTCATTTTGCCTGTGCCAGACAATGCAAAAGCAAAGATCACCCAGTTGGCTACGTACAGAAGGCAAATACAACAATGCTCATACACTCGGACGTCTCTTATCCGGGCACCTTGGGACCGGTCACTGCCCGTATCTCAGATTTGCCCATATCACAGCACTTCAGTATCTCCCAGTAAACAAAATCACAGTCGCCACTTCCGCTGCATAGCTCGCTGAGCATCTCATTGCTTTGTAAGTTGCTAATCCCTTCCCACTTTGTGTGCGTGCTCTTCATTTTCTTTTTTCTCTTCTTCCATGGTTGGTCTCACCCTCTCCTCAATTCAATTGGCTGTCTTGACATGCCACGAGGTGCAGAAATAAATAAATAAATAAATCTCAGGATAACTCATCTACTTTACAAAAGGGTATCTTGTAAGGCTGCTTTGGCTCAACGCGAGCGCATCTTGGGTTCTCTTAGACTCAAACAAACTGTTGCTTATCATTAGACAACGTAAAACCAATGAAACAGAAAACGACACGAGGAGACAAGCTCCAGGAAAAAGAGCTAGAAAACCGTATGTCGTACGTGAAGACCATGGGAACGTCGTAGGCGTCCCATGGCGCAAAAGGTAAGTAAAATACTTTAGAAGACACGATAGAAAGAAGAAAGAAGAAAGAAGACTGTATAATCGATTGCTTGTATGCTTGTATGTATGCTTGGTGCGAACCATTAGTTTGTGACAATACTCTTATTCATGCAATATCTAACAAGCATGCAATCTCTAACAAGCATGCATTATCTAACAAGCATGCAATCTCTAACAAGCATGCACTATTGACAAGCATGCAATATTCCACACTCCCTCCAGATGAGAGCTTAGAAATTAGTGTACTACATGTACCTGACTCGTTCCTACAACAGCGTGATGCTACTAGAGTACAGAGCATGGTGCAACGTGATGCTCTCATCTAATCACAGAATATTGCTGCTGCAGCTCTATAAGGAGCCGGCATTAATCAGTTGCTGTCTGGCCTTATCAGCTGACCGGGCAGCATCTCTCTTCGGGCGCATGGCGCCGGGGTGCGCACCAGATTGCTGGACAGCGGAGGCTGCCATGACCGTGGTAGATGTTGCCTTCCGCTCTCTCTCGACTTCTTCACACTGCGATGCTGCGGAGCCGCTGTCGACTTCTGCTCGGGGTTGTGGCTCGTGTAGCCACTTCGGACCAGTGTACCAGATGGTACTAGTGAGCTCACTGGGCTTCACTCCTCGTGACGGCAGGTCAGCCGGGTTCGAAGATGTTGGACAGTACCTCCAGCAGGACGTCGGAACGAGACGTCGGATCTCTGTAACCCGGCTCTCCACAAACTGCTTCCAAGTTTGCTCCACTCCAGCTATCCACGCCAGTGCCACTTGGGAGTCGGACCAGCAGTGAATCTGATCAATCTTCAGCTCTGCCAAGGTTGAGGAGACTGATGCCATCAGGCGAGCCAATACCAGTGCTGAAAGCAACTCGAGGCGGGGAATGGTCTGTTGCTTCAGCGGCGCAACACGAGTCTTTGCCGCGACTAGCTGTACTGAAGTGCCCACCTCCGTCGTGAACACAATGTAGATGGCTGCTGCATAGGCTCTCTCGGACGCGTCACAGAAACCGTGTAGCTCGACACGTGTGATGTTGCCGTTCGCGTCTGTTGCGTAGTGCCGTGGCAATGAGACTGGTGGCATGGCCTTCAATTCCCGTATCATCGTCTGCCACTTGCCAAGACACTCTCCCTCCAATGGGTCATCCCAGCCCATCTTCAACTGGCATAGTTGTTGGTGAAATACCTTGAGGGTGATGGTGATAGGTGCCAGGAGTCCGAGGGGGTCATACATCTTGGCTGACGCCGATAGGACTTGGCGCTTAGTTACTGGCGAGTCGACCTTGGTCGTGCTGAACACTTCGTCGACGCTGAACGTAAGACGGTCAGATGTCCTGTCCCATGGAATGCCCAGGACTTTGGTGGTGGCTGCGGATGAGCCGTTCAACATGGTCTTGGCATACGAGTCGTTGTCCACGGCGACATTAGGCAGACCGTTAGTCGACAGTGGTGTCGCTGCGGTACCATTGACGATCTCATTCAACTCAGCGGAGTTGGAGACAAACTTGCGCAAGTTGAATCCGCCTGTTGCAAGGTGATTCTTGGCACGGTTGAACGATTCCAACGCATTGGCATTGCTGTTGCCGCCACTCGCAACATCGTCCACGTACAGACTCTGTAGCAGCTTCGTAGTGAACTCGGGATCAAACTTGGCGAGATGGTGTTGCAGGGTAGCGTTCAATAAGAATGGGCTAGCGGATACACCGAAGACAACACGCGTGAATCGGTACGTCTTGAGTACCGGCTGAGCGCTTGTGGGATTGTCGACCCAGAGGAAGCGTAGGACGTCGCGGTCGGCTGTCTCAATCCCAACCATCAAGAACGCCTTCTCTATGTCTGCGGTGAAGGCTACCGCATGCGTTCGGAACCGGAGCAGTATGCTGGTGATCTGCTCGAGCAGCGGTGGTCCCGTGTGGATGCAGTCGTTCAGGGACGGATGCGTCTTCACCTTGGCTGAGGCATCGTACACCACACGAACCTTCGTAGTGGTCTTGTCCTGCCGAATGACAGGATGGTGAGGCAGGTAATGTACTTCGCCCACCACGTCGTGCTCTGTAGTTGGCACCTCCTCGATGATGCCCTTCTGAAGTTGCTCTTGAATTACTGCATTGTATTCCTTCAGAATTTCTGGTGACTTCTGCAGTTTCTTGAGTGTTGACTGCAGCCGTTTCTCGGACAGACTGTAATTGTCTGGAAGCGCGCGATGATCCTCCCTCCATGGCAACCTGACCGTGTACCTCTGCCCATCGTAGCGGATGGTCTGTTGGAACAGCTGCAGAGTATCCGGTTCATTAGGCAAGATGCCGATGGATTCAAGCTGCCAGAACTTCTGGAGTAGCTGGACCAAAGCGCTGTCTGGATCTTGCACGGTAGATGGTTCGACGTCGCAAGCGTGATTGGTTGCGACGTTAGTGGAGATGATGCCTGAATTACACCTGCCTGTTGGTCCGGACAGAACCCACCCGAGGCGAGTATCGAGAGCAGTTGGCCCATCATCTACACGAACGATGTCGCCCGTGACGATCTGCCAATAAACATCAGCGCCGAGTAGAATGTCGATACTAGCTGAGCCGCCACAGTTGTCGGCGAGACTGAGATTCTGTAGAGACTCGTAAGCTGTGACTACATCTGCGGTGTGCTGATTTTGCACGGGTGCACAGACTGATGGCACGACGATGCAGTTGACACGAATCCGGTTGCCATCGACGCACTGAATGTCTAGTTCGACCACGTCCCGGAGTGTGCTTGGGCTTGGCTGTTCGCCGCCAAACGCGTTTATCACTACACGTTCTTGACCGGAGCGGCACACATCCAGCTGAGTCAGTACCGATGATGTAGCGTACGAGCGTTGGCTCCCACCGTCTAGCATTACTCGCACAGGCACTTTTCGATCTGGACGTTGAGGCGAGACCACCGAGGTCTGTGCAGTTTGTAGAAATACAGCTCCGCTGTCACTGACAGTAGCTGCGGTTGTTGACGAAAACACTGACTTCGACCATTTTCCACTTCCGCCTTGTCTAGATGGCGGAGATGATGTCTTCGCGCCAGTCCCAGGCTGCTCTGACGACTTGGGTTCGCAAATGGACGTATGATGTCGATGCTCGCATTTGCTACATCTCAGCTTGGACTTGCAGTCGCGAGCCATGTGGTTCTTCTTCAGACAGATGAAGCAACGACCATTCTTGCGTATCAGCTCCTTGCGGCGCTTGATGTCTGTGATGGACGAACATTGCGAGGACTCGTGTCCGCTGCCGCAAAACACACATTCTACGCTCGATGAGGTGACGGTAAGAGCTGCTGCTGTGGAAATGTCTGATTTGGCAGGCTTGCTCATCAGACGTGTGGCTGCAACGCTATGCGAGACACTCTGCAGGGTCTCCTCCGCTTCCGTGCGGAAATCTGCTTCCCGTACTAACCACTGCAATAGCGAGTCGACCGACTCGACAATATTGTTATCGCAACGCCACCGGTGGTACGCCGTTAACAGATCTTGGCTCAGCTTCTGCTGCAGCTGAGTGCAGAACGTACCGTACGACAGCTCATTCTGACGGCCAGCATCAATCAAGTTAATCTTGGCGACTTGCACAAGATCTGCGAAACGCTCAAGCTGTTTGGCTGTGCCACGCTCACGGATTGGTGGCATGTCCTGGAGCGCGGACATGTGGACGGCTGTTTTGCGCTTCTCACCTCCGTACTTTTGGTCAAGTCGCTGGAGTGCTGCTGCGTAGGCCGCTGCCGAGTAACCATACGTCTCAACAGTCTTCAACGGTGGACCGGACAGATATTGCCTGAGCTGCAACAGCTTCAGCTCCGGTGACAGAGGCTGTTGATCGACGCAGACGTTGAAAGACGTACGCCATGTGTCGTATAGCTTTTTGTCGCCGTCAAAGGTTGATATCTTGATCTTTCTTAAATGACGGTAAACGTCTGATGGTGGATTGCCTTGCGGTGCATGCGAAGGACCAGGTGTGAATCCTGGTACTGGTCCAGTCAATCCATACCCATTTGGGGTTCCGCCATAAGGGCCATAATTGGATGCTGATTGTTGGCCTGGGTACAGTGCACTTCCATTCTGTGCAGGCGATCCACCAAAAACGGCGTTGACTGGTGGAGGTAGAGCTGGTGATGGGTACAAACCGCTGACATTGTACTGCGTCTGTAGACTCTGTACCCCAAAAGCGGCGTTGTTGGACGACACTGCTGCAGGTGGAACTGGTGACCACTGTGTCGAACCAGCTAAATTAGGCGTTGTACTACACGGCGGCGGCCACTGGCTGGCTGCCGTATCTGGCTGCGTCCATTGCGGGGTTTGACTCTGGGCCGCTTGTGGCACTCCAAGTACGTCGAGCGGCAAGCGGCTACCGTAGGGGATCGTACTCGCAGAGGCCGGGGCCAGGTGGGAATGTGCTCCAAAAGAGGCTGATGCTGATGCTGCTGGACCACCATAAGCGGACGCTGGGTCAGTCGCGGTGCCGAAACCCTGAGCAAATTTCGTTGTGTTTACTCTCGACGACGTACCACTCGCAGTTAGTGTACGGGCTGAACTGAGGCTGTGTTGTTGTGTTGGTGTAGTTGTTGTTCCGTATTGCAGCGTTGGTGTTGCAGCTAGCTGTGATCGTGAATGTGCGATCGTCGTTTGTTCGTGTTGTGTTGGTGTAACCAGCACTCGAGACTGGTGTACTCGTGCTCGTCGTGTTCTGCGTGATCTGTTGACGTCCGACGTCGTACGGTGACGAGACTGACGACTGTCGAGGGTTGGTACCGGTGTCACTACTGCTCACAGCCAGACGCAAATCTGTACTCACGCCAACACCGGCACCTGGTTGTTGCTGCTTGCGCTGCTCTGCTGGGACGTTGTTCCGGTCGAGGTCGCGCGCTGCTGGCCCTGTAGCTGTGGCCCCTGTAGCTGCTGACGGGATACCAGATACATCAGGCATGGACATGACTACATTCGTGCATGCACTATCCGGCCTGGCCTACAAACACAAGCTCCGTAGCTGCGGTGTTAGCATCCGACGCGGGAATGTGTACGGTACTACCACTAGTACTGGGTTCACTCTGGCCACTGGCCTGTACACTACGACTCGTGCTGGATGTATCTAATTCTTGCATGCTACTACTAGTAGTAGTAGTAGTACTCCACTGGAGCTGCTCCTGTGCAGTTCGTATTTTGTCTGTAGCTGAAATGGATTCCAAATATGCCTGAACTCTCTCTGGGTGACGGGTGTATCGCAACCCCGTGATTTCGCTTGTGTGTGCACTGTTGTATCTACTCATGCTGATATTTGCTAAAGTAGTGCTGGCCTGCGTCACTGCCTCAGTGTACGACACCTCTAATTCTGCAGTCTCCTTTGCCAAACTCTCTAAATAAGTAGGATTCTTGCAAAATATATCTGCCAGCTCTGAAACAACCTCCATCACGGAGTTCATCCTGTTCTCGAGCATTAGTAGCCCATATTTAATCTCCTCGACACTCACGGTTTCCGATACGATGGACACCAGCAACCCACGGCGGACATTAGTATATTCCGTCTTCGCCTTAGCCTTGGCGATCTTCTGCTGCGGACCAATACTATCTGCCATCTCTAGTCTTCTCTGGTTCGAATCCGGCGATCCGGCTCGAAGGACCAATTTACAAAAGGGTATCTTGTAAGGCTGCTTTGGCTCAACGCGAGCGCATCTTGGGTTCTCTTAGACTCAAACAAACTGTTGCTTATCATTAGACAACGTAAAACCAATGAAACAGAAAACGACACGAGGAGACAAGCTCCAGGAAAAAGAGCTAGAAAACCGTATGTCGTACGTGAAGACCATGGGAACGTCGTAGGCGTCCCATGGCGCAAAAGGTACCGTATATTCTCTATTATAAGCGCCGTGCTTATATTTTTTCAACACCCCTCTACCCCGTGCTTATATTGGAGACCGCGCTTATATTGGAGACCGTGCTTATATTTTTTCAACCAATACATCCATACAGAGCAAGAAGAAATGCATGCTAGATATCATGCATGCCGCATTGATTTCCAACAGGACCGTGCTAATAATAGAGACCGTGCTTATAATGTTTCGAAAGGTGCTCACAGTGTGCTAGTATTAGAGACCGTGCTAGTAATGGAGACCTGTGCTTATAATAGAGAATATACGGTAAGTAAAATACTTTAGAAGACACGATAGAAAGAAGAAAGAAGAAAGAAGACTGTATAATCGATTGCTTGTATGCTTGTATGTATGCTTGGTGCGAACCATTAGTTTGTGACAATACTCTTATTCATGCAATATCTAACAAGCATGCAATCTCTAACAAGCATGCATTATCTAACAAGCATGCAATATCTGACAAGCATGCAATCTCTAACAAGCATGCACTATTGACAAGCATGCAATATTCCACATCTACTGTATAAGCAGAAATATTCGTCTGGAATTTAATTTCGTCTTTTTCGTCCAAGGAGCTTTTGGACTAAATTAATGTAGGACGAATATCGATTTGTCCAGCGTTTCTATACACTCTTATGATCTATGGACGAAATTTTCAACTGGACGAACTCCTTTTCTTTGGAGTTGGACGAAATTATTGACCGACGAAATTTTCTGCCTCTACAGTACCATGTATCATATCATTTTTTGAAGCAGTTTATTTGTCACGTAATGCACATGTTCAGGTTAAAGAAAGCATCCATTGATAAGAATGTGTGGATTTCACAGGTTGGCAGTGACAAATAGGTACTTGCGCGCACGAAAAAAGCTCAAACCCCCAAATTCAAGGCATTTTGCCATACTGGGACTCGAGCTGAAGGTGCCCGGTAGAGAGACGTGCCCGTATCTGAGGCGTCAGGATAAGAGGCGTTTTAGTGTACAATTACCAGTTGCCGGAATTTGAACTCGTACTGTGTCGGACCATGCAATTCGGCCAAAACCTTGCACAATTTCTGTGACCACAGCTGAACAGCCCGCGATGCCTCGAGCTTCGGCACTGCATGGTGTCAGTGGCCGGGGTGATTACTCCACCTACACTGTATACGGTAAATGATTACATTCTCACTGAGAGCCCTTACGGTTAACACAGTGTATACTGGAGGGGTGATTCATCATGTGAACCGTATTGATAATGTACATGTACACAGCATGATTCTAACCTGCTTGTCTGAAGGATTTCCTTAGTAATGACACCGTCTTGACATAGATAACCTGCAAGGCAGTGCAGAACCAGCGGAACAAAACAAACAAAAACAATATTGTACATATCTGTGTGGAGCACATGTTACCGTGATGTCTCTGCCCTTTGCTAACTGATGGCAGCCACACTGCGATGCTGGAATACTGTATACCTTCAGTTACATGTACTCGTATGTGCTCTGCTACTATACAGCATACATGTATCAGGTTTCATGGCAACATTGGCAGAAATCGTTACTTTCTGAAGCAACAATAGGCAACCTTGTTAATAAAGACCCTCGATCGTACATGAGAAAGTGTCGTTATTCAAGAGTTGTCGTTATACGTGAGACTGAAAGTATGCAGCCACTGAGTCTGAAGATTCTGTCCGTATTCCCGAGTTGCTGTTATACCCGGGGTAATTATTAACGAGGTAAACTGAATCTTGTGCTCACTTGCGGACAGAAGTCAATCCTTTTCATATACATGTCCATGATGCCACGGCACGGGTTCAGTTCACATGTGTCTTTCATCCCTGGCAATCTGTGTGTGCTTTCATAGCCAAAATTACTTACCGAATTGAAAGCGAAAGACAGCAGCAGAGGTACCAAGAATAGATATTTGTAGATCCTCAGCCATTTAAACATGGATTGGGACTGGGACTGGAGATGAACAGAGCATAACGAAGGTGAGTAGAATGGGTGGTACTGTAGCTTAAAATTCATCATTACAATCATAATACGCATCGCGGTCAGAGTCACTAGTGGAGGTTATTTGACAATTTGACAATCATCAAACAAGAGCCTAACAAAAGTGAATTTGTGATGAGATCAAGAGAATCACCCCCCATGTTGTAATTTTGCATTGTGCTGTAGGATTACTTGAAGATGCATATCCCTGAAATCTGACACCGACTTCAATAGTATTCAGTCTGGATTCTTTTTGGTCATACAGAGAACGGCAGCACTTTCCAGAAGCAGTGCAATTTCCATACTTGTATCAAACTTGGATTTCTAGTACATGAGTAACTACATGTCAGTCAAGCCACGTGAATTCAAACCTGGATCTCAGCTTTCCAGATTACCAGTATGCATGTGACATACTGGTATCTACATTGTGGAAACAGCCTTACAACCACAGAATATTGGGAACAAAAGGCAAACATGAAGGTCCAACTTCACAAGTTCAAAGTTCATAGGTTCATGGGTTCATGGGTTCATGGGTGCAGTGTGGTGTGCATATTACAGTCATAGTGCTGTCCATGATGAAAGCGTAGTACAACTCAATACAAAGACTCATGATCCACTGAACAGCAATCTCAGCCAACACCTTATGCTCGTGAGCTGGGCTGAACTTACCCCGCAGACACGGAAGTTGTTTTGAGAGAAGAAGGGCAGACAACTGAGAAAGAAACGCATAAGAACAAACACGCGTGCACACACACACATGCATGATCACAAACACATATACACGCATGCGCACGCCAAGTGCCGCCACCCACACACAAGCAACTTCAGGGAGAAGATGGATAATCAATAAAAAAAGGTTATCTTGAAGTCAAATATGACTCGAAGGAGTTTCAATTGCTGTCCCTTTCCGAATGTCCGGCTTGTGTGCAATGCATACGTGAAACTTCACGGCATGTGTAACAATTGTATCATACCAGCATTAAACCCCGGTCATCTACCTGTCTTATGACGTGTGTACACTGACCATCCTCAGCGGCACTCACCTGTCATTACAGTACGTGTGTATATCTTTCTGGGCAGTCTCTTGATGGAACGTGGCGTAGTAACCGACCATGGTGATGACAACAGCTAGCGGTATCACCCTGTGCACAGCGAGCAGTGGCCGACAATCACAGGCAATAATCAGCCAGTGCCGCACACACCATCATCACTAGGGCATGCAGAGTCAAAACAATTTTTTTTACTGTAATGTCTTGTTCAAATAGCCGGTCTCTTATTGAAGCGCGTTTTGAAATCTAGCCTGATGTTCAAGATGGACCGTCGACTGGTGCACAATCCTGGCAGTCTGTGCTGACATACCTGTTACCTGACTGGAATATATGTACAACAGTAGCCCTCACATTGGCTTCTACTTCTACATAATATAGGAATGAACTCGGCTTTTAAACTCGACTTTACGGGTGCCGAGTGCAATTTGTTCCACATGTGCAGCTTGCCAACGTGTGCGCGCGCGCGCGCACTCGGAGTTATAGCAGCAAAGCTTTCTTTCTCTATACTTATAGCCACATATAGCTGTACCTGGAATTCCAAATACAGCCTCACTGTATGGAGAAATTCGTACGGTTGCTGGAGCAAGGACTGTCCAGCAATATGACCACCTCCCACAGTCCTCTTATACAATCACTGACCTTGGAATGACGTCATAACACACTCACTATGACATCACAACAATGAGCTCATGTCACGAGTCATGTGCTGCTCTAGATAGATCAGTGCAACGTGTATCATTATCAGTAGTGATAGCTGGTACTTACCAGGACATGCTGTACATCAGGTACATGAATTCAAACTGTGTTCTTCTAACGGGATCCTATAATGAGAAATCATTTTAAGAGAAGAAAAAAAACAACGAGTGAAAAGCGATACTGTGACGAGCAAGTTACAGGCAACAAAACTTTCAGTTCCTGTTAAGGAATCCTTCCTTGCTCAGCTCATGTTACACAAAACCTTGGGCTAGGGGAGGTAGGTAAGATTCTAGCTTCAAGCAAAGAAACAAAGCGAGGCCAACATGTGAAGCGTTTCCTGTGACGTAGACTCAGTCAGATCAGCAAGAGTACTCGAGGCCTCTATGAAGAGGACGATGTCGTAACAGTCCTCGGCAATGTTCATGTCGTAACAGTCCTACGCAGTGTTCATGACAATGAGACTGTGAACACTCTTACCAAGCCTCTTCCTGTACGTTGTTTATCTTGAAATGACACCCTCATGTACACTTCCGCTGCATACGCTGCTGTCAAGAAGAATGTTATGACAAAGAAACCCTGCACAAACAAAGTCAGATAAGTTGATATAGCATGATTTCATTTTTGGCTTGCCGGGTCATGCTCGGCTCATGTTCGATCTTCACTTGTTCCCTCAACACATTCCCGTACACTCTGCTTGCTATTTACCACAGCTAGCCGTGGTCTAGAGGGCATATACACATACATATACACACACAAACACACACACACACACACACACACACACACACGTGTACAGTATCTCACCGTTACACAGCCATTGAGGTAGCTGCATAGAGTGAAGACCTCGTCGCTCCTCGTCCTGTACAGAACGTGCACTACGCAACTGGCCAGAAGGCTGGCGGATGCGCAGAAGTCAGCCATAGCCAGGTGGAACAGTGGCTGAACCTGAAAGACAGCATACAGCACAGTACCGTCGGACGCCAGAGAATGAAGTGCCAAAAACCAACAAGCTAGATGTTTACCAGGTGTAGGAGACTCTTGTGTACCCGGTGGCTCAGCTGCATAGCCTGTTCTACATAAAATAAGAACAGAGTGGGCTATGGTTCTAAACTCCCAGCTCTTCAGCACCAGACAGAACTGTAGGGTCAGTAACAGAACACTCAAGAGTAATTGTCTTGCCACACAGGCCAGCAAAGGCTAGTTATACACCCCATCGAGTCTTACTACACACTACATCATCGGATAAGCCATCACACTTTCTGCTACAAGAGAAGCACTATGGCTGGTGAAAATACTCAGCAAAGTACTGCGATGGCAAAGTGCATTGATGCGCATGTCCACGGAAACCGTCACTGATTTGCACCGGCAAAGCCGTTAGATGACTAAGCAGGCCATATATCGACATCAACTGATCACTTTGACGGTGTGACAGTGCAAGTAGTGTAGTGTGGTCCGTATGAAGTGCCGGCGCTCTGGCTAGGGATGAAGATATCACTATAATCAGTCAGTGGCTTTTGTTCACTGGTGCTAGACTAATATACAGCAGTACTGTTGGTATATTATCTTAAACAGCTAGGTGGCAATCCACGTCACATTTAGAACTTACACTTTGATGGCATACTTTGTTCTTGTAGATTGCAAACACTAGAATCGAGATGCAGCCCAAAATGCTGTGAAAAGTACCAAAAAATGGGTCATCGTGAATTAGGCCCAAAGTCACAGTGAAAGAAGAACACCCGATACGAAGTGCATGCATGATTCGGGCTCAAGGCAAGGAGGTGCACCACTTTGCATGTTTGCACCATTATGGCCTAGAGATTGAAATGTCCTGCATCAAGTCTGCATCCCAAACCTTCCAGGACAGTCTTTCAGATCAATGCAGTGAGAAATGAACCAGTTTCACCTTCTGCTCTTCGTTTTATACACTCAATACGCAATTAAGGCCACGCACACAATACATGTGTATCAGGCTCGTAGCTCGTATGTAGTCAGGGTAGTCCGGCCAGCACACCTGCAAATGACTGTCATAGGTATTACATAGTGAGAACAGGTAAAAATAGCGCCGGACAATGAGGTACATGGTCACCATACTGCAGATGCACTCTAGCTCAGGGTCACCACACCCCAGATGTGTGAGCTACGCCCTTGTGTGTATGCTGTGTAGTTGTGGCATAGAAGAGACCTTTGGGCAATACCAGTCTGGAGGACTCTATCACAGTGTTTATCAACATGCAACGCCAATACCGGCGGCGTGCCGTGGTGAATGCTAGACTGAATTACTAGTACCTTGCTGATGATGAGATGATATCGGTGATGCTTATGACTTCCAGCTGCACGACAGAAGAATAGACATAGACACCAGTAGTATACTCACCATACAACACACGAGACAAAATCAGATACAGACACACACACCACACACACAGACACACACACACACGCACGCGTGCGCGCACACCCACCCACCCATGCATTCATGTACATTTGCACAAACACCCCCCCCCCCAACACACACACACACACACACACACATACCACACCTTTTGACACCCATTGCCAGCGGCGATGATAGCGATTCTACAGCAGAAGCCATAGCAACTTGCGCTGGGATTGCACCATTCAACAGCTTGCAAGGCTGAAGAATTGACCGCCACTATTTAGTATTTAGCCTAGTCCACACCACACAGCTCATTGAAGTGGTTTTTCTTGCCAGTGAATGCCTACTTTTTGTTTTTTTCCTCCCCCCCCCCCCCCCCACACACATCACACCACATACTCCGGCATGTACTGGTTGTTGATAACCACCCACGAGAATGAAAGAAAAGTCAGGCCTGAGGAGACTGAGGAAGAGAAGTGCCTACACACCACCCCCCCCCCCCCCCACCCACATACATCTCCCCCCCCCCCCCCACACACACACACGCCATGCATTGCACTAGCAACCCACACTGAAGCAGCTCAGTGCAGTCAGGGTTGAGTTACCCGTGTTGGCTATCTCTACTCTTTTTCCTATAATAAAGTAACGGAGGTAGTAGCCATTCGGTGGTTTTGATCATCGTGCAGTTGACATGTATGAATGTGCATATCACACCAAGAACTACCCACTCCCTCCCCAGCCCAGGAACCCTGGTCCCCCCCCCCCCCCCATTGAGCCGAGCCACTACTAGGCACTACCGTCGGCATGACTACTACTAGTACTACACTAGTAGTAGTAAGTATGACCTCCTAACAGACTCAGAGACACCTCCACTGATGCAGCAGCGGCTGCGTTCGTGCAATCAGATTCCTGCTAAGCCGGCCCGACGTAGATCTATGCGTTCCATGATGCATTGTGATGTTAGAGGTATTATTTTCTGAATGGAGCAGCAACAATAACATAGCTTTGAGACAAACAACTAGTACTAGCACACACGAGTAGATGGTTCATTCCGAACAGGAAGAGAACTTCCACAGATTCCACAGCTCTCGCAGTCAGTTATTGCAGAACAGTGTTACTTCATGGAAGAGGGTAATACACCACAATCAGTCATAATTGACACGAACCTGATCCGAGTTCAAATAAGTCCCTTCATATGAGCCGCTGAACGTCACGGGGATTGGAGAACTTGTAGAAGTCATCGCTTCAGTGACTGCACCCGGTACCGCTCATTGACCGAAGATCCTCCCTCCGTCCTAGGCATTGAATGTCTTTGGCCGACTGAAGCAGACTACTACAGAAATGCTGCTCGTTCCCTGCCGTTACCTCTCTGCGGAGCAGCGAACGCTCACTAATATTTCATAGTCACACTTGGAGTTTGGCCATTACCAGCTCTCGCTTCGACAGCAGTGTGCGTGCCGAAACAACGTTGCCGGGCGTTGGTGGTGCCAAGCCCAAAGAGTACGAGTCAGACCAGGTACTAGGTGGCCACGATAATGCATTTCGATCGTCCTTTGACAGGATTTTCCTGATTCAACGCATGCAACATCACCAATCATTACGTAACTGTCATAACCATGATACAGTCATACTGTAGACAGTGTAGTGTAGACTAGTATTACCAGGGAGTAGTAAAATACTACTCCCTGGTATGTACATGTACTATACAGTAATAATTTTAAAATGTAGTACCAAGACTGGCAAGAGTATAACTCAAGCTCAATCAATGGTTATTATATCAATGGTTATACTTGTAGTATTTTTATACTCTTACTCTTAGTCTTAGTCTTGAGTCTTGGACTTCGTAGTACGGACAACAGTCATGTAGAAATACCAGATGTACACGCCGCAGTCTACACTCTACAGCATGCAGAAGGTTGGTCACATGATCACACTTTCCGAGTGCTCTTCCACTGACGTACCGCTGACGCCAGTAACGGGTCCGTTACTTTACTCACAAGGTGTCAGTCTGCCAGGCATGTGTACTAGTAGCCCTTGGCGGATTATGCTCGGTAAATTGCTGAATTACGTGTACATGTATGCTTGCCCAAAATATGCCAGTGATTATGCGATATGATGCTGGAATTATGCCACTGATGGTGCTATACTGGACCCTTGCACTCTTGTTGCACTTTGCAACGTTACAACGACTCTGACACCATGATAGCACGGCTAGGGGTAACATTCATCAGGTTATTTCCTTTCACAGGCCTAAACACGCCTGGAGCATTACTGTTCAGCCAGCATCGTAAGGTTACGCCGACCGTCTGGTCTCAGAAGTCCTTTTATGCCAGGGCATAAGTGATGCAACGAATGGTGTTTTCTTCGAACATTGCTTAGACCAACGAACGAAGAGGTAGGCGTCGTAAGCCAAGACATAATGAAAAATACAAGCTCGCTCCCGACAATACATAAGCGGACATCAACGCAAAAGCAATTGCCGTCGACCTCCAACGGAAGGCCGAATGGGCTTTTATCCCTTCCTACTGAGTACTGAGTCTACTGACTCATTTGATTACGACAGATAATTATTGTGTAATGTCCCCCCCCCCCCTTCGCTATCATAATATTATTGGGCAATGATCCCGTTTGACTTTTCGAAGTAAAATAGAGAATAAAAAAATAATAAGGCCAGGTCTGACTGTACAGCAAAACCCATCAACTCCACGTATACTAGTACTAGTCACATACATGTACATGTACATGACTAGTATTTACTCCATCCAAGACCGCCTGTCGCAGCCACAACAGTCAACAGCGAGCAATGTCCTTGGCACGCGAGAAGGGCGGGTCCAGTACCCTGTACCTTGACCACCGTCCCTATGGCTGAGCACGGTTTCAGCTTTGATGTGAAGGGTGATTTCCGCGATCATATCCGGCTCCGGTACTGTTGGTCTCTGGACAACCTGCCAGCATCATGTCCCTGTGGCTCAGGGTTCTCGTGTGTGTCCCATAATTATGGTGCAATGGTATGTGCAGTCGATTTCCAATCGAGAGGTTGCGGGTTCAATTCCCGACGATTATGGTCGCACACGTCTTTCTTCTCTTTTTCGGACTCTTCCAGACTTTTCTTTCATTCTCCTGGGTGGTTACCAACAGCCAGTGTACGAGATATGCCGGAGTATGTGGTGTGGTGTCACCGTGTGTGTAGAAAAAAATGGAAAAATGAAAATAGGGATTCACTGGCCAGAAAAAGTCACTTCAAACAGCTGTGTGGTGGATACCAGGCTAAACATAGTGGCGGTCAATTCATCAGCCTTGCAAGCTGTTGAATGGTGTAATCCCAGCACAAGTTGCTATGTCTAACATATCTGTTCGCTATCATCGCTTCCGCGATGGGCATGTCTGAGGTCTGAGGGTTCTCAGTTGACCATGCCCAAATTTGCAAGCTGTCGGGATTCATCAACATGCGACACAATGATCCCACCGACTTCCTCGCGTCGTGCATGAAGAAGCTCCATCTGATGTGGAGGTGGAGCCACCATTGCAGCCCCTAACTGGTAAAACCTTTCACCATCGGTCAGCCAACACTGATCCTGATGCCCGTGCCGACCTGCGGGTGAAGGGATTCTGGACCGACAGCCGCAACGCATTCTTTGATACAAGGGTGTTTTATCCCCACGCGTCAAGCAATCGGTGCAGGTCTCTCCCCTCCCTCTACCGAAGGTTCGAAGGAGAGAAGAAGCGTGCTTATGGTGAACGTGTCAATGAGGTTGAGCATAGCTCCTTCACACCGTTAGTCTTCTCCTCCTGTGGTGGGATGGGCTCTGAAGCAGCCGTAGTAGTCAAGAGGCTGGCGCATGGCTTGGCCGCCAAACGCAACGCGCGCTGCATAGCTAGCCCGGTTGTAACTATGTTACTTCAGCCCAGAGGCTGCCAGGGCTCACGGTTGAGATGCCAAATCTCGATTACCGTCGGAGGACATCTTGGATTTTGGTACGTCACCGAGTGGTACGTGCAGGATTGCACGCGCGGGTGACGCGCGGCTGCTGCGTGTGTACTTCGGATCCGTGAGTACTAAAAACTCGTTTTTTTAGTACTCCCTGCTTCGAAGCGAGGATAGTGGATACGCTTGATTTCGTGCACAGCAAACGGGATGCGTGACTCCAGCAGCTATGGCATGCTACACCTAACTAAGTCCTTCACACAACCACGTAGCCCTTCACCTCTTGTGTATTTTTCAACAACTAGTTGGAAGTGCAGGGAAGGATGAGGACGAACCTCAGTTTTAGTTGCACTGTTGATTTTAGCAAAGCTTTGCTTTAGTTGATCTGCACCGACCAGAGGAGGGAGAACGGGTGAAAGCAGAGTCGTCGACTACGTATTTGACAACTCCCAGGGTGAAAGACTAAGTCATCATGGGGCGAATTCAGGCGAAAAAGTCGCACTCCAAAAGACTTGATTACCCTAAATCTAAGAAGAAGAAGAATCCCGGGCAGTTTGGCAAGCGCTCCGTCTCCACCCAGCGCAGTGAAGAGACGAGTATCGACCCAGTCCAGGAGGCACCAGGCACAGTTGATAAGGAGGAGCATCTAACTACGGTAATAACAGCTGTCCTGAAAAAATAATCCTTGGACCTAGATTCACGCGAATGTAACATCTTCTTTTAATCATTATACCATGTGAATGCTGACCGCGACCTACTACCGTACTGGCTATTGGCTTCGTGTTGCTTGCGTAGCATTTCCCGTCTCTCTAAGCAATGAAGCTGTGATGAGAAGTTGAGACCAAGAAGGGCATGGAATACATGTGTAGAGCAATAGTATTAATGTTGTATATCACCAAGTGATGCATTGTGTACATGTAGACCCATGCGCATGAGGCAGGCAATTCTGGAGAAAATAGCAGCAACGATGAAGGCGGTGAAGAGCGTGAGGCAAGCAGTTCTGGAGAAGAAAGCAGCAATGATGAAGGCGGTGTACAAGGACAAAACGCAGCGCACAGTTATGTGCCGCACCACGGTGGTGTAGGCAGCAGCATTACCATCCCAGGATTTGCCGTTTATGCACGGAAAGAAAAATCCATGGTTAATATTCTCAGTTACAAAAAAATTCTATTTCTTTACTAATTCACATTTTAGATCACACAAGTCAGCATGTGCAAACTAGATACCGTACTGGCAATATATATGGTCGCAGTGAGGCCATGAAGCGTTACATTGGCACATGTTTACCGCACGCAGGGCGTTACATGCAAAGTCGCACAGGAGCCGTTACACAGGTTTCTATATTGCCGCAGTCCTTTTTTTGCTATTGCCGCATAACTTTTTTGCTATTGCCGCATCATTTTTTTGCTATTGCCGCATCATTTTTTGCAAACTGCAATGAAAAGATCGCCGCACCCCGCCGGACGCGCGTTACGAACGCAACGAAAATTTGTCGCACTAGCCTGGTCGCGCGTTACGCCGCACCCCCCTGCGTTACGCGGCAACATATATTGCCAGTACGGTACTTACTACCGGACATTAAAATGACACATGTATGGATGGACACAAGTCAAACACACAGTCGTAGAGTCTACGTATACGAGAATCCACACCAAAGCAAGGGAAAGAATACGGTATGTAATTGTTGTGTGTGACATTGTGGTGCCTTATGTAGACACGTGAGCATGAGACAGGCAGTTCTGGAGAAGAAAGCAGCAGTGATGAAGGCGGTGTACAAGGACAACACGCAGCGCACAGTTATTACGTGTCGCTGCACCAGGGTGGCGTAGGCAGCAGCAGAATTACTATCCCAGGAGAGGACAAGGATACTCATCAAGAAACAACTCTGGTAAATATTTACGCCCATAATTCCACACAAGTGCAAGCAATCTATCTAGATCTGATTCGCCTCAAGCTGCCACCTGCACAGATAGACGCAGCTACAGTTGACCTGGCATATAATTATAAGAACAATAGAATCTATGATTGCACACACGTGAACCCACACGCAAGCGAGGGAAAGAACACGTAATGCTGTGTGTGTGTGTGGTGTGTGACCTAATTGTGGCGCGTTATGTAGAGCCCTGGGGCAAGTGGATCTGAAGAATGGGACAGTGGTGTGCAACAGTACACAGAACACACATCGCTTCATCCACATAGTGCTGTCTGCAGCCCAACGGATCCACCACCGGTAAGCTATGCCGATGTAATCATACTCCACTGAACTAGTGATTATATCATGGTAGAACAATATTTAGATCATGCTTGGCGTTACATAGTTTCACAGATTAATTCCTAACAGCACCCGATAACCCTAACGTCCAAGTAACACTGCAAAGAGCACTAAGTGCCATATTGGGCTCTAAATAACTGCAGCTCCGTGGAAATATACTAAACATGACCGAGTATACTTCTGTGCATACTGTGGTTGTGTACAGGATCAACAAGAATCACAAGCATCGCATACAGTTGATGCAGAGCGTACTATTGACGAACTCAGGGCAGCGAAGGCGAATTTGGAGAAGAGGTTGTTGATTGCTGAGAAGAGTTGTGAAGCACAAAAAAACAGAAACTTAAACAGCAAGCAGATGCATTCCGAGGCGCACGCAGTTCCAGTACTAAGCTGCTGAAGTCGGCAGCTGCATCTCCAAAGCAAGTACAGAGAGAAAAGTATCAAAAGAAGAAACAAGTAGCTGTTAAATCCTCCAGGGTACCTGGCAAGCGTGAACACACACCGGAGTTTATGGCAGGTGTCAGGTTCCTAAGAGCAGCGTGTCTCCTAAGCAATCAAAAGGCTGCACTGGCTCTCCACCTAGCCCACCAACAATTTACGGGTGAAGAGCCAAGGAAGGACTTAGGAACCTGCATCGCCCCAACAACAATTTCCGAGTGGAATGTGCTGCTTGGAGAAGTGGATAAGCAAGTCTTGAGGGAGGAGCTGCAAAGCAATACATCTGACGTCAACGTATTCGCTGACGACTCCAATAAGCGCGGTGAAGACCGCCACATGGTCGGCATCCATACCTGGAGCGAGAAGAACAAACAGCCCGTAACATATGTGTTAGCCAACACACTTGTGGCCAGCAGAAGTGGCAAGAATAAAGCCAACACCGACTATCATGTGCTGAAGGAAATATACGGCGTATCGTCGATTAGTATTGTAGTCGGCGACAATGCCTCGACACAGTCTGGTGGCAAGAAAGGTCACGCGGTTGAGCTTGGTGCTCTTTTCAACAAAGAGACAACTTTCGTCGGGTGCTACCCTTATATATTGAACATTGCTCTCAGGAATGGCATGGTCGAAGCTTTCGGCCTGAGAGGCACCATGACCTCATGTAATTTATTTCAGCTCCATTACAAAGTAGGGTATGTTCACCATGCGAAACCGACATAATTATTACAAATCTCTGTATTTTTCAGAAAAAATACTGAGCACACCACCACCTCTTCCGCAGGAGTTTGTAGAGACTAGGTGGTCCTACATACACGCTTCACTCACCTGGTGGAATAAGTACGGACATGCGTGCGTCAAGCTTGGCCACAAGGTGCTGGAGTACCTCCCGAAATCAGATAGCCACCTTTCAATCTGGACGGAGATAGTGGAGATGGCAGCCAATGCTGAAATCACCGTCCACCGGGTCCTCTTGTTGGAGATGCTGGATCGCCTCATCATGCCCGGGCTGCACGACTGCCAGAAGAGCGACGAGGAGCTCGGATTCGGCAGCGGGTTCCTGGCTCGAGCATGGCCAGTGAGAGTCATGATGGACTTAAACTTGGCCAAACTCATGGTTACCGAACCTGAGTTTGCGTTGCCGCTCACAGCTGCGGCCATGGAGAGTCTACCACCTGACCTCCAGCAGAATGTTCTGGTAACGCAGGTGAAGCCGTTTGCCGAAGAGTGTGTGAAGACGCTGGAGAAACATGCCACACGCTGGCATAAGTTTCCCCTGTTGTTCGCACTTGGTGGCCGACTCCTCCATACCAATCTTTGCCAAATATTTCGCAGCATCACTGGAGACAGAGTATTTTGCTTTTTCATGATGGTACTGTTTTAGGAGAGCAATGGCAATGTGGTCTTGGTGGCCCTCGATGTATTTATTGATCTGGATGATGGATCGTTCATGTAGATCTACCACACTCTGGTATTATTATTAGTATTTAATATTATTACTTTGAAGTATTTGGAAAGGATTGGGAGAACTTCAAATTCAAAGGATCAGTCGGGGAAGTGAACTGCCTGAAAAGAGAAAAAAACGCCAGACCCACCAGGACTCGAACCTGGGACCCTGCTTGTCATGAGCAATGCTCTAACCACTGAGCTATGGGACCAGGCTGAACCTAGAAGGCGCTGACAAGATTTTCACTCCAAAGGCATAGCTCAGTGGTTAGAGCATTGCTCATGACAAGCAGGGTCCCAGGTTCGAGTCCTGGTGGGTCTGGCGTTTTTTTCTCTTTTCAGGCAGTTCATTTCCCCGACTGATCCTTTGAATTATTATTATTTGGAAAGGATTGGGAGAACTTCAAATTCAAAGGATCAGTCCTGGTCCCATAGCTCAGTGGTTAGAGCATTGCTCATGACAAGCAGGGTCCCAGGTTCGAGTCCTGGTGGGTCTGGCGTTTTTTTTCTCTTTTCAGGCAGTTCACTTCCCCGACTGATCCTTTGAATTATTATTATTATTATTATTATTATGTAAATAGGCGTCGAGGCGACAATAGTTTTAGAATTGCGATCAGCAGAACGAGCTGAACCGACATTTTCACAAAGGCTTTTATTGTATTAAAAAATCGAGTGGATACGAAGGCAGTGAAGAACATGGAAGAAAGAAAAAATGTGATATTATGGAAGAAATGATGAACAAAAAATCTGTACTTCGAACTAGTTTTCGCACAACACTCCTCAGGGCACGTGTCAGCATCACTCACCACAGATTTATTTATTATTTTTTATTATGTGCTTGTTCGCGTAGACATCAGCATGGCCTGCAGCTGCATTAATGGGCATGCGAATCATGCAAACCAGCCAAAAATGTTCGCATAAGCCACTTCGAATAGATACAAAAGACCATAACAGTTTCAAAAAAAAAAAAAAAAAAAAAAAAAAAAAAAAAAGAAATATGCGAAAAGAAGACAAAAACTAGGGTGCCGACACCACTCGGGCACAGATGCCCACCCAACCGCTTCGGTCAGCAGCAAGGGCACGGAACGCCTCCAGATCGACTTTGCTTGACAAGGAAAGTCCAATCCGCTTGGCATCATCTTGTAGTAGCGTCGGTAGTGTGTGTCTTGGTCGTCCCCTCCAGCCCGCTGGACGAGGCTCTGCGAAGTACGCTCCCATGGCCAGGGATGGTGGGGAGTCAGCCGGGAGCCGGAGGACGTGCCCAAAGAGCCTCCACCTAGCTCTCAAGATGATAATGCGGAGAGGAACCGCGCCGGTACGCTCATAGAGCCTCTCGTTCCTAATCCGATTCGGGAACACAATGCCGATTAGCGCCCGCAGCTGTTTTCGGTGGAAGGCCTCAATACGGCTCAGCTGCTGTTTCGTTGGTGCCCATGTTGCACAATTGTAGCAGAGTACAGGGAGTACAAAGGCATTATAGAGCCGGATGCGGAGATCCTCCGAAACTAGCGACCTACGGATCCACAGCGTCCAGAGTTTACCAAAGGCAACAGTTGCCAGTTGCTGTCGCCGTAGCATATCCTCGGCATCACCTATTAGGGACCCGAGTTTCTTGGTGGTTCGCCACTCCTCCTCGATGCGATCAGTGTGCCGTTCGATGTGCGTGTGCTCTGTTTTGGTCTCATTCACTTTCAAATCCCATTCGAGGAGCTTGTTGGATATGGTTGGAAGGAGGGTCCTCAGCCTCCTTCCAACTCACCACAGAAGCACCATGAATCTGCTGGTTGTACGGGTTCAAACATCTGCCACCTGAATCGGGACGACACTTTGTGCAGGGGGGGGGGGGGGACCATTTGCTCTGCATTTGCAATGTCTGCAGTCTCCACCATCGGTACAGCGACAGCAACCAGCTGGAAAGGAAACTAACTAACTATGTTACTTTGGACGTACACGGCGACGCAGCTGCTCGATCTCCCGCGCGCTCGGCAGCCTCCTGCGCCCACCTCGACTGTCTGTGGATCGTCATCATCGCTACTACACTACAGTAGTACTATATCAGGCATACTGTACTTGAATCCCGCCATGCCGACACCACACAGACAGGACACTAGTCCTGTGAACCAGTCGCTTGGCAACTGCCGTTGCCACAGTGCACGAAGGTAAGCCACGACGCCCAGCTAGTAGTAGTAGTACAGTAGATATTGGTTATAACGTGCCCTTCTGATTTTTCACATTATCACTATAACCGGTACATGTCATGTATCACTACAGGCGATTTTCAACTGCGCGCTTCATACATACACATTATACACGTGTGGGTACTCGATTGCGCTAATGTAGCGTACTGATACGTGGTGGATGCTACTGCACCTTCTCCAGTCTAGAGTGAAGAACTTCTTGGCCCAAAGGCATCATCCAGGAAGCACCAGACCAGAATACCCTATGACAACACACATGTGGCTCCAAGTCGAGATATCAGTGCCTCACACTCCGTGTGTTGCTATCACTATAGACGATAATTTTTCTGCACAAAGAGGTGTTTTGAATGGTGATTCTGTATCCTTATAGCCGATTTATCGCTATATACGATATATTGGTTATAATGATAGTTTGACTGGCTTTTTCTGGTTTTGCTTTTGATATTTTCATTTTGTATCAATATAGCCGGTTTATCACTATGTCCGATGACTTTATAACCGATATCCACTGTACTAGTACTAGTAGTAGTAGTACTTAGTAGTACTAGCTCGACTGACTGTGTGGCTGTTGAAAACTAACTAGGCCACTTCACTTCTCCGTATCATGTACCAGGCCAGCAGGGTCGGTCGGTCGGGTTTATTTTTATTTTTTATTTATTTTAGTTGCGGGCAGGGGTGCATACATGTACATGTACAATTGTGCATATCGAATAGCTTTCTCCATCAAGCCAGTCGATCAAATCTGACTGTAGTCTGTAGTCGATCCAGCGTAGCCATTGTCCCATCAGATCCAGGTCCCCTCCAGGACCAGAATAATGATATTGGCCTCGCTGGCAAACGAGTCTGACGAGCAGCTCTCACCGAAGTCCTTGAAAACTTCTGTCAATGAGCGACGCAGTGGCGGAGCTGATGCTGTCTCAGGAGCGATTGCGAATCGGAGATAAAAGACAACACCGTCACCAAGTGCTGCATCCTGGCTGTTATATATTTTGGGTCGCGTGTGTACCATGGTGTACATAGTCTACCTAACTTCCTTGTACTTGTAGTCATGCACATTTGCATGCACTAAAAAAAAAAAAAATTGCGGTCGGGTGAAAAAAAACGGTCGGTCGCGCGGGTGACCCGAAACAACGAATTAATTCTGGGTGGCCCTATGTAAGCATGGTAAGTAACTAACTAACTTCTACTGTTCTAGTTCTACTTTAGTTCTAGTTCCGCTGGAAGCAATGCCAATGGCCGCCATGCGCCAGGAAAGTAGACCCTGGTCACCTGGTCACCATGGTCACTGCAGTACGGTAGCCCAACAAGTATCGCAAGCTTCGTCCCCCGAAACAGCAGAAATGGCCAGTGTAAACCATGGTAAACGCTCCATGATCCAGATTTGCCATCCGTTTCCACTCAAAATGGGTCTGGGTTCGAGGCAGCGAACACCCTACCCCTACTACTGCCAGTACTGGGCCCTACAATGTAGTACTGCTGCTATGCATGCCGTACTGACTGTGCAGCCAGTTTGCAGTAGACTTCGAAGTACGAGCGCACGAGCCGAGAGCTAGCATGACGTGGGCGGCGTCGTTGCGAAACTGTTTTGTGCCCTGAGTCGAGTAGTGGCAGTACGAGTAGTGCGTTACTAAAATGTACAGCTAGCTGTAGTCGGAACATGATTCTGTTTAGTTTACCAAGCGCCGAAGCAAAAATGGTCGGAACTCCTATTCTTTTAAAAGTAGCCTAATCAGTTGTTTAGTGTGGAGCTTGCTCGCTAGGGGCGCACCATGGAGCATCCTGATGAGCACGCTAGTCCTCCCAAGAAAGCAAAAAAATCGAAGAAGACGCCAGCCCAGATTAAAATATTGGAAAACTACTTTCGGCAAGACCCTAAGCCAACATCGTATGTATGATGATGATGATGGTGTATATGACTGTGTGAATAAGATTGGTTTGTCTTGGATAGCTCAAGTCTTTTGTTGTGTTCAGATGTGTAATGTAGGCATAAACAGTGCCTCAAGAACACTCAAATACGACTGTTTTCAACATACATGTACTTGCTGCATACATGTACTCCAATTGTGGCCCGCGCTGCTATTAGAGAAATCAGCAGAGACTGTGCTCTTATTATTTCAAACAACCCTCACCCCGGGCCATTATTGGAAACGTGTCTATTATTGGAGACCTGGGCTTTTATTACTTCCAAGTAGAGAAAATACAGTAGTTAGTTTTAAGTTACTGTAATAATTATTATTATTCCCGTACGGTTACTTCAGTAACGTCTGGCGCTAGCCAGGGTCCACACAGCTTTAATTTGGTATTTGTTTGTTTGTGTGTTTGTTTGTGTCACGCCTGGCGCTATCCGTATCTGACGGCAAAAAAGCATAGGATGTTATAAATTTTACAATTCTCCTATTTTTTTAGGCATATCCTGGGATTCGAACCCGCACTATCGCCCTACATGCATTCCCCCATACACTTCGCATTCATACCCATTCTTCCAAGTTGCTTCACGTTATTATCTTGCGTTTGAAAGCCCTATTTGAATATTGCGGGCAGCTGTATGTGGCCAGCTGTGTTTGATTGTACGGTACGGTACAGGAGACGGTGTCGTATTACCCTCGATCGTAGTAGTAGTAGTAGTAGTAGTAGATTTTATTATTTTACTAGGGGAGTCCCAACAGGCGTTGCCTTTTTACTGGGAACCCTAGATCGATCGTACCTGTCCCGTACCTATCCCCTACCGTACCATGCCATCAAAGACGGCTGGCCACAATGCATATTCAAATAGGGCTTTCAAATGCAAGATCACAATGTGAAACAACTTGGAAGAATTAGTATGTATGCGAAGTGTATCGGGGGATGCATGCAGGGCGCGCGATAGTGCGGGTTCGAATCCCAGGTTATGTCTTAAAAAAAAAAGGATTTTTTTAAAGAATTTATAACATCCCTATGCTTTTTTTGTTGTCTAGGTCATCAAGGCAAAAAAGCATAGCGTAGGGCCCTGAGCTTCCAAGCGCTCTCGTTGTGAATTGATGTTGCATTGCTGCATAATGTTAGTGGCTCAGGTGGTGTAGGTTTTGTATTATGTGCAGACTGTGGGTGCACATCCGTGGTGTAGGTGTTATATGTGCAGACTGTGGGTGCACATCCAGTGCATTTGCAGTTTTGCGTGCTTCTCTTGCGACGGGCGTATACATGGGACATGGTAGGTGTTATTTTAGGGCATATTGGTTGAGAATTCCACGGAAAACAATAAATTCTCTGAGACCCGGTTTCGCATCTTTGGTTTTTCCCTTCAAACATCATGCTTGTCCAGGGAGAAATGGATGGAAATCGGTGTTGAGACGCATCTTGGAGTGAAGGTGGTGAAGGATTGGTTTCGAAATCGGCGCCAAAACGACTCAAAGAAACGAAGAAACGCAGCCGCGGTG